GAGCTAAGTGGATCTTTCCCTGGCATCCAGTGTGTCTCCTATCAATCTGCCTGCGGTTTCTCTCTGCTTCCATGCGCTCTCTGAAGTGATCCCAAAGCTGGAGTGACGTCATGTCACTAAAATCCCAGGTGCCAGGTCGCCATGGCGACTATACATTTCGCCCTGGCGCCTGGTATTTGTCAGCCCTTTGCTAAGCTGCGCAGGAAACATTAAAGCCGTCCGCTGCGGGCAGCATGGAAGCGGCGCGCAAGGGAGCAGAGAGGAACTGCAGGAAGGTTTTAATGTTTCCTGTGCAGCTTAGCAAAGGGCTGACAAATGCCAGGTGCCAGGGCGAACTGTCCAGTTGCCACGGCGACCTGGGATTTGTCAAGCTCTGTGTGTGTATGTATGTATATAAGAGCAAGCATTAGGCTGCTAGAGTAGGACCTGCCAAGAATGGGGTACATTGACGTTGTGGCAGGCTTATGCAATATATGATCATATAATGTAACTAAACCCCCATCATTTTTTGCCTAGGTTAGGTGTTTTTAAATAAAACTATTACTATTTGTAAGATTTGAAATCATTGTTTAGTGAATAAGCGAGTGCGCTGGATTGTGTATTTTTTATATTTTGGCCCCAGCAGGCCCCTTATGTGCACCCCCTCCCCCCAAGTATGAATCCTGGAGACGCCACTGGGTATTTGGGTATTACCTTGTGTCCTGGGAGAGAGGTGAGTTCCTAACTGGGCATCTCTACTAAAGCTGGGGTATTACCTAAGGAAATATGCCTATTCCCATGATGAATTACTATTTAGCCTTTCATATGTATGGTTGATATATTGTGTTCCTTTTATTTTATCTAAAAAAAAAACAACATTCAGCATGTCTCCTTCTATCTGTTATTATTCAGCCCCTGAAGGATATACATGTATGTGAACGTACTATGTTATCATGTTATTGCAATACTACCATGCTGAATGATAAAATAAAGAATTTTTTTTTAAAAAACACACAAAAAACATTGTGCTACAATAAAATCAAAAACATTCAAATATTTGAGTTTGTTTATCCATAAAGAAAAATGTTTGTACTTTTAGGCCCCTCATGCCACAGTGTCCCTTACACACTGTTCTACAATCTACAATAAAAGTTAATTATTTCTTGTCTTTACTCCTGTAGTACACTATTCCTTTGTCCTGCTGCTCCCTAGAAGATGTAATAAAACTATAGTAAGTATCAGATTTTAGATTACATTAAGAGAATTCTAAGGTGAGTTTTACAGGCTAGGATGGAGCAAGATCTGTCTGTCTTCCTCTATCTCGAAATATATAGAAAGAGAGAGAGAGAGAGAGAGAGAGATCATCAGAGACCTCCTATATGATGCCCTCTTTACTCCAATCACCCAGTGTGTCTGTAAGGGGTTTTGGTTAATCCCTGTTAACCAGAAGACACCTGTTCGATTGTATATCTGCTTTTCACACACTATAAGCTAACTGAAAAGGGTACAATAGCAGGAGTCCCATGTATCCACTATTAACCAGGAGGGACAGCGTGCATGATGGGTTGTTGGTAAAGTAATTGTGCGGATGGGCCTGTGTGTGAATCATCTTCATGTGCTGCTCAACATAACAGGAAACGTAATAGTCCAACACAAATGGATCCAAAAAAAGACTATGACTCCAATTACAGTATATAAATGAAAATCCTAGATCAGATCCATAGGTATAGGCAGGCATTACATTTAGGGGGAGTGCCAAGAGAAAGGGAACATCTAAACATTACTTCAAAAAATAAAAATGTATTAATTATTCTTGTAATACTGAGCTATTGCTCTAGTAATCTCCATGTGGATACCGTGATAGTCACGATTCTTCTCTAACAAAAACCCCAAGCTAAATCCGAACTCATACCAAACTTTAATATACCAACCCGAGAAAAGCCTTGTTTTATGCTGTGTTTGAACACACCCAGGACACATAGTGTATATATGTGTGTACACCCTGGAGTCTCTGCAGCAAGACAATTAATTGTTCATAATAGTGAATGGCAAATAATTAGGACAATGTGTTTGGTTGGAACAGTCTCCCCTACTCTATACTGTTACAGATAGGATAGTGATTATTGCAGTCTGTTATCACACTGCGTCAAGCCTTTCACGTCTTTCAGTTTTAAGTGTATTCTTTAATTGACCAGAAGATGAGGATAACGTGGCATTGTCTGATTTTAGTAAATTTCTATTTATTTTATTCTTATCGAAAGGCTGTGACACACCCCATACCTGCACAGGGACATGAGGGTGGAGGCAAAGGCTTTAACTTTTCAGGGGCGCTTATTTCAGTGAGTTGGCGTTCTTCCAACACTGTGCTATTTATAGGAGTGCAGATTTGTCACTATTAGTGCCAGGAGAGGATGGCATTCCACTGGCATCGTAATATATGTATATATTGGGAAATGGAGTTGGGGTATTTGGTACGCTCATTTCACCTGTGAAAGGAATTAACACATTTGGAGACAACTGTCAAATGTGCCAGAGAATTTCCTTTAGATCAGCGGTGTCAAGCTCTGACCCCCAGGTGTTTTTGAACTACAACTCTTATAATATTGTAAAACGCTACAGAATATGCTGGCGCTATATAAATAAAAAACACAGCCATAAAAAACAGAACTGCAATTTTAAAGCTTTGCTCAAAGCACCATGGACACTTCTGGGATTTGAAGTGGTGATGATGCTTGGAGTCTGTACGAGCAGGGTTTCACTATGAAATGCTGCACATTCTGTCAGAAAGCGGTTTGTTGCTGACGGTGTAACTCCACCTTCTGCGGCATCATTAATGTGTCATTTGCCTGCCAGAAACGAGATCTTGGGCTGGCTAATGTTAAATCTGTGCTTATTTTGTGTCTGTCATCATCACACACAGCCTGCTAGTGACAGACAGCCAATAGCGGCATGCCCCCCCTCCCACCCTGTGCTGCCCAAGTCTTCCCCTTAGCCCATTCTTGACATCCCTCCCCTCCAGTGAAGGGAGAGTGATTAGGCTGCCCAGGCAGCTTTAATTCTTTTTATCTTATTATGTTATCACTGTATAATACAGTGCTTTTCCAAAGGGGGTTAGATTATTATATCTGATAGTATAATTTAGGATTATTTCCCTGGCGGTTTTGATACCTCACCCCAGTAAACACTATGAAAGTTATTACTATGGTGGCTGCAATGGACGTAGTATAAACCCTCTTACCCCCTGCCACACTTCCTGGGTAATGTCTCCCCACCCAGCGAGGCTCGTAAATCTGTTTATTAAGTGGTGGCAAGAGCATACGTGGGCATTCCATCCATGATGGAGACTCGTTTCATTAGGACTTACACGAATGTTGTCTGTCTATCTCTCTGTCTATTTATTTAGTATTTTTGGCTGTTTTAGGACAGTGATACATTTTCTGCAAAAACAAAACATTTTTGTGGTTGTTTGTTTTCTTTTACAAGTTTGGGCTGCATGTCTATAGTTACTTTAAAATGTTTCTAGCATACACTAACACACCATTACATTATCTTTAGTTTACACGTAATGACCTTAAATAAAGATTTATTTTTATTTTTTTAAGAGCAAAACTTTTTTTCTTAACTTTTTTGTGATTTATATTTAGTTGTGAAGTTATATAAAAAAAAATAGGGTTACAGCTTTACTTTTAGCACGGGGGGAGGGGGGAAATTAACCCTGGTCACAATAGCTTACAATCTAGGAAATACAGGCATTGTGCACAGGGTAGGGAGCAGTGTAATCGTTTTAAACAGCCCAAGTGCATGCCTTCACCATGTGCCACCGGGTACAACTGGGGGAAAAAATGAACCTTAGTCACAAGAGCTTACAATCTAGGCTACACAGATATTGAGCCCAGCTTGTCAGTGTGTGCCTTCACCATGTGCCACTGGGAAAATAATGAACCCTGGTCACGAGCTTGCAATCTAGTATCTGTAGATATTGTGCATAGGGAGGGGAGCCCAGCTTGTCAGTATGTGTGTGTGCCTTCCCCATGTGTAAAGAACCCTGGTCACGAGAGCTTACAATCTAGGAGTGAGGGGAGCCCAGTGTGTCAGTGTGTCCCTTCACCCTGTGTCACTGTGAGAGAATGAACCCTGGTCACAAGAGCTTACAATCTAGGATCTGTAAATATTGTGCACAGTGAAGGGAGCCCAGTGTGTCAGTGTGTTCCTTCACCCTGTGTCACTGTGAGAGAATGAACCCTGGTCACAAGAGCTTACAATCTAGGATCTGTAAATATTGTGCACAGTGAGGGGAGCTCAGTGTGTTAGTGTGTCCCTTCACCCTGTGTCACTGTGAGAGAATGAACCCTGCTCACAAGAGCTTACAATCTAGGATCTGTAAATATTGTGCATAGTGAGGGGAGCCCAGTGTGTCAGTGTGTGCCTTCACCCTGTGTCACTGTGAGAGAATGAACCCTGGTCACAAGAGCTTACAATCTAGGATCTGTAAATATTGTGCACAGTGAGGGGAGCTCAGTGTGTCAGTGTGTCCCTTCACCCTGTGTCACTGTGAGAGAATGAACCCTGGTCACAAGAGCCTACAATCTAGGATCTGTAAATATTGTGCACAGTGAGGGGAGCCCAGTGTGTCAGTGTGTCCCTTCACCCTGTACCACTGTGAGAGAATGAACCCTGGTCACAAGAGCTTACAATCTAAGATCTGTAGATAGTGTGTGCCTTCACCCTGTGTCACTTCGAGAGAATGAACCCTGGTGACAAGAGCTTACAATCTAGGATCTGTAGATATTGTGTCACTGTGAGAGAATAAAGACTCAGGAATACCCAGCAATAAACTAAAATGTCATTTTCAGAGCAAACTGCGGCCACGCCTCTTTTTCTTGCCAGCCAATCACAGGACGCCATTGGGTCTGTGCTGGAATTTGCATATTAAAACCTCGGTGTGTTGGCCAGCCAATCGGCGCGCGCCCTCATTAACATGCACCTAGGCTGATTAGGTGGGGGGAGTTACATTGTATCAGCAGAGCTGGAGGGAAGGAAGGAGTGAGAGAGAGAGGGAGAAGGGAAAAAAGGAGAGAGAGAGAGAGAGAAGGAGGGAAAGAGACACACAAGGAGGGAGTGAAAGGGGGGCAGGATCCTTCCTCCTGTTTGTTTTAGGGATCACTAGCTGGAAGAAAGGAGAGGAGGGCAGTGAGAGCACAGAGCTGGATCCAGGGGCAGCAGGCAGAGCACAGAGCTGGATCCAGGGGCAGCAGATCCAGGGGCAGCAGGCAGAGCACAGAGCTGGATCCAGGGGCAGCAGATCCAGGGGCAGCAGACAGAGCACAGAGCTGGATCCTGGGGCAGCAGATCCAGGGGCAGCAGGCAGAGCACAGAGCTGGATCCAGGGGCAGTAGGCAGAGCACAGAGCTGGACCCAGGGGCAGCAGATCCAGGGGCAGCAGGCAGAGCACAGAGCTGGATCCTGGGGCAGTAGGCAGAGCACAGAGCTGGACCCAGGGGCAGCAGATCCGGGGGCAGCAGGCAGAGCACAGAGCTGGATCCAGGGGCAGCAGGCAGAGCACACACAGAGACACACTGCATGGACTGACCCCCCTCTCCCATTACACTCCCATCACCCACCAGTCCTGCTCAGGATGCCCTGTCCTGTGTGGGTAATACTAGCCCTGCTGCTCGCCCCTGGCTCAGGTAGGCCCAGCAGGGCTTCCTCTCCGGCCCCCTGCCCGGTGCCCTGCCGCTGTGACTGGGAAGGAGGGGTGGATTGCTCGGGGAGAGGACTGATCGCAGTGCCGGAGGGAGTCAGCGCCTTCACCAATTCCCTGTAAGTAATGCAGCAAAGGGGGGACAATGGCTCCATTCTGGGGCAAAGTTCGGAAAGTGGAGCAGTAACCATGGAAACTGGCAGAACTTTACCCAGAATTAGTCTGGGATCCACAAAGCCCCAGTCAGTGTGCTCTCCTGTGATAGACAAACACCAGCACTTGGTAACCTTTTAGGAGAGACATTAACAATGTAACAATAAATCAGATATTTATTTATAGTGTGTGTATAATCTCCCAGCTCACTTGTGGTTAGATCACCTGGCTATAAGAAGTTTTGCTGGTTTCACATTGTATAGAAAGCACACTCCTATTGCAGTATGTTTACATTGCTGACATTACTGTGTGATAACCACACTCCTGCATTGCCTTGTTTACATGTATGTATCATTGGAGGTAACCACACACTCCTGCAGTGCCTTGTTTACATGTATGTATCATTGGAGGTAACCACACACTCCTGCATTGCCTTGTTTACATGTATGTATCATTGGAGGTAACCACACACTCCTGCATTGCCTTGTTTACATGTATGTATCATTGGAGGTAACCACACACTCCTGCATTGCCTTGTTTACATGTACGTATCATTTATTAGTATTATCGCCATTTATATAGCGCCAACAGATACCGTAGCGCTTTACAATACTATTAGAGGGGGGATGTGCTTCGTGTGTATATCTTCTATTTGTATACTGTATATCTACCACACTCCCCAGGTGCATACTGCTTAAATTTTTTACATATATCTGCTGTAACCACACTTCTGTAGTGCAATCATTGTTTATTTTTCTCCTGTGTTACTGTATAACTATAGCCAGACTCCTGCAGTTTAATAATTCAGGCCTCAATAAAAGTTTTGACATATAGACGTGTGTGTGTGTGTGTGTGTGTGTGTGTGTGTGTGTATATATCTACTTGGTAGCTCAATATTGTTTTAATAAACCATTATTGTATGTAATAACTTGCATGACTCACCACTAGTTGTCTGTAAATATTTATGCTCCTTGTGTTTTACAATAACAATTAATGAGTCAAACGGTGATAGTTGCAGAGGTTGTTATTTTTGCCTATTTAGAAAACTCTTTAAATTTATTTATTTTTTTGTGGGTTTTTAAGTTCTTGTGTTTCGAAGCTGATTTGTGATCGTTGGTTTTTTTTTGTTTTTTTTTGAGGTTTTGATGCATAGTGGATGAATGCACCCTTTGAATGGGCAGATTAATTTTTGTATCTTCTTCAGACTTGCTCAGCATGTTTCTCTGTGTGTGTGTGTGCTATCTAATCTTTGCTGTGGTAGATATGGTGTTTAGACTGTACCCTTGAGGTACTTGACCATTTGGTGGGTAACTTATTTATAAAATATTTTAGCACCAAGGATACATTGAGATTTCTCTCTTGTTTTCAAGTATGTCCTGGGTTATGGACATGTTAGATGTTTTGTCAGCTATTAAGGTATTCTATTTAATATACAATAGCAATGTGTACCCCATCAGTGCCAGAGGTTGAACAAGGCACTATTCAGTGCCCTCAATGTATGTTAATATTGTTTACTTTACTCTTCTACAAAACATTGACTAAATTATATAGATATATTTCATTTTATAAGTATATGTTGACTTTGTGTGATCCATTCTATCTCTGTGACAAACATTTCATCCTGGATAAAACTGGAGTGGTGCCCTCTTTAAAATCCCTGAGAAATTGGCATTTTTGGGGAATATGTGGCACTGAATGGGTAACCGAGACTTTGAGCTTTCACTTCTGCAACGTTGCAGCCATTTACTCATGTAGAATATTTCCTTGTGTTTTTTGTGAACCGCTTATTTTAACCATTTATGCACTAAAGTTCCTTCTGGCACATCTTGGGTTAACAAGAAAATTAGTAATGTATTTGTCTAGCCCTCAAGTGTTTAAGTAGTTTAATGCTTGATACATTGGGGTGTTTAGTGATCTTCCTGCCTTTTCCTGGTGTGTGTAATTTAATTGTACAGAATGGAAGAGTATGTTGGTAGTATTATACGTTGGTGATGAATAATTTAATAATGGAATAATTTATGTACCACTAAGTCTGAATTACTCATCATTCCTGACATGCAAAATGGTGTGTGTAGTAATGTTCCGTCCTTTTTATGGAGATAGATAGTTACTGTATATAAATCTCTTACGAGTATATTTACTAAACTGGGAACTGCAGGGAATTCCAAACTTAAGGCACAATTAGATGATTTGGGAACATTCTCAGGCTCTGTTGTTCCAGCTCAACTAATTTTCCTGAAACTTGCTATTCCCTTTGTTCTGAACAATTCCAGGTCTAGTGAATGGATATGTAGCATTTTTCAATGAAATATATTGCTGATAATAAAACCAATTTGACAGATTAGATACATTTTTAGCATCATACGTTACTTATCAGGGCTTTAAGAATGTCTGTTCGTGTCTGTAAAGTTGCATTGTCTTTGTGCATTGGAACTGGACAGTGGAAAAGAAATTAAATTTTTGCATTCTCAAACCGTCTCCAAACTCACTTTTTTTTTTTTTTTGATTATAAAAGTGTGTGTGTGTGTGTGTATATGTAAAAAATAAATAAAATTTACCCCTTAAGGACTGAGCCAAATGTACACGTTGTGAACAAAACCTGGCATATGTGCTACATGTCTGTTTAACCGTAATTCACCTCTTTCATATTAAATGCACCCACCCTTATTATATATATAATTTTATTCAGGGGAAACAGGGTTTTCATTTAACATCAAATATTTAGCTATGAAACATAATTTAATATGAAAAAATGGGAGAAAATAAGAAATTTTTTTTTTAGTTCTACATGACATTTTAACTGTCAATGTCATAATACTGTTTGCTTTTACTGCAATAAAATACACATTTGTATTCAGCAAAGTCTCACGTGTAAAACAGTACCCCCTATGTACAGGTTTTATGGTGTTTTGGGAAGTTACAGGGTCAAATATTGCATGTTACGTTTGAAATTGAAATTCGCCAGATTGGTTACGTTGCCTTTGAGACTGTATAGTAGCCCAGGAATGAAATTTACACCCATAATGACATACCATTTGCAATAGTAGACAACCCAAGGTATTGCAAATGGGGTATGTCCAGTCTTTTTTAGTAGCCATTTGGTCGCAAACACTGGCCAAAGTTAGCGTTAGTATTTGTTTGTGTGTGAAAAATGCAAAAAACGTCACTTTTACTGGCGATGTCATCTTTATAATACATTTTACTGTTTTGAAACACTAATATTTGTGTTCAGCGAAGTCTCCCGAGTAAAACAGTACCCCCTATGTACAGGTTTTATGGTGTCTTGGAAAGATATAGGGTTAAATATAGTGCTAGCAAATTAAATTCCCTATACTTTCGGCATGGGTTGTCAGGCAGGTCCCGCTAATTGTAATGAATTAAAATACCTAATTATGTAAAAAATATTACATAAATATATATGTAGAATTAATATGTGTATGTGTGTATGTATGTGTATATATATGTGTATATATATATATATATATATCTATCTATCTATCTATCTATCTCTCTATCTATCTAGACAGTGTATGTGTGTGTGTGTATATATGTGTGTATATATATATATATATATATATATATATATATATATATATATATATATAAAATTATTATTATTTTTTACACAGATTTTAATTAGATTTCCAGACAGCATGGGGAATAACTGTCATTACAGGCAGTCTCCCTGCTGGCAATGCAGCAGCCAGCTAACCCGGCCATGTGATTGTGAGGTCCTCCAAGGACCTCACTCTCACATGGCCGGGGGGAGGGGGCGGCAGAGGAGGCAGGATCCTCCCTGGGGGGACTCTGCGGCGTTTAGAGCCGCTTAGAATAGGGCGTAGTAGTACGCCCTCCGGTTTTAAGGGGTTAAATAAAAAATAGCTTATTGACTCTCCTCTGTTTATTTACTTTTTCTGGCTATTCTCAGCCAATCTGCACCTTTCACGGCACATCTTCTGCTATTTAGGACACCCCACTCCCCTCCTCTAACATCAGTTCTTTTAAGTGTTAAATGCTATCAGATTGATCAGTATTGCTTCAGACTTGAGGAAGAGCGGAAAACTCTTTAAAGCTTGTCTTTGAAATATTATGTTGATCCAATAAAAAAAGGTATCATTGCACACTGCAATACTCTGGTATCTACTGGCCTAATATGGCTAATCCAATCTACACTAGATGTGTGTGTATGTGTATATCCTTATTACACAGTGCGTTATTGCATATGCTGAACTATTTTTATTTTTCTGTTGGCTGTCTTGGTTTAAGTAATTTACACGAGTCATAGATACTTGCCAAAGCGTTCACATTGAACCATTGGAATCAATGCAAATGTATGTTTTCCATATTCCTCTTGCTTACAATCTGCCTAATTCTGGAAAGCTGTTTTTGAGCACTGATGCTAATTTTACTACATGTAGCCTGCGAGAGTATCTGGTTAGCTTGGCTTCCTTTTAAAATGTCTTTGGGTATATTCATGAGGTCATTTCCGATTTCAAGTCGTTGTCCCGGTGGGGTCCACTATGTCGAATTGCTTTTCTTTAGAATTTTGTGAGTTGCAGTTCATCAGAAGCTGTAAGTGTGTTTTTCACTTGGTAAAGGGGAACATGTACCCCACGAGATCGGAGAGCAGATAAATTGGTACACAACATTTTCTTTTTCTCTATTACAATAAGCAATAGGAGCTGGTCAAACCAAATTCTAGGTTCGGACACATCATTTAAAAACTTTTTTTTTTTTTTCATGTTTAGTTAGATTGCATTTGTTTATTCTAGTGACCTTACACATATCCCCTTTATAAACTTGGATGGAAAATGTTGGATTGCAAATTCCTTGGAGCACAGCAGTGAATAAGATAGTGACATTAATCTAGAAAGTTATTTTTTTTTTTCTATGATAAACCTTTATTTTACATGTAGTTACATAGCTGAAAAAACATGCGTCGATCGAGTTCAGCCTTTCCCACATTTGTTTTTGCAGTTGATCCAAAAGAAGGCAAAAAAAACCAACAGTTTGAAGCACTTCCAAATTTGCATCAAACTAGGAAAAAAAATTATTCTTGACCCTAGAATTGCAGTCTGATATCTCCTTTACAATTTTATCAGCAGGACAACAGAAAAGGTGTTTTCAATGCCAGGTCAGGATTTACTTTTAGCCATCTTAGAATGAGATATGAACCCCACTTTACAAGTGTTTCATTAGCTGCATGACTCCTTCCCAAAGTTTATTGTAATATCGTCTGTGCTACAGTTGTTGATATCTGGAATCTCCTTCATATTACTGTAATGAGCAAAGTGTGTCCGGCCTCTGTTGGTGTGTGGTCTATGATTGAGGTTTCCTACTTGGAGATCTCTATGGTTTGCTTTCTCTGTGTAGTATTGCTTATTATTCTCTTACACCCTGATACGCCATGTTTGTACTTCCAAGGGTGCTGGTTAGTTTGCCCGGTATTTAGGGCATGATCCACCCTGTTGTCACTAAGACGGTTTTTTGGCCTACGTGAAAAACATCCGCTGCAATAGAAATAGACCTGGTGTAATGATAAATGTGTCGTTTTTTTTTTAACCTTGTATATTTTGGAGATTGTACTGACACGGTTGATCAGAATTGTGATGGAGGAATTTAAAAGTAAACAAACAAGCAGAAACAAGTCAGGCTATTTAGAATGTTACATATTACTTCTTACAGTGTATTCAAACATCACAGAGCCAGAAAACCTCATCTTGTGTTTGTAGTACTTTGAAATGTATATATTTTTGATTTTGTAGTATAATTGTTCTCAGTCATGTTTTATGATACAGCTTATGTTTCTCTTTTCTTTTTTTGTAGTTTGTTTTTCTTATTTAAACCCCTCCCCATGACTTTATAGCATAAACAGTAAATACAGTAAATATTACCGTAGGACTGGAAACACTTACAGTATATAAAATTATTGGCAATCCAACCCTGTCTTAAATCTCGCACCCTAAATCTTGGAGAGAGCGCTGTGCAAGATTAAGTGCAGTATCGGGAGGTCTGTAGTTCACCACCACTGTTTATAGGTATCAGAAAGCGTTTAATAATGAGTAAGAGTATCTGTTTATAAAACACTATTTGTTTTGTATATATTTAACTTATTAGTTTTGCTTGTGTGAGTAAACAATACAGTAATTTACTAAAATATCATTGACCATTATCTTACAATACTTTCTGAGATACAGCATCCAATTTAGTGACCATGAAATCGCTGAACTGAAGAGAGATGCTCGTATGTGCACCCTCTCATAAAATGCTTATTGACATATGTAAAAAGTTTTAAATATTCTTTTGCCCTTTATGGTCAAGTCGTGATGTGTGCACCCATTGTACAGCGCTGCAGAACTTGTTGGCGCTTTTATGAATAATACAATAATTCTCTAAAAAACAATATATGAGACTTCCAGCTTGTGTAATGGCAGTAGTTAGCACTGTCCGATAAACCGAGCCGTCCGCGTGGTACTTAGCAGCAAGCAGATGTCATTTAAAATGCAGTAGGTCCTTAAGGAGTTAATTTGACAAGATTCTGATATTTGTGTTATGAGTCCTCAAACTTTTTATTTATTTTTTTTGTGTGAAACTTAACCATGGGGGGGGAGGGCTGCTGCTACTAAGCCCTTAGAAATACATGTTTATTATTTTCTTGTCCTTTTTTTTTTTTTTTTCTTCCAGTCTGCCACTGGCTGATATTGGCACCTATGTGTTGCAGACCTGTTTGGCATGGGGTTGCTTCATTCCTCTCTTTAGTGCGTGAGATATTTGCACAGACTGTGAAATCCAATCTATGGCAAACCTGTGACTGCTTCCTTCTTTACTTCACATTTCCCATTCAATGTCCTGCTACCTTTCCCACCAGCCACAAGTGTCACCTTTTGGTTTATTACTTGCCTTTTGGCATTTCTTTGAGCTCTTGTAAATAAGGGGGGTAATGGAGATTTTGTCAATTTTATTTTTTTCTGGGGAAAAAAAACCTAATCAATCTGTCTAAGCTCTAAAAAGCAAGTCCTTTATTCTCATGTCGAATTCACACTATTTACTAAACCCAAAATTGAAGTTTATGAAGTGTAACTTGATCCATTCCTATTGGGATTACATTCAGGATTGTTCATGTTGTTTTAACTTGTTTAATGTAAAATGGAAGTTGAAATATCATCAAGAAGGTATATTTTACCGTTTCCCTTTTCTCCACTATTTAGCTGCCTGCCGCTACAGACCTCAGCCTAGGCTGTAATAAATAATTGCCCTCAGAAATTGATGGGATAAATAATATTTCCTGTCGTAAGTGACAGTACTGAAACAAGTGGATAAGAAGAAGCCATTAATAAAAATCTGTTTGTGTATTGTTCTGTTCACTGTTTAGGGAGCCAGGCTATATTAAGCTCTTGGTAGAACCACAGGTTGTGCATGAGTGGTCCTCAACATGTCTCTTTCTCTCCTAAGAAGTGAGAGGACTTAGCCCAAGCTGTGTTGTGTGGGACAGACACCGCATGCATGGTTGCAATTGGACAATTTGGGGCACCTTACACCTTCAAGGCCTGGGCCCACCCCTCACTCTGCCCACAGGGTCCTCCCCTGATTCTGTTTACAGATTGTATGTGTTGTGGATGATGTAATTTGTGTTTGTGTATGTGTAAGGGTGAAAGTGTGTGCGTTTAGTGGATGCGTTGTATGTGATTATTACGTTTTTTTTTTGTTTGTTTGTTTGTTTGTTTTTTTTCCTGTATCCAGGGAGGGGAGCATTCCCCGGTTGTCCGGTGGTAGTGTAGATGCTCTTGATTTTCCTTTCTGATAAGTAAACGCACTTTTCACAAGTAATCAGAGAGTTGTCATGGTAACCGCAGCAATGCTCTGAAAGCCGGGACTTACGAGAATGAGAGGGGCTTCTGCAGAGGTGAAGGCTGAGAGCCTCTTGCCCACCGTGCTGGCCGGTAAAGACCCGGGGAGGGACATCTTTAGTCTCCCTTACTCGGGGGTTTGTGTGTATATATGATATAAGAATCTCTGGGATATATATTGTGTGAGTGTGTGTGCAGATAAACTAAATATCAAGTATCACAACGCTTTCATAAACAATGATATATTTTTCAGTTTAAACTGATGGCTGTAATAAAAATCAAATGGTACTTGCCCGTTAAAAAGGGTTGTTAGTGAATGGCTTTTACTAGCGGCGGTAGATCATAAAGTCTTACTTCTCTGGATATGTTATTGGCCATTATAAAGAAGCATAATTATTATACGGGTTATTATCTCTCTTTTGAACTGCACTTTATATCGTGGCACGCTTCTTCTTCAAATGCATGTGGGGGTGTCTCAAAAAGCTTCTTTTTATCTTTTCCAACACCCACATGGCAGGTGACAATCAGTCGTTCATGAAGGCACGATCGGCTTTTTTCTTATGAAGGAACGGTGAGAGGTAGCAAGGTTAATCTGTGTAGCGCTTGCATGCGTTTTTTTTTCTTTCTTTTATTATTCATAGTTACACTTCGTGCAGATAATATCCCACAATGCACCACCTCTGTTAAAGAAATATGCAATGATTTTGTTGCTTAAAAGAGAACAGTAAGTTTTCTTGATTTACACTATTTAATAAAATATTGAGGATCGCTTATAACTTGCGATATCTTTTAGTAGTTGACTTTACAATCGAGTTTAATCCTATCCAAGGGTACATATTACATGTGAGAAGGAGTAACAAACCGCACTGGTATCGCTTGTTATCATGGTCTTGCCATTAGAAAATCATTAGTGATCATTGTCGGGTAAGTATATTGTTCTGATCAATGTGTATATTAAAGGGGCAGTCTGTCCCTATATCTCATATAGTTGTTTTAACCTATATCTCATAAAAATTGTTTTCTAATACTTTGTTACCTAACTGGGGCCCTCAGTCACCTCTGGTCTAACCTTCTTTTGTGAGTCTAAAGAGCGTGTTCTCCCAAGATTGATCTATCCGTTTTTGTCCGTATTTAGATGTAACTTGCTGCAGCGTCAGGCAGTGACAAACTAAAACCTATCTACTTATTAATAAACAACACCGTGTAGTGGTAACGTAATAAAGTATTAAGACTGCTCTTTTTAAAATACCTGTAAACTTCAACATGGCTTTTACAATAACAACTTACCTAAACATGTCTCTCATGGCCGCCACTATCTTGGTCTGGCACTTCAGCTGCTCGGAGCTGACGTCATCGCTGTACTCTCAGGCATGCGCCAAGGTTCCTGCCAAGATCCTTCATTGAACGAGCTTTAATTCCATCAAGTTGTCACTGGTGACGGCTGGGGGAACTGACGAGCTTGACACAAGGTACCTCTGTGTTGTGTCAAGCGTTGGAAAAATGAGACAGATGGTTTCCTTTACTACATTTGTATTCTGGAGAAGACTGTGTTTGAATTTACAGATTATGTCTATAAAGGTAATCTTTAGCATGTTATGACATATACACAATTTTAAAGGGACACTATAACCACCAAAAAGACCTTTGCTTAATGAAGCGGTTTATGTGCAGAGATTATGTCTCTAAACTCTCACTGCTCAATTCTCTGCCATTTAGTTAAATAACTTTTGTTTCTCTCCCTGCAGCCCTAGCCACACCAACCCTTACTGTGACTGACACAACCTGCATGAAAAAAAGGTTTCATTTTCAATCGGATGCTGACTAACTTTAGATATTTTTAACTCCTGCTCTTTAAATTGAACTTGAATCACACACAGGAGGCTTCTGCAAGGTCTAGCAAGCTACTAACCGTGCAGGAGATACAAAATTCTAAATTAAACCGACTGTGCAGTAAAAGAAGTTAACATTCGATCTCACTTTACAAGAAGTGAGTGTTTAGGAAGGCTGTGCACGTTACATGCAGGGAGGTGTGACTTAAGCTGCAAATTTCTCCAGCAGATAAAATTACCACGTTTACGTGTGTGTGTGTGTGTGTTTTTTTTTTTGTTTTTTTTTGTCTGTATATAAAAAATAAAATTATATAAATTTTTGTATTTTTTTTTTTTTTGTAATGCTTCCGTTGAGATCTTTTTTGGGGGAGGAGGGAGGGGTAAAGCCACAAAGCAGATTTCAGTTTTCAGATCTGTGGGGTTTTTTTCCCCCCTCTTTGAGAAATGTTTTTTATGTGAACAGGTTGATTTTTATTGTTGGGTTTTACAGGGGCCTTTTCAGATTGATAACTTTATGTTGACCAAGTAGTTAATATTTCACAGAATAATGATGTGTCAGGGGTAGGAAAACTTTAATTCCCAAGAGACGGTGGGGTTTACTTGTGTAGTAACAGGTAAATAGTTGGGCTTTTATATTTATTCTAAAGCAGAGTGTGTGTGTTTATTAAAAAAAAAAAAAAAAATAGTTTCTAAAAAAATAATAAACAAAAATCATTGCTCTTAGTTTCATTGCTTCGGACTCTTTAATAGAGGGTGTTCCTCACTGTAATATATTCATTATAACACTAGCTTTGGGATTCCTAATAAAGACAAACAAGAAACTAATTGACTGTGAAGGCTTAATTTACAAAATAAACTTTGCCATAAAGTGAAGCCCATGAGTTGAAATAGTCCTCACATGTGTACAGCAACAACGCAAACCTACAACCATAACATAGTCTAATATTACATTTTGTTTTTATTTATTTTTATGAGAAATTACAAACCCACTTTTTTTTTTTTTTTTAGTTTAGTGGTCTCCACCCAGCAGACCCTTTAGTTACACTATTCACCTTCCTCCGTACCCACACAGCCATCTCTCATAGATGGCTTAGTGAGAGATTTCCTTAGAATAATTAACTTCTCTGCCCTTTGGCCCTTGTCACATTTAGTTTGTTTGGAGAAACATTGTTGCTCAGTTAGCATTTCCAAACAAGGCAGCGCCTGAAGCTGTCCTAGTGCGTGATTTACGTTTTTGACAAAGTACGCTGGGCCTCACTGCTTCACATATACCTTCCAAATCTTCCTGTAAAGTCCCTTTGTGAAGAAAATACAACAAACAAATCAATTCTGGTAAAATATCTACCAGGAACAAACATTGGAAAAAGCCAGCAATCCGTTCCAATCTGATTAATTAATTTACATCCAGTTGGAGATTTTTGGGTTTCATTCACTAACCGTCAAATTATTGTGAATTGAAAGCTAAATTGTAAAATTTAGGTTAAAATATCCAAGCTATGGCTATAGTCCAACTGGAGAATTTTTCCAAATCCGCTACTTTAGCCTCCATTTTGGAAATTCTGTTTTCAGCTCGCGTTAATTGCTGTGGCTGAGGTATTTTCACACTGTTCGAGTCCCTATCAATATGATTAATGACAGTTTACTGATGTTCTGCATCAGTACACGAAATAAAAACCACGAATGGAACCATCTGTGTAGCGTAACCGAATATCTCAAATCCCGTAAACCTCTGCATGTTGCGCGGTAATGTTCAGATATGAGGAATGCAGAAATGGATTTCATTTTCAATGTTTGCACATATTTTTTTATGCGTTGTAAGCGGTAGGTTTTTCTACTTTTCTTTTTCTTACATACATTGTTTTTTTTCATGTTCCTTTTATATATTGAAGAAAAACAACTTCACCTGAAGCCTTGTCACAGTTTAAAAAAAATAAATAAAAAAAAAAAGTGTGCCAATATACTGGATCATAAAAAAAATAATAAAAATCTGTGCCCTACTCTGTCTTTTTGCAGCCTCTTGATGAGCTCTGAGCGAGTAGCTTAGCATTCCCCAGCCTATGAGTGCTGTCCAAGGGACACCATCTCCCCCTTTTATGGTACAAAAAAAACAACTGAAGTGGTTATGGTCCTTAGAGTGTCTCCTTAAAGTAAATGTTACAGGTTTGCAAAACTATAAAGGTGTATAAAATAAAACTCCTACCAAAAAGAGAAAAAAAATTTAAATTTTTTTTTTTAATTCTTTTTTTTGTCTATCTACACTATTGCCAAATGTGTTGACGCTGTACAAAAATTAACATGCAAACTGTATTTCTTGATACAGGCAAAAAAATTGTGCTGCCAAAGTATGAAGCAATCAGTTGTGGGTACAGGCAGGCTAGAATTTGTTTTGGACAAAAAGTTGTTGGTAGAAATGGCATCTTGGTATCACTTTAAAATTAAGATGAAGGTAGTATGCATTTCTCGAGGATGGAGCTTATTCGGACAATATTACAAAGCTCACAGAGTTGGCTCGTTATATTACATGGTCGTGTACACAGGTGTGTTTTGTCTGTGTGTTCAGGCACAATGTTTTAGGGTGTGTTTTCGTTGAAGCATTTCTGGCATGTGTCTTTGGTTATTGATGAAGGTTTGCTTATCGAAGGGCAGATCTCTTAACAAAAGGGGACTTTAAGAATAACAAATGAACCAATGTCCTTACATTCTTACTGAGCTGAAACCAATTCCTTAATGTATTTTGTCACTTATTGTATTTTGTCACTTATTGTATGTACAATTAGAGACTTGTATATTGCAGTCTGGTAAATGTAATGCTGCGTGTTTTTGTATTTAAGTAAATGTTTTATTTATTAAGGAATCTTCGTATTAGTTTTATATATTTAATAATTGTGCTGTTCCGCATGTGTATGATACGTTAACATAACATTTCTATGCAGGGGCAATGTTTTCATGCTCGTGCATATTAATTTTATTTTAGGGTTTTATTCAGGATTTTGATGTGAAACCCAGTTTTGGAGTTTCTTAGAATGATCTAATGTAGTTTAAAAAAACTTGCGTGAAAAACCACATTAGGTTTTTTCTCTCTGGCTTTTTCAAAACTATAGCAGTAATAATAATTAAAAAATAATAATTTTTTTAAACACTGTTATTAGATGGTAAACTCTGTGGAACAGTTTCAAGCTATAATTAAAAAAAAAAAAAAAAAAAAAGTAAGGGGGAAACTTCGTATTTTCTGTGAATTAAGGAGTCTTTCTTTGTTTTTTTTTCTCCTTCGTCTATCAAACAGCACATACAGAAGACTTGCATTCCTGCAATGATTACTTATTGAGCTCATTAGCTGTTGGTGTTAATCAGTTTCCATCCCTGTTGTTCTCACATCAGGAAGGTGAAGAAGAGTTGAAAAAAAAAAAAAAAACACCAAAAAAACTAATATATACAGGTTTCTTTTTTAGTTTACCCCCCTCCTCTTAGGAAGGGCCATAAAATGTACTATGGCACTTCCTTGATTTATATCTTGCAGCCTCATATCTGTCACTCATCCTGTAAATTAACACTCAAGCATCGTAGTGTCCCTGCAGCTGTTCATGTACAGCAACTCAGATTGCCCCCAGCCATCCACCAGTGTTTGTAGGGGGGTTTGTATTGAAAGCTATTCCATCAAAAAGAACGTTGTATAAATAATTTACAACATGATTTAATTTTTGAAGCCAATATATTTTCAGACTGTCATTGGTCCAAAAGTAGATGGATATCAGCTTTGCATGAAATGCCGTAGGCAATGCTGCTGTTGCTACTTTGTAAGGTGTGTGTGTGTGTGTGTGTGTGGAGGGGAGCATTTTCTTTTCTTTAACTGATTGCATTATGTAGTGGTCCCTTTTGTCTTTTCCTCTTTCTTTCTGTATTCTATTACTTCTGCTTCACTCAGATGTGTATGTGGGGTGGGGCGATACTGGGTAAATTAGTGATGTTGTTGCCTGTACTTAAAGGGACACTATAGACACCCAGACCACTTCAGCACACTGAAGTGGTCTGAGTATAATGTCCCAGTCCCCCTTAGTCCTGCAATGTAAATCATGGCAGTTTTCTAGAGGACTAAGACTGCCTCTAGTGTCTATCAATGAGACCGGCACTAAAGACACTTGCTGCTTGCTAGGCAGGCTTGCTTTCCTACAGGGATTTAACTGACATTGGATGTCCTCATACTCTGCATGAGGACATCTAGTGTCGGTTAAATCCCTATAGGAAAGCATTAAAGCAATGCTTTTCTATGGGGAGGGCCTTAAGTGTCCATGCTGTGCATGCGCATTAGCCCCTCCACCCTGCTGTATGACGGTGGAGGAGGCGGAGCACTAAGGGACATCAGTGCTGGACAGGCATGAGTACTTAAAGGTTTCTACAACCCTTTCAATGCCAGGGAAGGGGTAGGGAGGGGGGTAGAGGGAGCTATAGTGTAAGCATTGTATAGTGTAAGGTGCCCAAAAGGTAGATCCCCAGATGTTGTAGAACTACAAATCCCATGATGCTTTGCATGTTTTTAGAATGCCTTCAGAATGACAAAGCATCATGGAAGCTGTAGTTTTAAAACCTCTGATCTAGTTTTTGGAAACCCCTGGGCCCCCTAGACTGTAAGCTCGTTTGAGCTGGGCCCTTATCTACCTATTGTTCCTGCGTCACTGTGTAATTGTCTCATTTATTGTAAATATACCCCTTTCATAATATTGTAAAGCGCTGCAGAATTAACTATATAAATACCAATAATAATAATAAGGAATAGAACTTTGTATTCCTTACACTATAGGATACATTTAACCAGTTGGTGTCTAAAACCACCTTCCCCTTGTCCCATTGTTTTCCATTCACATGCATTACTTTATCTGCCTGATCATCTTACCTGCTTGCACACTTGATAACGATTCCTCTTTGGATCCAAGTGTTCTCGTTTGCTATGCTGATGTAATATTTTGAGTTATGTGCCAGAATATTGTAAAATTTATGATGCTTAGATTAGGGTTGGAATAGTATTAACGAACTGCAATCTTCTAGTGCAGCTAATAATATACATTTCTTTAACAATTCAATTTCTCAATACCTGTTCACATTACTGGATGAGCACCGCCTATATTCATATATTGCAACATATGGTAATGTCTCTGCATTAGAACTGGGAGATTTAGGTTTTTTATCTGTCAGACCACCAAACTAGTAAGTGTCCCTTGGCAGGTCACTGAACGATCTAGATAAATAACCCAATTCTATAATTGTACAGTTTTGCAGAATGTTGGTGCTCTATAAATGATGATATAATATGTGGCTGCAGTAAATATTAGGGATTTAGAGGGCTCCGATATGACTGCCTCAGCATATGGTTCTCTTCTGACTTGAATTCCAAATCAGGGTTATTTATGATCAAGCACTCTGTTTTTAAAGTATACTGTGTTTTCACGTAAGGTGATCTATCACAGGTCAAAGTTGGTATTCTGTCCTGCGATGTGGTTTTTATTATTCATTAGAACCATTTCATAAATAAGTTGACACTATTGGCTTCAGGACTTTTATCCAGACCTCCCAAGTGTCCATATTTAGGAGGGACATTTTTTTTTTAGGAGCTCCATATTGTTGCTGTGTCTGAGTGTATAACAGAGCTCCACGGCAATAAGACTCCCAGTAATGTGTCTTTACACTAGAAAAAAATGTGTTTAGAAACTAGTCTGTGTCAATCAAATAGTGTTCTTTTCCTAAACTACATTTTAGTTGTTAGTATAAATTATTTTAGTCCCCTAAAATTTCTCAGAACAGTCCACCTTTGCCCTAACCCCTAGGAACACCTTTAAAATGAAAGAAGTCCCTCTGTCCATTTGAAACTGTCCATTTGAAATGTTGGTAGGTATGCCTTTAACTGAGTCAATAAAGCCTACAAAGTCTCTTGGCTGTTTGGGACTAAGGAAACATGGTCATCTTCAAAACCAGTTTTTCCCATTACATAGATTCTCAAGTAAAACAAAGCTTTTTACCTCTTCAGAACTATTTACATACTGCAGGTACAAAGTCAGGACATTCCACGTGGTACATGAGGCATGCCGCGCATTATCGAGACGAGAGATCGTTTTGGATTTCAGAAAACCCACTCTTTGTCTTAATGGCTGTCTCTCAACCTCTGCTTCTGTGTACAGCTCTGTAACATCTATATCTCTTGAGATTTGTGTCTGTCAATCATCTTGGCTTCTGTGAAAGAGCAAACCGTGGGATAGGATCCTTACGGGGGAAAAAACCCCCCACAAAACTGTCCCTTAGCATTTCAGTGAACTAATAAGATGCCCCAAGGGATGAGGAGGAGAAAGCGATATTCAGGTATTTGCTCCTTAAGTCCTGAATTCGTCTTTTACCTGTGATGTACAGTAAAAGGGATTCATTAGCAAAAACCATGTGGCACATAAACAAAGCGCCTTATCTGATCTTCTAATTGTGTTATTAAGAATATGGCAACATTGTATGTTTTAGCTAAAGGGTACTTCAATCACCTAAGAGGCTAGAATGCATTAGTTAAAACCTTATGCAAAAAAGTGCAGGTTTTTAGAAGATTCCTATGGGAAAGCATTGGATTGGCTGAGACCATCAATTGTGACGATGTCAGTCAAGGAGGTGGATCGGGGGCAGTGCCAGCAGCGGCAGACCTGCGCGGTGCTGGAAAGAATGTAAGTTTATGTTGTTTTTGTTTTTCATTACCTTTTAATGGCAAGCAACATAAATGGTGTTTTAACACTATATAGGGTCAGGAATGCATGTTTGTGTTGCTAACCTTATTGTGTACGTTTAATGCAAGCTCTCTTCTCCATTGACTAAAAATCATGAATGAGGTCCAAAATCTGCATGGTGCACCCACAAAGCATCACCGGTGACACCCATAATGGGTCAGTCTGCCTAAGAAGGGAGCGTGCTCAACCACTGAATGGGTGTGTCAACCTTACATCCTGCTTGCCACGCGGACAGACTGCCTCTTGGGTGGCCCCCAATATGCTGGACCATGCAGAGAATGCTGCTGAATCGTTTTCTGCATAGTCCTAGTGTCCGCTGTGCATTGCGAGCATGTCTAATGAGGTGCTTGTGCTGTGCTGCCAATCCAATCTCACATTGGGAGGCTATTGCGCATGTGTTCCAAAACTCTGTTCCATGCCAATCAGCATCTCCTCATAGAGATGCATTGAATCAATGCATCTCTGTGGGGAACATTGTGCCCCCATGCAGTGTAGTGGTTCTGGTGACTATAGGCACCCAGTTGGTCTTATTGAATGACGCTGGACGTCCTTGCGCTTTGCAATGCTTTCACGTGGAGAAGGCCTAATGCGCTTGCTACAGGTGCTCATTAGGTTCCCTCCATCGGCTGAAGACGGCCAAGCCCAAATCCGTGCCAGGGGAGATCGGCGTTGCAATTAGGTAAGTGTTTAAAGAGATTTTAACCTTTTACATGGCTGAGGGAGGATGCACTATAGTGCATGTAAAACTGTATTCCTAACACGACAGTGTTCCTTTAAACAACCACACAAACTAGTCTACACCGTGATAAATACACACTCTTTAGTAACACGGTGCAGATGCAATCAGTCAAACTTTTCATTTATTTTTTCGATACAGAAGAACAGTAATATCTATAGGATTTGTTTGTTTTGTTTTTGCTAAAAAGAAACAAAACAAAAATGCAAAAACATCCATTTAAAATAAAGTGCAACACACATTACACAATGAACATAAACTCTTGATTAATTTACTTTCTTGGATGATATTTAATCCGTGAGCCAGCCTAAAATCGTGTGTGTGTCCCTCTCTTTCTTAGAGAGTGGATTAAACTGTGTTCTTGCTCCTCGAAAACACAGTTTTAAACCTCTTTCATCGTTTGGTTTGTATTTTGGCTTCTCTAACTATTTTACAGCCCGAGGGCTCTGCCTTTCCTGAAATATAAACAGGGTTTGCAGAAGCTTCAGGCATTGTATGGCCCACATTGAACTATTAGTCTGTAAAAACAATCCTTGTGCCAAAAGCCAGCATCTTTATTTTCATAGCACAGAATAAATATCAGTCTGCTACTAGGTTGCATCATAGACTTTGGCATCAGGGATGGGCAGCTGGGGGAGAGTTACACCAGGGTAATTGTAGGTTAATGGAACTAGGAGAAGCTCTTCATTATAATAGTTTACAAGCCAGGGAGTGTTTTCTCCTTTTTCTTTTAAATGTATATATTCTCTTACGAGGTTACAAATGTATTGGTAATACATGTTGATTAAAAGTTTTGATTTGTTTTTTGTGTAGATGGAAGAGGTTGTTTTTTTTGTTTGTTTTTTTTACACATAAGAAATATTTTAAGAGAGCCCTTGCCTTAGCATCTCTGAAACTCTCCCATAAAGCCATGTCAAATATGCAAATAAGCACAGAATTCACCTTTCACTTTTATTTATTTTTTTTTTCAAGCTCACATTTCTGAAATGTCTCTGTGCATTAACCTCCTGTTGTGTAAAAAAACCTTTTTTTTTTTTTTTAATGCCAATACACAGGCCAAACTAAGTGAGCATCGCCTGCTCTGTTCCTCGACACACGTCACTTAAAGGAACACTCCAAATACCATAACCACTACAGTGTGCTTTAATGGTTAAGGTTCCTGGAGTACATGGACATCCCCCTCTCCCCCATTGTAAGAAGTCATATTGTTTTAGAAAAGTTTGACTCTTTACCTTGGGTCCGCTGGCTTCCCATCTTTCAGATTGATGCAGTGGAAGTGGGGAGCGGCCAGGCAGACACCTGGTAACTCAATATGATGATTTGCATTAGGCGATGGGGAGTGCGCTATGGCCCTCCCAGAGTAATAAACACACAGCTAAATTGTTATGTTTAGAAACTGAATAATGTAACCATAATGTTTGTGGGTGATTATTCCATTGAATTTTCTTTTTAGTGTACTTCATTCTGACAGCTATCTGATACTTCAGTCAGTCAAACTGATACTTTCACATTCCGAGAGTGCCTGTAATGCACTGACTTTATTACCTTGTCTACTTTGATAAATGTGCATTCACTTTTGAGCAGTCCTCAAGGTCTTTAATGACCTTTTTTTTTTTTTGTGAATTTTATTTTGATTATCTATAGAGTTCAGACTTTTCTCGTATCTTGTTTCAGTTGGTTTAATTTGTTTTGTCACAAAGACTTGTATGCATTTTCTGCATGACAATCGTCCTAATCCACCAGTCCAATCCTCTGTCTATGAGAGAGAAACATTGGACGCACAAATAGTCTCTCATCAGCTAGGTATAAAATAGATTCCGTAGGTGTATTGTATTCTGAAGCTCCTAGTGGCTATCCAAATGGCAACCACTAGTAGGACATGGACATTCTAAAACAGTATGACTACTTCTAAAGGGATGAAGAGAAGATGCCAGGGTAACCACTATGGCTACTGTGCTTGGAGTGTTGCATTAAGAAGAACTAAGTGTTTTTTTAATTTTGTGCATAGGTTGATCGTTCAACATCTCAAATATAAATGGTCAATTCATTTGCAGAATAACATTTCACCTATTACATGATTTGATGTTATTTATTAGTAAAGAGTATGCAGTATCTATTGTTTTGCAGTATTTTGTACCGCTACAGCAAGCATGTGAAACGCAAAGTCTAGCACCGCCAAATAAACTAGGTTTAAGTTTGTGCGCAAAAAACCCCCCAAAAACTTGAATTTTCATAGAAATGTAGGGTTATTTCAAAAAGTACAGTATGAAAAAAAAAAGCTCTACTAAATCTGAATTTTTGTATTTTTTTTTTTTTTGTGTGTTCAGGCTTCGTGTGAAATATGTTAAGGAAGTCAGATTCCCAAGATACCTGCATAATGTGTAAAGTGTGTCTAAGCAGCAATCATTCCACAATTGGACAACTCTGGGGGGAAAATTAATGTGCAGGCTTCTATGCTGGCTTATAGTGACAATTAAACTTCCTCTCGGTTCCTTTTCCCTGCAGCTGATAGTCTGGTTTTGTATAGGCTAACTGGGGGTTGATGATGGACAGAGCTGCCATCAGAAATCGTGTGTGTGTGTGTGTCCCCAAAATACCAGAGTATTGCAGTATGCTATGATACCTTTTTTATTGGACTAACATAATATTTCAAAGACAAGCTTTTGAGAGTTTTCCTCAGGTCTGAAGAAATACTGATCAATCTGATAGCATTCAACACTTAAAACAAATGTTAGGGGACAGGGTGGGTAAGTGAGGTGTCATAAATAGCAGAAGATGTGCCATATGGGCCCCTTACATGTGTACGATCTATAATCCTCTGATAATTATTCTTTATATAGTGCTATCAGATTCCGTAGCGCTGTACATGATGTGTACAAGCAGTACTAATTATAAGGGTGGGGACTTTGTAACCTAAAACTTCCTCAAGGCCAATGATGTTGCTTGCTGTCTTCAAAATCTGGTTGCTGAAAACCAAATGCTGGCATGGAATGTTCTGTATAGCATTTGCTACTATGGACAAATGAGCGACACATTCCATTATAATATAGGATCTTTAAAGGTTGCTTTTATGATGGCGTTATTCGATCAGTGGTGCTTTTAAAGGGTTTCCCCAAACACCATGATCTCTTCAGTGATTCAAAGTGGTCATGGTGCCTAAACTGGGCTAGGGTATTCGAAATGACTACAACGGGCTGGAGTGGGCTGATGCTTGGAGTAACCATTGAGGTTGAAAAGGAAATAATTGAACGATAAACCTGTTCATCTTAAGCTTTCTGTCTCTTATTTTCCCTATAAAACTATGGAAATCTGTAATGCATCCATGACATAAAATGCTTTATATTAAAAAGCCCTCTGCCACCATAAATTATTATTATTATTATTATTATTATTATTATTATTATTATTGCCATTTATATAGCGCCAACAGATTCTGTTTTAAGGCACTTCTTAAACGGTTGAAGGCTAGGGGAGAGTCTGGCTATTCCATAGGAAAGGAGCCGCCTGTGAGAAGTACTGCAAGCGCGAGTTGGCCGTACGGGTGCGAGCAGCAGACAGGAGAAGGTCACAGGCAGAGTGGAGAGACCGTGAAGGGGCATACCTATAGATCTGTAAAGAGATATGAAGGGCTAGAATTGGTCAGTGCTTTATAGGTATGGGTAAGCATTTTGAATTGACTCCTATAGGATACAGGAAACCAATGTAAGGACTGACAAAGGGGTGAGGTGTGAGAGGACTGACTAGAGAGGAAAATCAGTCTGGCGGCAGCATTCATTACAGACTGTAGCGGGGCAATATGGCTTTTGGGAAGACCAATTAGGAGAGGGTTAGCATGGACAAGCTCCTTGGTAGCATCTTGCGTAAGAAAGGGGTGGATGCGGGCTATGTTTTAAGATGGGATCTACAGGATTTGGCAACATACTAGATATGTGGCTCAAAGGTGAGGCCAGAGTCAAGTATGACGCCAAGAGAGTGCGCTTGCAAGGATGGACTTATGTGGATACCATTAATTTGAAGGGAGAGTGAAAGAGGAGGATCAGTATTCGGAGGAGGAAAGACAAGGAGTTCAGTTTTAGAGAGATTGAATTTCAGAAAGGACATCCAGTCAGAGATGGAAGAAAGGCAAGCAGTGACACGTTGCAGGACGGCAGGGGGGATGTCCGGGGAGGAGAGATATATCTGGGTGTCATCAGCGTACAGGTGGTAGTGGAATCCAAAAGAGGTAATACGTTTGCCAAGAGAGGCTGTATAAAGAGAAAATAGAAGGGGACCAAGGACAGAGCCTTGGGGGACTCCAACCGAGACAGGACGAGGGGAGGAGGTATCATTAGAAAAGGACACACTGAATGAGCGTTGGGAGAAATAAGAGGAAAATCATGTTTATGAGTTTATATATTAAATTAACTTGTGCATATGTTGAACTCTTTAAAAATCCATGTCACATCATGGTCGTCCGGATGTATGTGTGATATTAAAATGTTACATTTTTGGCACGTCATACCAGAGCAAACTTTACGTTGTATGGTTATACCTTCCGTGACATTCTGGAACACAGAAGATATGTAAATATTCCCTTTTTTTTTTTCTATGCTATTATTTCTAATGCTATTCTTGCTTAACTGTAAAAAATAAAAATTGTAAATGTGTGTTCCCAGATTGTGGATGAATGGCTTTTTTAAAAAAATTTTTTTATGTATATCCTGTTTCAGAAACCTCGAAGCTTCTCTTTTTTTACCCCCTTCTCTTCCCTTCTTTAAGTTTAGCAAAACAGGCGTGTAATTCGTTATTGAGCAGAGCCTGTAGGGGTGCTTTGTGCAAGTCTTAATTAAGGTCTTTGAAAAAGCTCAACAAAAGAAGGGGGGAGCAAATGCTACAGGGTTATTGGCCATCCATTGGTGCATCTTGTGCATTCTCAACATAACTGACACTTTTGTTTGTGGTTAACAGAGGTAAAAGAAGCCAATTATTTTTTTTCCTCCTTTTCCCCCCTCTTCTTTAAAAGGGCAGCTGCTAGCAGATTAAACTAAAGGCAAATATGGCCTCCTCCTCCACAACTCCCCTACCACCCCAACACAGTGTTGTGATGGCTGTTCTCTTTTGAAAAGCTTTTTTTACCTTGCAACTGTAGCATTACTTAGGAAATAAAAAAAATAAAAAAATGGACACTTTAAGTGTTAGAAGGTTGGCCAGCTGTGTGCACTGCTCTCTTGGACACACAGGGTTAAGACCTGATTTTTTATTTTTTTTCTTCTTCTTTTTTCGTAGTTATAACCCCTTTAGTACCACTCATTTATATATGGAGAGCAGAGAGATGCGGTCATGTGCCTGCCTTGTGCATGCATGTGGGTCTGTCCTTTTACATAACAAAAACCTAACATTTAAAATCTATACATAGAATGATCACGGCTGAGAAAGTGTTGAACTTAATATATTTACTGTGATGCTTGTCCATGTTTGCTACGGTGATGCTAAGACTGTTTGCTTTTAATATATTTTTCACAACCTCAATCAACCAGCATATGCAGTTAGCGTTTAAAGGGGATCTGTCACTTTTTAATATTCTGTTTACTTATATCTACATTTAACACATTGGTATTTTGTGAAATCTGAAAAATAAAATTAAATACAGAATTCCAAGTTTTTACAGCTGTCTTGGCTCTCCAGCAGTTCATTATAAATGTTTTCTACAAAAATAGGTTTTTTTTCTCCTACTCCTTTGCATTGTGTGCCTTGGTTGTGCCTTGACTGAATTGACATACAATTAGCAAAATCTTTAATATACATTTTAAGAGAAAATGAAAAAAGTTGACTCAAGTTTTAGGTGTTTGTTTTATTCAGAGGTGTAATTTCAGTAAGGATAGTCCCCCTTTAAAGCATTTTTATGTTACAACTCTTTATACATATATATATATATATATATATATATATATATAAAATTTTATTTTCTTCAAAGCCAACAAACTTAAGATATATCAAAGTGTTTCTTGGATACACAAAGCTTTGAAAACCACCATGTCAAGTCACAAGCTGTAAATAACCACCATTTAATAGTCTTGTTAAACATATTTTTAAGAGTTGGGTGGGCATAAACACCATTATTTACTAAATGGCACATTTTCCATTTTTAAGACTCTATTCCTCTACTCCTTGAGGCTATTTCTGTCATGTATTTCCAAACCGTGGCAGTGCGTTATCTGACTTGGATAAACACTGTGTGTTTTTATAGGCTGTTGTTTCCAGAACCAATCCGTGTTTTGGAGAAGGACAGAAAATAGCTGTTTTCTGAATTCTCACTGCAATTTACATTTTGTTTCATACCCCAAATCATATTTGCAAACCGCTAAATACGCCAATAAACTTTTTTTGGCCTTTTATAAACCTACAATAATTTTCTCATTTTTATATACTGCGATACAAAATTACTTGCCCTCTTCTCAAGTCTCATCCCAGCCAGAGACTGACAGAATTTGGGTCATGCTGCTCCGAGGAGATTTTGCACTGATTGTAAACTCCAATTAAAAGTAATTTTAACTGAATTACTGACAGAACCGAGGGGGTGACTGGCCTGAATGAGTTTTTGCCCACCACACTCAAATCTGTTGATGTGTTTTGTGCAGGTGGTTTGACGATCTCCTTGTTTTGCCTGCCTGGTTTCTTCCCATAGCAAATATGTCAACTCATTAATGGACCCAAGGTAGGCAATTGGTGGGGCGATGAAGAAAAAAGTTAAAGTCCCCACTTCTCCAAATGGATGGCCTTAAAGGGCTATGTGCAGGATTAGGGTAAAGGTATAGGAATTCATATGGCTTATTAATTATATAAAAATATTTTTTTTTTTTTTTTTTTTTTAGCTTAACAATGCTCATCATCCCCCATTCCCCACCTTAACGCTGCTTTCATTTATCAAATTCTCTTAATTGGGTTTAAAGGCACGGATGAATAATATAACCTATATAATTGTTCTACAGGATTTTTAAGTAGACTTTAGCTGCGGCTTTAGTGTTGTGTTGCCGTGTAACAATGGTCTTTTTTTTTTGTGTGTGTGTGTGTGCGCGGCTATAGCCCTCCTCTAAGCTACATTCATTTATATTCAACGCTGTTATTCACTTAGGAATTCTGACAATAAAAAATGCACCCAGTATTTTGGCCAGTATAATAAAGGAGTCAAATCACTAAAGATCATTGTGAAACACCCCGATCTGGGGAATTGAAAAGTTTCAAACAGTGGCAAGAAAATGACATGTTTTTCTTTAAATAAATAAAGACTTGGGGTTGGTGTAACCTTCAACCTGTTGGGGACCTTGACTTGGATTAGGAACATGCACTAGGAAGTCAACAGGTAATCAGCATGTGCAGAATAATGCTTTTAAAAATTAAAATCTGTTCCAGATTAAATAGTAACCAGATCTGTTCGTATGCAAATTCTATAATTGTATATCCCTACAGAGATTTGTGGTTTATGGCTTAGTATTTTCAGAACAAAGTGAAAAGTATGGCAACTTTTATCAGTTCATGTTCAGCAAAGCGATGTTTTATACCGATTGCCTATTTCATAAAAGGAAAAAGAGGGAAAAAAAGGAAATCTGTTTTTAAAAGACGTTTTATATAAAGTGCAATTCTGTTTGAAAGTTCAAAGTGTGCGTCAATCACCCTGTTTTAGTACATTGCACCCTTTTTGCTGTGGAGTGTACTCTGCACAAAACCTTTCTGAGAAACCTACCTCTATTTATGCTTTTAACATTTTAAAGTAATATTTCAAGCACCATAACCACTTCATCCCATTGGTGACATCCCATTGTAATTAGTCAACTGGTTTTGAAAATATTTTGGCAAATTACGTGATGTCTGCCTTCTCCTTTGTAGCCAGAAAGTTCTGCACTGAGCTAAGTCCTGCTGTGCCTGGTGATGCTCTTCTCTCTGCTTAGCCAAACTCTAGCACAGTTAGTTCATTGTCTAATGGAAGCTCCTTGAATGAGCTTCTGGTTCCAGAGGTGGAGGGTGCTTGGTGGACTCCAGGAAAGTGGTCAAAATGGTTTGAGAGTGTAACCTTGGAGGCCAGCAGGTCACTCCTTTTGAGCGGAATTGGAGTATTTCTTGTAGGGTTCTGAGGTAGCCCTACATTAGGAAATTAGAAAGATCAGTTAAAAACTTACACTTTTATTGGTGCATTGTTTGTGCCATAAATGGTACATGTGGCCATAGTGACGCAGACAAAGATTTTAGATTACTAAAACCAGCTTAATTTCTGTTATATCCAACAACGGTAACATATCTGCCATTTCTTCTTCAAAGGCCATGTTTATGTATTTATTTATTATCCTGGCAACATCAGGAGATGTAGCTCATAAAAAGTGGCTTGGGTACAATCGAAGTCTCCATGATCCACATCTGGCAAATTTTAATTTATTTTTCCCTTTCTATGTGTTTGTTTTTATATGATGACCACATGGTCACAGGCAAATTTCAGGTCTACATCAGTGATGCCTCTTTACTGCAGCCCAACGTTTAGCTGGACTATAAATCATAACCGGGTACTAATTTAGGATACGGAACATGTGTTTCTTGGCCACAGCTGACTGTGTGTGTGTGTGTGTGTGTGTGTGTGTGTGTGTATATAAATTTTTCTTAAGATGTCTCCACGAAGGCTGCTTTAAAAATTGCCTTGTAGCAAAACCAAGAATTATTAACTCGTTGCTTAGGTAATATTTATTTGCTTTGGTAGACTGTACTGTACTTGCTATATATTCTTTGTCTGGAATAATGTTTTTTTTTTGTTATTGTTATTGGTTTTATTTTTGCTTAAAGAGGTACGAGCTAATGTATCTGGAAGATACTATGCAGGGTAGTAATGTTTTTGTTTGTTTCCCCCTCTCCCCCCCCTCCATGCTTTGATTATACATGTGAGCGTTAAGGAATTATTGTACGGGTTTAGAACATTTCTCGTCATTTTGCCTAGGTTACAAACTACCAAATAAAGTAAGAGTGATGTAACGTATCCCTATCCCTTGTTAGACTGTGCTTCCCACGTGATTGAGAGAAGGAGAATAATCAGAAGTGACCAGGTTATTTGCTAGATGTTGGCCAAATCATGTTTAATTCAATTTTGGTTTTTGAAAACATGGGCATAGAAAGTACTGAATATTTTTAGTGGTTTTTTTTATTTATTTTTTTATTTTCCACAGACTACATTAAGTTTATATGAGGAAAATTAACAGCTGTATTTGGCTTCAATCTTTCTTTCCTTTTAAGAACGCCCATTTGATTAAAATGTATTTTTATTTAGCACACATTGTGATAAGTTGGCATTTTCTCCACTATAGAGAGTAGTGAGGTGACATTTTTCAGATTTTCATCTACAGCTGCATTTTGAGCATTCTCTCTCATTTTTGATACTCATTCTTTTAACATTTGTGTATGTTTGGATATAAACTGTGTATTACAGTATTTTTACATATACATTTAATTTTTTTAGACTATTTCAATAAATATGTTTTACTTCATCATGGACTGAATCAGCTTTCGACATGATTCTGGTTGTTAGCCGGTGTCTTGATATTCTACACTATATAAACACCTTTATGTTTCAGGGACCGGGGTTTTAAAACCTTGGGCGTTGACATGTTTTATAATACTTGTACACTTTAAATGATCATGACCAGTAGTCCTTATCTGGCCAATAGCATTGGACCTTTAGGTCATAAGTTTATCCAACATTGGAATTAGGATTGTACATGAAACCATGCTAAACTGGCATCTTCCAAGAGACCATAATCTGGACTAGAGTCCCCTTTAAGAACAAATGATTACAGCAATTTAGCTTTTATTTTTGGTTTTCAAATCTGCTTTCAATAATTTAATATTCTATTATTTTTGTTTTTTAAAGTGATATCAGCATGAACAACATTACCAAGCTGCCAGAAGGTGCTTTTAAAGGGTTTCCTGATCTGGAAGAGTTGTAAGTACTATATTTTATTCTTTCAATTGGTTACTTTTTTTTTTACATTTTATTTATTTTGTTTTTCCCCCCTATATTACACAACCCGTAAAACTTTTGGGAACATTCTGTGTTTGTTTTACTTTAGTACATGCCTATCTCCCACTCAATACTCCGTATTCGGTCTTATTAAAGCAAACTCGGATACGTGTAGGGTGGAAGAATAAGCAGTTAGACCATTATGACAAAGTGAGGGGAAGCTATTGGGGATAAAACTTCCCCCTTGACTCCATCTAGTGGTGAAGGGCAATTACAGTTGCAGATGCAGTGATTATGGTGCGTCACTGTCGCTAATATGAATGAAATGTAAGGAGACTGGGGCAAAGGATCTCCTTGCACCATAACACAGTGGTTTCCAGTATTTCATGGTACTCCTTACTCTAGTTATTATTTTTCAAGCCAGGTAATCTGTAAACTATAAAGAGCACAAACTACAACCCCTCCTTTCCCCCCAAAAAAAACCAAATACCTACTAGTAATTAAATATTTTAAATGTTAAACATCTCCTAGGCAACAATTTGTCCTTTTCAGGACTATTTTGTTTTTATATACTTTGACCCATGAAATGATTAAACAAGAAGGTTGGTTTATAGCTGAGGTTTTATGAGAGCCTGAATGCATGGGGGCACCCAGTGTACCATACCTTGGAGTAATTTCCTTAATTTTGATTTGAAAAAACCTGCGATACAATACATATTCTGAGAAATTTGAAAACTTTTTAGCAACATTGATATGCTCTGCCCCTTGCCTTGTTTGTCTTAATATAAATCTAACCAGCTCTTTATTTTGATTGTATTTTATTAAAGTAGTGTGAATTCAAAGTAGTCCATGTTTAGAATATCTAAGTGGGTGGGTGCTTGCTATGATATCTGGATAACGTTCGTCTGGTTCATTTGCTGAGATTGTAATACATGCTTTGCAAATGATTCCAATTAGGCACAGCTTGATAATATATTTGTAGAGGAGTAAAACCAAACTGATCGCGACATTCCACCACAAAAGCCTGTATATGGTGTATTCTAGAAACAGATTAATGCAGTTAGGCTTTCAGACAGAAATCCCATACAGATGTTGAATATCAAAACATGTTTTCATGGTTGAAATTTTGACTTATTTACGTATTGGATTTTATTTTCTTGTTTTGCTATTCTAAATTGAATGCACTAGACGTGTTAATTAGACTTGGACTGATATGACCTACTTTGTATAGAAAGAGAGAATATCACAAGCCTCCGTGAGATTAAATCCTGTTTCATGCATAACAGAAAAGGTGTGACGAGCTGAGAATTTTTAATTAACCTGTTAGCGTGAAAAATCTTGTTGCATGTTGGAAAGAATTCTACAGACATTTATTTCTATGATCTAATTTAATGAACTATTGGAATGTGTAAGTGGATGAGTGTGTGTATTTGAGAGGTAAGTGTCAGAGTCCACTTAACAGTCATGGCTATGGTTGGCAACCTACATTACAAGTCACATCAAGCAGTATCACGCTGTAAAATTAGCATAATGTAAACTGTAGAATAACAATATATACTATAGTGGGCATAATATAATGTAGGCTAAGCAGCATGATGTGGACATAATGGAGGTAAAGTGAAATATTTGCAGGCAATGTGGTATGTGTGCATAATATTACTTAATATTTGTACTAATTAAACTGGGTGTTCTCACAGGCCGGGACAAAATGATCTTGAAACTATTTTAGGTTTACATTCGCGCAAGCATTCAGTGTGCACATACTTTTACAAAAGGTAAACATTTGCGCAAAATATTTCTGCGCCCTACTAAACCAAAATAGAGGTACCCTCACAGCGACTGTCGATTGATTGATTAATATATGCATGCAACCGCAGCTTGAGATTGGATCTATAGAGATACCATACAGATATTGTGTGCAGTCGAAGTAGGAAAAAAATCTTCAATATTAATTTCTCAAACAAACTTTACTTCTGGTAATCTCTGCACTTATATGAAGCGGTGTGTAAGGAGACTAGGACTGGAGACCTACTAAAACCATAACCTTTGTAAAAAACATATATCGCCATGGTGCTCGAAGTGTCCATTTAAACATGTGGCAAAAAGGAGACTTGTATCATTAATCTGATCAGTTTAATTGCCACTTTAAGCATCAGCTGTACACCTAAATAGTCTAGAATACTTAACCTGTAATTTTCCTGAAGGCCATTATCTCATCCCCAGCTATCACCCTATCATTATATAATGATCAGTTAGTGAACAATACATCCTCCATTATAGTTTTTGTTTTGGACAAATGATTGATTTGATATCAGTTAGCATTGCCTCCAGGATTCTACATGGAATTTTCAGAGTAGAATGCCATAGTTATCCATTTTAGGGGCTGACATCATCAAGGGTGAAAGTCTGACACCTGGAAAGGGTGTGTCAGAGTATTTGCATTTAAACCTACTTAATTTGTTTTAGGATTAAAATGTGTTTAAAAAAAAAATAATAATAATAATAATAATCTTTTCCCCCATGGTGCATTAATCAGAAAAGTGATCAATGGATAATTGATGCCTTAGTTATGGCCTTTTATGGACACTTCTAATTGTGCTTCAATAAGCAGAAACGTACAGGCAAAAAGGTGCTATTATGCTGGTTTGCATGGTACTTGCCCCTTTGTCAGCAAGTTGTCCCCAAAGCACCTCACCCTTATTCCAGGAAAAACAATGGGTAGAAAGAAAGATCTTTATCTGGCTTGTTATTTTTTTTTTTTATCGGAATTAACACACCACATAAAGTCAATTAAGTGACTGGAGGTTGTGTTTAAATTAATCTTTTGTTTGTTTTTTTCCTCAGTCTTGTCTATTTAACTTAAAATGTATGTTGATATTATCACTGTAACTGTCAAACGGTAAATTAAAAAAAGAAAAATAAATATTTCGTCTTTTAAAGATATTTTTTGTTCAATGATAGAGTTGCAAGCCAATCATTGACTACTCGAATGTTGTGACGTTATTTATCAGCTTGTAATGAAAGTCAAAACAACAGCAAGTTTATAGTCTAGAAAATACTGGTTCCTCATGCTTCAGTATGTTTATTTTTTTGAGGAACCCCGTTCATTACAGGGACAATCTTGGCACTATTATCACTACATAAAGCTGTAGTGGTTATGGTGCCAGGCGTTACCCTAGCTTTGCCCACAGTGCAAGCTGTGAAAACGTTTCACCAAAATACAGACCGATTTTAGATACACAAAGAATGAAAGTATTTTAATTCTACACAATTTGGCTCATCCAAGCTTGTTACAAGCCTCAAAACCATTAACCACTACCAGCATCTACTAGAAAGACCAGTAATGTTTTTACCCAACAAGTCTGTTTTTGAAAATACATTCATTAACATTAGACTCCGAGTATACGGTTAACTCTCTGTTGGCATACTATTCTTTTTAAAACTTTAAAGGTAAAACTGTAGAACAGTTTTTTATAGCACTGTTTGTAGAACTGTGTTTTTATAGCACATCCCGAAGACTTTACAATATCTAGCAATTATTCATAGGTAGGTTACAGCAGACAGGAAGATACATTATCACAAATACTGAGTCAAAATGGAGTAGAGAACTTTGTCTGTTGGGTTTAATCAAATGCTTGTAACACTTTTTATACAATGTGCATTTATGTACCAAAATAGCCTGCTATATCCATTTTAATAATAAAAAAAAAAAAAAAAAAATTTAAAACAAATTGCATGGTTAATTATTGTATGTATTGTGTGGTTTGTTTTGTGTTGTAAATGCATGTGTTTTTCCAGTTTATTTTTTCTTTGTAAATAACTCTACAAATAAAAACAATGAACTGTGATTTCACATTTGTAATTATTAGTGTGCTGCGGACACTGTCAATCTCTTTCCCAATCTATGTAAGGTGTGGTTTATGAATTGGTGCCAGATAAGGAATGCTGTTTTTCATTACTTAGTACACCTCCTCCGGTGCACCCATTTAACTTGCTCCTCCTGCGTTGCTGTGCACAGATCAGGGTGGTCTGTTTTGTTTGTCTGTTTTGGCTGATGCAGCCTTAACAGACATGTGCTAATTGCTTCCAGATGACTGTCTGTTATGCAGACAAAAGGGAATGTTTTTAAAAAGCATTTACACTGAAAAATACAATTGCTCTGTTGATTTCTCTAGGGGAGGCTATGGGTTTCCTTTTCTTTTTTTATTACAAATGCACCTATTATACATATCTACCTAATTTGTTCAGGCACATCTTTTTTCCTTGCCAGAAGGTGAATTAACTGCTTTTGATTGAAGGCTGTTCGTTAAGTGACTACTATTATGTAGGCCATAAATGCGTAACCGTGCCATTTTATTTTACAATTCTTGTATAGTGGCATATCCACAGCACTTTGCAAAATGTTTAATAATTGATCTTGCAGCAATATCGCGATTGTCCCTATTTAGGAAGGACAATCTTTATTTTGGCCCAAAATACCTCTGTCCCTCTTTTATGTCCTTCTCTTCTCTAGGAGCTCCATGGTGTGTGGCAGTGTATAACAGAGCTCCACAGCAATAATACTCCCAGTAATGTGTCGGAGTGTATAACCGAGCTCCCCAGCAATAATACTCCCAGTAATGTGTCTGAGTGTATAACAGATCTCAATAGCAATAATACTCCCAGTAATGTGTCTGTGTGTATAACAGATCTCAATAGCAATAATACTCCCAGTAATGTGTCTAGGGGTATAACAGAGCTCCACAGCAATAATACTCCCAGTAATGTGTCTGAGTGTATAACAGATCTCAATAGCAATAATACTCCCAGTAATGTGTCTAGGGGTATAACAGAGCTCCACAGCAATAATACTCCCAGTAATGTGTCTGAGTGTATAACAGAGCTTCAAAGTAATAATACTCAAACAAATTGTGTGGCCTACTTGTGGACTTTAATCTAATCTTTGTAGCAGTTTTTAGACCTCTAGTGAATTTACAATAGGACGATTACAGATGTTGTTAATTACTTTTCCTAAGTAGTAAAGTAGAAATGTTAATAAATATATACTGGCCAGTGTTAGCCCTGTTTGACATAGTGGGCAGAAAATTTGAAGACTCTGTATTTTACAAAATAAGTAAGACCACAGAGCCTAGATTACATTGGAGAACACGATAAAAACCAAAAACCCTTAAACTCGTAATGTTTATAGTTGTCTTTAGTCATTGGTAGAAGCACTGATTTAATCACTGCCATCTTGCAGGATCTTCTATCAAAAAGGTAAACAGTAGCCACGTATTTTATGTTAGCTTGCTGAACAGTTCGCAAATTAAGCTATTCATTATTGCTAAGCATCTAAGCATTCCCTCTCATACGGATCTTGAGACACCTGTACACATTCGCTAATACATATCTCTTTAAGAATACTATGATTGAAAAAAAAAAAAAAAACCTGTATGGCCAAAGGGGGCCATGTTGTACCATAACGTGTGCTGTCACCCAAGACACGGAATAAAGGTAACACGATTAATGCATCTGCATCGATTTCATCATGTTGATGTGAAAGATGAGCACTTAGACTGAATTGGCACAGTTTTATATTTGACCAGTTCTAAAATATAGACTTGTAGGAGCAGGGCCCCCAACACCTTCTGTTCATGTGTGTCCAGCTCGTCTTGTACAATAGACTAACCGACAAGTATATGCAACAGCGCTCTGGAATTTTTTTTGGCACTTTATAAACAACAATCATAATAATTAGAAAATAAACCAACAAACAAGATGATTAAATACAAAAGCAGACGAGGATTAAATGCCTCCTTTTAAAACTTGGGGAAAATACTTTATTCAAGCCTTGCAGTTTTCTTCTCTGGTCCTAATAAGTGATTGTGCCCTAAATCACACACTGCCAATTTTTCCGTGAAGGTGTTAATAGGTTCATTCAGGTCCTCTCAGACTGAGAGGTGTTATCTTGGTGCCTGCAATATTTGTCTTTTGATTTCACAATATGTGCAGAGCTATTTGAGCTCAACATTAGTACAAGTGTGTACTTATTACATGCACCTACGCTTTACACCTTGAACTTGTGTTTTTTCCTGAACACTAAGCTGATATTGATTCCTCTGCCACCATGTGCCTGAATTTTACTTTTCTTTAAACCTCTCTGCCTTAGGACATAAAGAAATTATTCTTTAAAGGGATGTTGCGGGATGGAGTGACCCATTAAAAAAATATTTAAAAAAAAATTTGATGCATTAAAAATATAATAAACAATGTTACAAATAATAAAAATGAATAAATAACAAAGAAAATAAAATTGGATGCTAATATTTGAAGTTCCAGCATGCATGCAATATAAAACTGTCAAATTCAATGTCTGAACAGACCATTTTGTTCAACCATTCTTATGTTGCACCCTTATCCAGAGCACTTCAGGGTTAACCTGGCTGTAGGAATAACATCTACCATAAGCAGATTCATGTTCATTTCTGAACTCTCTAAACTGTTTACCTACATTTGTATTTGATTTCTGTATCTATATTGAATCTAGTTACAGGGCAGTTTAGTTTTTTCCTTAGAAAAAAAGTACATTCTGGCTTTAACCGTTTAATTTTAATATGGGTGCAAATTAGAATGACACGTTTTGTAGAAAGCAGGAGCCATTCAAATTTTTGTTCATTTGTCCCGGAAGATGTTCAGCTACAGTGATTATCATAGAATGCACAAAACCAGACCAAAAGTCCACTTTATTTTACAGCGACGTAACATCACCTCTTTGCTTTGCAAAGTTCACATCAAGGTGTTGAGATCCGCACAGTGAGCTCTTTTTCTCTCCTGACCTGTCGTGGCAGACATGGACAACAACTACTTGAATCTGAGCACGCACGTCCGTGTGAGCGGGATTCAAATCACCTATAGTTTCTGTTTTGACTATATTTGTTATCACATTTTTGTGTACACATTGTGCAATTCACATGTTTAATGCACAAGTAAAAACCTTATGTTGCTATTATGTTGCGGTTTTAGTATAAGTAAATATTTGTAGAACCCTTTGTTTCCTTTTGCTCAAGTAGCAATGAAAAATGTCGGTTTAATAACATAAATATTTCATAAATGTTTTTGTATTTATTTTTTCATTGGCATTATGTTCAGTGATAGCCTTCTCTGGGCAAACGTGACAACATATGTCCTATTAATTTTTTATTTATTCTTTTCCTGGACTAGATGGTTATGACGCACAGGTCCTTAACCGGCTAAACAATCTCTCTGCATTACTGCCCCGTTTCTTAATATATCTGGTACATGGATCTTGTGATAAATAGTCTTCTTAAAACATAAAACCACTATCTAAGTCGTGCTAATCCTCAGTGATAGTTCAGCAAATTGCTCAACCGCGCAACTCACTGTGGAATGATGCAGACCCTTGAGTGGTTTACAACTTTTTCCCTTCCAACCGTAATAGAACTATGGGGTGCATGTAGAGGGATAGTACTCTTTGCCAGTGGAGAAAATATAGATTAAGAAAATGCATGTGGTATTGAGGAGCCTTCTTTTCCGGCGGATTTTAGCATTATAAAGAACTCCAAATATTGACAAATTGATTAATCTGGCCTCCAAAGATGTGATATCCGAGCAGAGAATCTATTATTGCTCAATATATTTACGGTGAAGGCAAATTACGGTTTGTCCTTTATGTTGAAATTCACAGACTGAAAAATTCAGACCGACTGTGTGCAATGCCCAAAAAGTTGAATACTTTGCTTTGTTATTTTTCTCCTACGAAGGAAACATGAAGGCAACGTCCATGTTAAGGAGTGAAAAGGAGCATTGAACTCTCATTCACATGTCAAGAACGGATGAGTTAAGATATATTCCACGTTCACATATACATCTATATCTATATATATCTATCTATATATATATATATATATATCTATATATATATATATATATATATATATATATATATATATAGATAGATATAGATAGATAGATAGATATAGATATAGATGTATATGTGAACGTGGAATATATCTTAACTCATCCGTTCTTGACATGTGAATGAGAGTTCAATATATATTTATTTATTTTGGGCACTCAATAACGGTTTGCACAACCATTTGTCTCCGTTTTATGATGTCTATTCCTGCATACAAGTGTACAGATACTCTTAACAAAATAACCAAAAATACAATCTACAGAAAAATATTGACATGAACTCACCAGTGTTACAAAATGAGACTCCATGTTTGTCTGTATTATAGTATAGGACCAGCCATGTTAGGCAGGTCTGTGATTGGAATATGGAGAAGAAAATATGCTGGGAAATGATTGGGTATTGACACAATTGGCATCATGGGTTGCATGTCATTGTGCAGACCCAGCGGATACAGGCTGCCTGGTAGGGTAGATTGTAAAGGCAGTACATGCTTAGTGTCACTGAAGAGCTGTCTTGTGGGCTGGAATACCCTGTACTACATCCCAAGTGTCACAAGAATGTGTTTAGACGTGTTCGCCCTTCACTTTGCCGCTCTATGACAGAGTGTATGTTGGGTGATGTGGAACTCTGTCCAACTCGTGTTTTGGCATGTTTAAATTCTGTGACCGAAAAACCTTGTGAAATTGTGGTTGATGGTTTTAAAATAAGAAGTCCTATCCATTTATTATATGTTTAGAGCTGTGTAATACTTTATACTGTTTGTCTATTTGGAGCTTTGAAAACAAAGACATTTCTAAAAACAGGTGAAAAAAGGTTATCCATTCTTATAGACAAGAATGTTGGATTCATTATTCAAACAAGAAAAGGCAAATTCCCAGATTGTAAGCTTTTCTTTGGACAATTCTGTGTCGTCATGATGCCATTTCATATGCTGACGCTTCTAAAGAAATTATGAACTATGGGTTTTAACTTCAAATATGCTGAGATTAGGTTGGGTAAATTAACTTTTTTTTTTATTTTTTTTATTTTATTACTTTATCTATTATTGCTAGAGAACCTGCTCTGTTAATCATTGTATTAATCAATTTGAAAAGTTATAAAGCGACATTTGAAACTCTATAATCACCACACTCTCTGTAGTGCTTATAGTTTAAGAAAAATTTAGGTGGGATCCATTCATTTTATATTCCACAGTTTTGGGGTGGATAGACCAAAAAAGAAATATTGCTCTCTTCCATAATTAAAGTTTAGTCACTCTGACAGTGTGAAAGATTCGCTTCTACACGGTCAGTCCAAAGTCACTTAACCAAAGACCACTAGGATAGGTTGTGAGTGCTGTGGGAGTGTGGAAATGAAGCACTTCTAGTGGCCATCTGAGGAGTGGCAATTAGAGATGTCCCTAGGCAGCAACATTGCCTTCTAATTAAGCTGTAGTCATTTTTGGTGCCTATAGGGTCCCTTTAAACTTGAAATTCACTTTGAATTCACAACAATTGGTGAATAATTATTTATTTTTTTTGTACGAGTCCTTTAACATATGCATGTAGAATTAAAATAAATAAAAACCAGAGGACAGAAGATTGGGGCTATACAAATAATATATATATATTATTTTTTTTTTTTTTTGTGTGTGTGATCTATTTAGCAAGCTACATTTGTCCACCTCTATTCTATCATATAAGGCCTTGATCCTGTATCTTCAATATTATATATATATATATATATATATATATATATATATATATATATATATATATATATATATATATATATATATATATATATATATATATATTTATATTTATATTTATATTTTTTAAATGATGACCCGTAGGCAAGCCAAAATGTAATCTTCTATTTTCTCTGCCCAGATGTATATTTAATCCAGCCTCGAAGGTTTGCGTGTAATACTAATAAGAGTCAGCCCTCCTCCTCCCCCTAATTATGAGGTCCTTGACCCTCATAAGGCAGTTAGTCCATCAACGACATAGTAATATTTGGCAGACATGTTAGCAGAACCTTTGCACACTTGGCCAGTTGTATCCTGTTTCCTGGACGATTGCCAGAGAGGAGAAACGGAAGTTGAGTGAATTGCTGTCTTCTCTTACTTGGTTTAGCATAGTGAATAAACATGATTTGCCTTAAGGTAAGCTATACATATCTACTTAAAGTCACGCAACAGCATGTTCTCTGGGTTCCAGCGTGTTCACCTCACAATGAGCCGTAGCACTGACTTCCATTTATTTTGTTTTGGTTTTGACCTGAATGTAGCAGTTATTTCATCCAATTAGGAGCATTGTTATGTCTAGTCTATACGGCATCAGATAACCGTGCCTAACATATATAGAGAAAATATATAAATAAGAAATTGGGAATCACTTAAAATCTTTGGCCTGTGTGGGTTTTTTTTTTTTAGTTATTGCTAGATTTTGCTGAAAAGGAGAAAATAATGGGCAACTTATTATTGGGCCCCCAGTGCGATTTCTTTCCTTTATATTGATGTCAAAATACTTGCCAGGTAGAAACACTTCCTCAAGCCCTGACTTGTCGTTCGTTTTATTTCCTGCTTTGGATAATCCGGAATCTGTTCGAAGTGTTCATGAATCAATGCTCTGTTTACATCTGTCAATAATGCATTCATGGAAAATCCTTCTAGTCATGCTATCACTTACACGATCACATTAGAGGAGCGCTCTAATTTTAAATATTTATTTTTTAAAATGTTAATTTGCTAAATTATAATACTAGTGCTCCTTTTTTGATTTTATTTATTTTTTTAAATTGAAATAATGCTATTATATTTATTTGTAATCCAGTTCCAAGTTGGTCCTCGCAGTAGTCCAATCCTCCTCCAGTGACATCAATATTGATGACATGCATCCAATTAAATGCATTGAGCACATACAACGCATGCACGGATATCACCTCGAATTGTATATCCAATTCAGGATCATGATACTTTACTTGCTGATGCCAGATATAAATGGTTTTGTTATTGAATCTATTTTAGTTCAAAGCCACTAGTGACTGTATGTCCGAGAGCCACTAATGCTGTTTATCAGAATGGCACAGTTTTGATCAGCAAAGATGCAGGGGGCAGTATCTATGCGCCAAAATGACTTCATTAAAGGTTCCATTAGAACCTCATCTTATTTCATTTGTGCTGATGTATGGAGGTTCTGGGCACCATTATACCTTAAGTGGTTAAACTGTTTTATGAATGGTGTAACTCCAGAAATGCCTAGACATTTTCCGTACATTCATCTTTCATGTATGTTCCTCCATGGGAAACCCGCGATCGCCAATGCTCTCAGCCTACAACTTGCGCCCCTGTCTTAGGCTTCCTCATTGAAGCAGAGGGTGGAGGACAGTGCCCAAGATCTTCAACAACTTTTATTGAGATGAAGTTAGTGTAGTGTAGTGTCAGCAGTGTTTCTGCTTAGTCTGTCCTTTTTACTCCACTGCAAGATTCTAATGCGTCAGTGGAAATTATGCAGAGTAGATTGTAGTATTTACAGTTATGGAAATGCCAATCAAACATATCCATATCCAGTGTGTGTGCGTATATTATTCCTTTATTGTATATTATTTATTATAGACATAAAACCACATCGCCGCAGTAACAATTCCTTACTTTCCTTGTACAACATTTATTTGATTTGTGGATTGCATACAAGTTTAACAAATCAAAATAAAATGCAATTTAACTCTACTTTCTGCAGTTAATCTTGATCATCCCCCAGAGTGGAGAATGATTGTACTTCACTATGAGTTTTACCCCCACCAGAATAGGTGATGCATTCAAACGAGCAATTACACCGACATTCTGAGTCTCATGTTGGTATTAAACAACATATGGAATCGGGAAGATTGGAATATGATCCTTCTGGCCTGGTGCTTTCTTTCTTTTTTCTGTTTTTCCTTTCTTCCTTTCATATGATCCAAAGGGAGAAAACCATATCCTTTATGGTTTGTTTTAAAATAAATAGATTGATGCTGCACTAAAGTCTGACACACAAACATTCTGCAGTTGTGGATTGTTCTAAGTGATGCAACTGGGAATATTAGCAGACAAAGGAATGGTTGCGTTTTGTCTTTTCACCTCATATTTAAGCATTTAATTCTGAAGAACATGTTATCTACTTATGTAATCGTGTGTGTGTACACGCTCATGAGACTTCTCCCTTCCTTTGATACCTGGGGCTCTAAGAGTCAATAAATTGTTTACTTCTTGCTGTAAACAATCCTATTTTGCTGTTGGGAGTTCTCAAAAATTGCTTATAAAACTGTTTAGAAGGTTTAACCCCGAATAACAAGGAATTGTGTTGCAACCACAAGGCGTTGGGTTGTTGGCTGTACACGTAAGAAATGTTGCTGCAGAGTTGGTAGTTTGCCTGAAACCTGCAGGACTTGGCACGTCAAAACCTTCAAAGCACCCTGCTGAGTACGGTCGCTGTGTGCAGATGGTTACAGACAACTTTTGATTTTCCCAGAAAATAGCTGGAAATAAAGTGTGTACTTCTTTTAGTGTAATTGTATGCAAAGTACCTTTTACCTCGCTCGTAAACACCATGTGTTAAATCAATTAGTGCACAATTATTAACACTATCCCCTGACTAACCGCCTCAAAACAAATTAATGAAGCTGATGGTGTTTACTAAGGAAGGAACACATCTTACCGTGTAAACTGATATCGTGTTGGCAGCTTAGGAGTCTGGATTACTAGGTGAGCCACATTTTAGCACTTCTCGAATTCAGCATTCAGTAAAGGCTTGATATTTAAGCCTTACTGCAGCCTAGATCGGACCACACAGCGAATGTTTATCAGGAAGCGGGCAAAGTAGAGGGAAAACAAGCAGAAATGCAACCTCTGTGCACAGGAACGCATTACTTGAAGAGATTCCTGGTTTTGTTAATCAGTTTATGTAGCCGTTCCTCCATGTCTTCATAATGTGTCTTTTATGAGCATGGCTTGGGATTTTGAAGACTAATCTAAAAATCTAACTCATTCCCTTCTAAAAGGGATTGAGAAATGGATTGTAGGAGAAATGCATTTCTCTTACAGTTCGGAATCTAGTATGTAATTTATTATTAGTTATGATGGTTATTATGATCATTGGTATTTATTTAGCGCCAGCTTATTCCGCAGCACTTTACATTAAAAGGGGAATTTTAACAAATGAGACAAAACGAAATGTTACAGGATATAGATGAGGACCTGGCTCAAACGAGATTACAGTGTAGTGTTTGTTTTTTGGGGGGAGGGGGGGGGTTATTTGTTTTTTGCGCCCATTTGGAAAGCTTTGCTTGGATGCCTTGAATTTCTCATTTATTAGTAGGAAAAATACTAAACTATGTTCTATGTGTTGTCTTTTATGCTGGTAAATGTCCTCACTTCCATACAGATCCCATCTGAGATGGTTGATAAGGATGTCCTTTGTGATCTTCTGGATTTTTAACAGTGGTTAATTAATTGGTTACCGCAGATTCAGTAAAGTGTCAAAAGTAAAATTTGAAGGTAGCATCCCATGTTTAACAATCCTAAACTTCGATCAAAGGGTAAAAAAAAGAGGCTGGTCTTTTAATTAATGGATCAATAGTGTGCTTTGGAAGAATGGAAGCAATACATGCAGATTTGAATAAAGTTAAAAAAACATGGGACCAGACTGGTGGAATATTTTAGTCAAGAGGAGGAAAGGGCATGATTGATATGTGAATTGAGAAAAGTCGAGGGGTAAGAGGACGGAGTCTGCAGAGTCTCGTTTTCAGTGAACCTGGAGTAAATATTTAGGGTAGAAGAAGGAAATTAATTTTAAGGAGACTATTGAGGTCATTATATCATTAACCCCTTAAGGACCAAACTTCTGGAATAAAAGGGAATCATGACATGTTGCACATGTCATGTGTCCTTAAGGGGTTAATGTCTGTTTTTAACTATACGGTCTGTGGAGATATAAAATAGTTGTACAGATCTTTGGTGCCAATGACCGAAGTAAATAGTGGAGTTTGCTCAGGATGAAATAGGGCTGAACTGTATGATCTTTTCATTAATTTAATTTAATTTAATAAACCATGTAGTCATGTAGTAAAATACTTTTTTCCTTGTTCAATAACAGCCTGTTAAGTAACAAGTTAATTGTGTGTGACAAAATTGGAATTGTAACTGCAACAAATAGCAGGTTTTGGATGGCTCTGTTTTCTCACAATGTTGCACGCGGAGACAGGTTTATTTGCAACGGAGAAAGTCAGATATACATCAGAGGAGAGGCTGTGAATCGGACGAGAATTGTTGCAGATAGAGTTGTAGTATCTGCCAAAGTGAGATGGGTTAGGTGTACAAAGGTGATCCAGGTGTGTATTATAAACTAACAGATGGGGAACAGAGAGAGAGGAATGTGTGCATTAGGAAAGAAAATCATTCTAAAAAGTTGGATAACTGGCTTAGACCGAATAATGCAGAGATGTTGATACAAATGAATAACCCACCACATATAAGAAGCAATGTCTGTTAAGAAATGTTAGGGACCCAAGGTTTCTGTCATAACTGGTTAGCATTGTGCCATTTCTCCTATTTTCTAGATCTAAACTTGTGTCTTTAATTGAATTCTAGCATTTTTTAAGTTTTTATTTTTTATTTTTTAAATTCGAGTGATTTAAACATGGTCAGGTCATAGTCATTTCACCCTAACCGCAACTTTAATTTTTGTTTGCAGATTATCCTATATTTTTGTAGATACAGTAATAGCTTCACATGCCCTGCCTACAAATACACTAATATTTTTTTAAATTTCGATCTGATCTTCAGTCTGTGGGTAGCTGTTGGTACAGGGGAGGATGACGGGTGGGGGACTAATTAGAATCTTATTACATTTTTCTGGTAACTGGACTCTTCTTAACTTGTTCTCTCCTTAGTCTGTCCATGTAGAAAGCTGTCTCTACCACTGACAAATAGGGTGGACGCCAGATGGTCTTGAGTAGTTGTTTTTAAAGTGGGTCTAGTGATTGCTTTGTTGACAGTTCTGCAGACACACTGATTGAACACTGGCAAAATTGCAAGAAAAAAAAAAATCATCTTAATGACCTTTCTAATTCTTTTGTGAATCTCGGCTAGTAGTTCTAATTTGTAACTTTTCCAGCACTAATTTGGATAAAATGTGTCCCTTTCCATTACCGTTCACTATTGGGATGTGATAAATTACAGATCTATTCATTCATTTAATAATGACTTTAGCAATATACATATATTTCTTTTTTCATAATATCTTCTTTAACAATAGATTACATGCACCCATTGGTTTATGTTTGTGCCTCCCAACCCCTCCGTCCCTTATAACTCTATTTAATTGTATATATTTTTTTTCAGGCGACTGGCGGGCAACGACCTCTCTTTCATCCATCCCATGGCCTTGTCTGGCCTGAAAGAACTCAAAGTTCTGTAAGTAATTTTGCAGTATTTGTAGTAATTACCGGTACATGCTCTCCCTGCTCTGTCAGCACAGCAGCCTTTTTTATTTTTGTTTTAACTCTCTTGAACCTGGTGGGATCTCTGATAATCTATTGGTTGCTCAGTATCCAACTCCGCTATTGAATTGACAAATGAAGGAGTCCTGATAAAAGTGGGTTATTGTTTTATTACTATTAAATTTGTACCGTTCTGCACAGAGATGTTCCCAAAAAGCACACATTATTGTGAAAAAGAGAAAGCTAGCCACTTGTATATAAAAGGGCATTTTGTAACTCTTAAACATTTCTATAAATGCTACAATTTCATAAACTTTTTTTAAACTGAGCCAATCCAGGTAAATGGGAAAGAAAACATAATTCAGTTTAGTTGAGCTAAACTTTATATCTGATCACACTAGCCGAACTGCTAGAAATATATAAACATACTAAGAGTCATTTACTAACCAGCTCTTCCCAATAAAAATAATGGAAATTTGTGCATGCGAGAAAATAAAATCACAATAACATCCATTGTCCTAAGTTTCCTACTTGCACTTTCACCTCTGAAATTGAATTGGTTGAGCGGAAAAAAGTCTTGTGTTTTATACAGTTGAGGCAAAAATAAGGAAAATGAAATAAAACATCCTTTACCAATACGGCGAATATAATTGTGCTATTGTGATCTGTTGTGAATAAAAATTCACACGGTAAATTTCATTCACCGCAAATAGCAAGTTAAAAGAATACTTTATGGCCAGAGTTCTACTTACGTTCTAATTTCTAAATATCTGTGCTGTTATAAAATAAATAGCCAACTCCCTTTTTTAATTAGTAAATAATTATTAGTGCTAAATGCAAAATGGGTTGCGATTGATGCTTAACACACAAAAAAGTGATGATTGCAGGTTAAACCTTTTTTATTTTTGCACGATTTAAACATTTGCTTCCTACGGTGTTTGTTTCAAATCAATAAGAAAGTATGCATTTGTGTTTTGTTTATTTCCATTTTCATTTATATTAGCGCTCTTAACCTTAATTATTAAACCGTTTAGATTGGTGTATTTGTTATGTCTCTGCTTTGTCTTACAACACATTGTGAGTGTATATATATATTTTTTCTTTTTAGGACGCTCCAAAATAATCAGCTGAAGACAGTCCCCAGTGAAGCTATGAAGGGACTGACTGCTTTGCAGTCACTGTAAGTGTTTCTAAACCATCACGCATTCATTTTTAATTTGGTACAACCTGTTCTGCTCTGTCTTAGCTGGCTACATGTGTCTGGTGTGGTTTTGTTTTTTTGCTTTTATATAAATGAACTTTGTCACAAAATACATTATAACCTAACTTCTACAATGCACCATAGTGGTTAAGGTGCCAGACGTGCCCTTGCTCCCCCTAATGTAAATACCGGAATGCTCTCTGCTGATGCTGTCATCTACAAGGCTTATCACAGGAGAGCCAATGAAAGCACCTAGCACGAGCGAACGGCTTTCAATGATGGAATAGGAAAAGTAAGGTCCAGTAGACTCCAGGTTTCATTGGCAACTTACTTTCAGGAAGGAGCCAGGGCACCACAAGCACCGTAGCTAATTCAGCGTGCTTGGAGTGTTCCTTTATTGTTAGTTCAAAGGATAGCCATGCAATACATCTTGCAACGGATTGTCCAATCCTTTTGCTTCAATTTAATTAACATAATTTGCCTTTTTTGTCTCCTGTAATATGTAAAATAGCTTTAGTAATGATTGCAATACTGCTTTTTTTAAATTATTTATTTATTTTTTTATATGTGACCCTTTTTCTATCTTGCTATAGTTTGTAAGGAAGTGGGTTTTGGTTAGTTTATATGTACATTTGCTGCATATAGAATTTTCAAGCAGTTTGATACAAACCGGGGGATTGGTCATGACCCAATGAGATGTTCTAGACAACTACATTTATTTGTTCTAGGGGTGCTAGAACAAACGAAATGCCTTTTAATCTATATACAGGTGAATCAATTCGTACAAGGCTCACTTGAGAAGTCTGAGGAGACCTAAGACTCTTCGGATTAATCTCGAACAAATAGATTCGCCTGTATATAGATTAAAAGGCATTATATTCATTCTGTTCGCCCGGAACAAATACACGCATGTTTAGTTTCACTCACTTTTATACCTTTTAACATTGCCTTATAGCAGTTAACCATTTCTGTACAGAATCTAGTCATTGTCCATTACACTGCATAGAACGTTGACATAGTTGTTGAGGTTGAAAAAACTAAAAACCATGAAGTTCAACCTTGAAATCCATTCTTTTATGCTATTGATACGAAATAAGACAAACATTATCCTAAACCATATTATCCATTTCCAAATATTATTATGATATTTATAGAGCGCCGTCAAATTCCGCAGCGCTTTACAATGGGTGGACGAACAGACATGTAGTTGTAACCAGACAAGTTGGACACACAGGAACAGAGGGGTTGAGGGCCCTGCTCAATAAGCTTACGTGCTAGAGGGAGCGGGGTAAAATGACATATAAAGGTAAGGATAGTATTAGACTAGTGACAGTTGCAGAAGAGGAATCAGTCAGGAGCTATTAACAGTTTAATTGATACGCTTTTATGAAGAAGTGGGTTTTTAAAGATTTTTTTGAAGGAGTGGAGACTGGGTGAGCATCTAACGGAGGAGGGAAGCGAGTTCCACAGGAATGGTGCAGCCCTCGAGAAATCTTGAAGGCGAGCATCAGAGGTGGGAGTACGGACAGAAGATAACGTAAGTCTTCAGCAGATTGTAAGGGCCTAGACGGGACATACTTGTGTATAAGGGAGGATAGATAGGTGGGAGCAGCATTATGTAGAGATTTGAAAGCAAGAACCAGAATTTTAAATTGAGCTCTATATTTTATAGGAAGCCAATGTAGGGACTGACAGAATGGTGAGGCATGGGAGGTGCGGGCGGTCGGAAGATGAGCCTCGCTGCCGCATTCATTATGGACTGTAATGGTGCAAGTTGGGAGCACGTAAGACCAATGAGAAGTGGATTACAGTAGTCAACGCGAGAAAGGACAGTGGAATGGACCAACACCTTAGTCGCATCTGGCGTTAAGTAGGGGCGGATGCGCGCAAGTTTTTGAGATGGAAATGACAAGATTTGGCAATAGATTGAACATGAGACTTGAAGGAGAGGTCGGAGTCAAAGAGAACACCTAGGCAGCGAGCCTGCGTGGTGGAGCTGATGGTAGCACCGTTGACTTGGAGGGAGACAGACACAGGAATAACAACACTTGAGGGAGGAAAGACCAGAATTTCAGTTTTGGTCAAGTTTAGTTTAAGGAAGTGGGCAGCCATCCAGTTAGAAACAGCAGAGAGGCAGTCAGAGATACTAGTCAAGAGGGACGGGGAGAGATCAGGAGAGGACAGGTAGATTTGTGTGTCATCTGCATAGAAATGATATTGGAAGCCAAATTAGCTAATGAGTTTACCAAGAGAGGCCGTATAGATGGAGAACAGTAGGGGACCAAGTACTGAACCTTGGGGGACACCAACAGAGAGGAGTTGGGAAGAAGAAGCCTGACCCAAATCAAGTAAGTGTTTGAAGGGTTATTTCATGGATGAGGGGCAGTTGGACACTTTAGTGTTAGGAATACAGTTTTCAATTTCTAATGTTATAGTGTTATTTTAACATCAAATATGTCCTTGAATTTTCTGTTTATGCCCAAAAAAAAAAATCCAAGACTTTTAATAATATATATAGAATTTGGTAAGACCTCACAGTAAGAACAATACGGATGTGGAATTCTCTACCAAACGAGGTTAACAGAGGTTTTACCATGTCTAAATGGATGTAGAGATGCTGTAAGGTTAAATCCTCCTGTAGCCTAATGCACCAAATCTCTATAGCAATGCGTGCTCACGCTGTAAAAATATTTTGGACACATAATGGAATAATTGAACTTCCTTATTATGACATCTCCACCAGATGGGAGTAGTGCAGGCAAATCCCCCAGTTTTTGTGAAAGCACTTGAATATGTTTTGACAAAAAACAAATAGGACTTCATCCGTAGCCTCCAAACACTATAACCACTACAATCAGTTGTATCTGTTTTGGTACTTGAAATGCCCTTTAACATATAAATAAAAATAGATGGGCTTCACGGCAATCTCAGATGTGGCATAACTGTCCGGATCTGGGAACCCTGTCTCCGTTTTAATTTTATTTTTTTTCTTCCTGTGGTTTTCTGCTTTTGTAGTCACTAGCGAAATGTCCCAAATGTCAGAGAATGAGGCCATAGCAGGGTATTTCTACCAGAGTGGTTACTCTGAGCTCTGCACGTGGGTAACCCTATGACCTTCTTGCCAGTTCTACAGCTCTCTCGTCTCCTTTTTTCCGGTTTTGTACCTCTCTGTGTTGGAAGTTATGAAAACAAAATGTAACCATCTATAAATACAGTTCTTCTCCTACAATCTGCAAACTATAATTTTGTAACTTTATATTAAAAAAAAAGATTCTAAAGCACTTTGGTCTTCAGCGAGTTAAACAGATGGAGCTACCAGAGTTTCTTAACAGATATTTACTTGAACTTTATTTCAAAGCTCTTCCAGCTTCTTGACCTATAAAATGTAAATGTTTTGGCAGTAGTATTTCCAAGAAAAGGTGTTTAAAATGAATTAGACTTTTGGCCTCTGAAAAAAATGTTGACAGCTCAGATAAAGTGCAGAACATTCCGACCCCCTGATCTCTTTATTCACAGTTCTCTCCCTTAAATTTCCTTTTCATTCTTTTCGCTTTGCTTTCTAAAGTCGCTGGAAGTACGAAAATCTGAATACTGGTGAAAAGGGCCCCAGGTTCATGTTCTGTAAGCGTAAAAAAAACTGTTCAGCTGGCAGAGAATAGAAACTTATGAGGTTATAAAATCTTCTCTACACTATAATTTAATCTATGGCGAGGTCTATTTTTGTACCCTAAAACTTACACCCATTACAGATCGTTGAACAACTACTATTTGTGTGTTGGTTAGTCTAAATATGAAATGCATCGCACTGGGCTTTAACTGTTGCATCGCCAACGGAACATCTTTACAATTTTAGCTTCATAATGTCTGCTCTCGTTGTGCAACCGAACTGAAATTGAAAATTGATGATCTGTTTTGATCAAAAATGAATTTACATGGTAGCATTAGGATGGTCCATAAATACTGTATCACCGTATCCTACTGTACTGCTACCAAATGTAAGATGATAAACGCTGCCATTTGACAGGGTTGCTGATAGAATGCTGGGCACCAGTGCTTATGACATTTTATTTACTTATTTCTTTACAAATGTTCTTGTTGCTCAACTATTGCTTCTAAATCTATTGTATACATATCGTATAGTAATATATACATTTTATCTATATATATCTTTTTATATATAATTTTCATTCATATATACATATAAAAAATATACACTGAACAAAATTATAAACGCAACACTTTTGTTTTGCCCCCATTTTTCATGAGCTGAACTCAAAGATCTAAGACTTTTTTTATGTACACAAAAGGCCTATTCCTCTCAAATATTGTTCACATATCTGTCTAAATCTGTGTTAGTGAGCACTTCTCCTTTGCAGAGATAATCCATCCACCTCACAAGTGTGGCATATCAAGATGCTGATTAGACAGTATGATTATTGCACAGGTGTGCCTTAGGCTGGCCACAATAAAAGGCCACTTTAAAATGTGCAGATTTATCACACAGCATAATGCCACAGATGTCACAAGTGTTGAGGGAGGAAATTTGCTTGCTGACTGCAGGAATGTCCACCAGAGCTCATTTCTCTACCATAAGCCATTTTCAAAGGCGTTTCAGAGAATTTGGAAGTACATCCAACCGGCCTCACAACCGCAGTCCACGTGTAACCACACTAGCCCAGGACCTCCACATCCAGCATCTTCACCTCCAGGATCATCTGAGACCAGCCACCCAGACAGCTGCTGCAACAATCGGTTTGCATAACCAAAGAATGTCTGCACGAACTTTCAGAAACCGTCTCTGGGAAGCTCATCTACATGCTCATTGTCCTCATCCGGGTCTCGACCTGATGCTGTTCGTCATCGTAACCGACTTGAGTGGGCAAATGCTCACATTCGATAGCATCTGGCACTTTGGAGAGGTGTTCTCTTCACAGATGAATCCTGGTTTTCACTGTATAGGGCAGATGGCAGAAAGCGTGTATGGTGTCGTGTGGGTGAGCAGTTTGGTGATGTCAACTTTGTGGTTCAAGTGGCCCATGTTGGCGGTTGGGTTATGGTATCGGCAGGCGTATGTTATGGACAACAAATACAGGTGCATTTTATTGATGGCATTTTGAATGCACAGAGATACCGTGACGAGATCCTGGGTCCCATTGTTGTGCCATTCATCCATGACCATCACCTCATGTTGCAGCATGATAATGCACGGCCCCATGTTGCAAGGATCTGTACACAATTCCTGGAAGCTGAAAACATCCCAGTTCTTGCATGGCCAGCATGCTCACCGGACATGTCACCCATTGAACATGTTTGGGATGCACTTGATCAGTGTATACGACCGCGTGTCCTGCCAATATTCATCAACTTCGCACAGCCATTGAAGAGGCGTGCACCCACATTCCACAGGCCACAATCCGCAACGTGATCAACTTTATGCGAAGGAGATGTGTTGCACGGCGTGGAGCAAATGGTGGTCACACCAGACTCTGACTGGTTTTCGGACTCCCCCCAGATCCCCTCAACACAGTAAAACTGCACATTTTAGAGTGGCCTTTTATGGTTGCCAGCCTAAGGCACACCTTTGCAATAGTCATGCTGTCTAATCAGCATCTTGATATGCCACAGTGTGTGTGTAACTGCCCGTGTGTGTGTAACTGTTGTCTGTAAGTGTGTGTGTAACGGTCTGTCTGTAACTGTGTGTGTGTGTACCTGCCTGTAACTGTGTGTGTGTGTGTGTGTGTGTGTGTAATGGTCTGCCTGTAACTGTGTCTGTGTGTGACTGTCTGTAACTGTGTCTGTGTGTGACTGCATGCCTATAACTGTGTGTGTAACTGTGTGTGACTGTCTGCCTTAGACTGTGATGCTGCCTGTAACTGTGTGTGTGTGACTGATAGTGAATAAAGTGATAAGTGCTCTCTATCCAATAAAGAGTGTGTGTGACTGTCTGCCTGTGAGTGTGTGTGTGTGTGTGACTGTCTGTCTGCGTGTTACTGTGTGCGTGGCTGCCTGTCTGTAACTGTCTGCCTGTGACTGTGTGATGTTGCCTGTAATGTGTGTGTGTGACTGTATATGTGACTGCCTGTAACAGTGTGCGTGACTGTGTGTTACTGCTTGTAATGGACTGTGTGTATGACTGCCTGTGACTGTCTGCATGTGACTGTCTGCCTGTAACTGTATGTGAGGGGGTGCAGGGATTTTGTATAAGGGACAGGGGTTTAAAAAAGTTTACAAATTTGTGCAATACATTTAAAAAAAAAAAAAATTCAAAATAGAACACATTTAAAAAATTTTGTAGGTATTTTTTTTTTTTGGAGGGGGGGGTACCAAACCCAGGACCCGCCCCGGGTGCCACATGCTCTAGGTACGGCCCTGTGTGTGTGTGTGTGTGTGTGTGTGTGTGTGTGTGTGTATATATATATATATATATATATATATATATATATATATATATATATATATATATATATATAAAACTTTTTTATGTAGTTATCTGTCTAGGGGTGGGACACAAAGGGCTAGGCCAGCTAAGAAAGTGGATAGACCACCCAAAACTGTAGGTTGTCAGTCTGATGTACACATGTCAGACTGACATGGAGATGCTATGGCCGGCCCAACTAAGGGCTGTCGATGTGCATGGGCTGAATACTCCAAGCCCTCTGTCAAAGGAAAGTGCATTTATTGATCTGATTGCACAGAACTTGCTATGGACAATCCAATGGTGAATTCAGAAGGCAGGACACGAGGGCTGACCCATAGTGGTGGGACAGGACTAAGACCAAACTGAGACTTCTCTACCAGATATGGGACTATTGGAAGGCATGTGTAATTACAACTAGACTTTAAACTTTCCTTTTTATAGCTTTTCCTATTGTGTACTTGTCCTAAATTGCTTCAAAATTCAAAGCCTGTTGGTGCACAGTCCCCTCCAATTTGTCACAATTGCATGTATGCTTCGTTTACCCCTTACATCACTGGAAGGGGTAAGTTAATATGTATATGTATATAGTGATAATAATTAAGGGATACCAGCAGCCCTGTTGGCTTGCATTTTATTCTTTTGGGCAATATATAGTTAATCTTATTGATTAGCGGTGCATACCGGCCTACACACGGCGGTTTTTGAGGGTTTTTTTAACTGAGCTGGAATTAATGGGGGATTTAAAGGGAATTTCAAATGTTAGGTTAAAGTGGCTACTATTTTGCCAGGTTGGTTAGTTAGGGGTAAAGTTGCTGTTCCCTTGCCAATCGTCCCCAATTCCCAGAATTTCATTAATAACCCCTTTGTGTTTTTCAGTATAAGTAAAAAGACACTCTGCTCTTGGTAATTTTCATAATAATTGGTCATGTCTTCCAGCGCTAGTCATCATGTGTAAGGAATGGAAATATTGTGCCTTCAGAATAATTTTTACTTCAATCAAACGTCATGATTCTTTTCTTCCATGACCCATCTAATTAACTTCAGTTTTAATAATGTGTTAATCTCCATTTCATTTTGTATGAATTAATCATCTCTTCTGCATACCTTGAAGGCCCTTGCATCCTCTGAGAACATGTCCTGTTGAAAGGTGCTTTTCTTTAGGAACAGAAAAAAAAGTAATGTTGTTGGAAAATGTTGAGCCAACTGTTTTTAGGCTGGTAGGTTTGGCACATTAATGTCTATTCCACGAGACCTACCAGGTTGTCTGAACTAAACCAAATCTTTATAGACGACCCAGTGTTTGCACAGCTACTTATGTAACGCGCCAAGTTAGTTTACTATACGATGGAAATAATTAAAATGGTTGGGGGATTTAACTTATTTTCCTACTTTCTGCTTGCAATTAAACAACAAAAATGAAATAATTTGAATTGTCCGATTTTAGAGATTTAGTGATTTACTCTAATTTACCAAGTTACAATTGGCTTTTTTTTTTTTTTTTGTATAGATGCTAATTGACTTAAATTTTCTTTCTTTTTCTCAATGTTTGGTGCAATTAATATTATTTGTTATAGTTCTCATTGTAGGAGCTATACTGACTAATAGAAAGTCATCTAAACAGTAACTCCTTCATACAACCTTACACACTCTGTATTTTTCATTAGCAAAACATGCAAACTTCTGTGCCCTCAAACTTATTGATAGACCACAATTGCTCCAGCTCTGTCTTTAGATAGTTATGGTTTACTTTGAATGTCTTTATAGAATTGTCATACATCCTATTACAATTATGTTGGATGGATAAAGATATGTATATAATTTTCTTTAACATAATTTTTTTTGCGTATTATATAATATGTCTAGAGACGTGTTTATAGTTGGGAGTTAAAATAGGAAAAAAAAACGTTACCAAGAGTCCTACATCTGTGTAGGTATATTCTTCTGTGTAATCTATATTCATCTGGGGACTCCTCGTCAAAATATATTGGAGCCATCTGCCAACTGTAAGCAGAATGGGATTGTTTTAGTGTCACGTTCCCCTGTAAGTAGCTTTCAAATCTTCATGGTTGAAAGCAACAGGATGTGATTTAATTTGTCCCCTCAGTCTTTTCATTTACTGAAACAGGGAAGAAGACCTCTTTAATTTTCTGACTAGACTATTCTTTGGCTTTCAAGTAGTGTCCAAAAAACCCTTCAGTGTTGCCAACTTTATCCATTTTTTCCAAATTTTGTTAGGTGATTCTCAACTCATCAAAACATAATCCTCATGTGTAAATTACTTACCTTAGAGGGTTGGTTTGTGTGTGTGTGTTTTAATACATTTCTCTGAACTCTGCAGACCAAGGAGCACGTGGCCATTTGGTTTCACGTTGGTGGCGACACTTGGGTGGTGCACTGCCATTATTCGCCACAGAAATTAGACTAAACCAGCTCTATGCAGTGTAGGTCCTGCTCGGAGCTGATGGATCGTTTAGTTTATATTGACAGTTGAACCAATGTATTTTGTTGCTTTCTCCAGCTGCCCTTTTTATATTCCCTTGCATTCCTTTTTAGTTAAGAGGACTATTCTGCACTTGAATGTAGGAATCGTGGAGGTGAATACCCCTCCCAGAAAATTTGGTGTAGCTTTAAATATTGAATACTCCACTCTTTTCACAAGAATGATGGGAAGAATAAATTGTTAAAGGTTACTAATAGACTCACTAGTGTTAATATGGAAGTTTGCCGGTAGAAACCTGCATTGTTTAATGTATTACAAAAGCCCCCCCCCCAACACTCCAGAAGCAGAGTTCTAGCTTTGAGCTAGTTTATATCCTTCTGGAACCATATCCTTGTTGTAAATAAAGCCTTTCATAATGCAGGAAGTATTGGCACAAAACCTTGGCTGTAAGAATTGTCAGAAAAGGTGAAGTACCTTTTATTTATAGCCATTAATTGATGGAGAAAGAAAACAGTCTGTTCTCTCTTATAAAGTAATGTTGTAGCCTATTTATTGGACACCTGAAATGAGCGGTACCTCTCTCTCTAACCATTTGGATTACTTCTATCAACAAACCAAGTTTATTATTATTAAAGTAGCTTTTTTTTATTGGACACGTGAAATGAGCGGTACCTCTCTCTCTAACCATTTGGATTACTTCTATCAACAAACCAAGTTTATTATTATTAAAGTAGCTTTTTTTATGCTTTTCCAGTGGTTTATTAAGATTGGATTTCCTGTTAGAGTGAAAACTCAAGATAGCTTGACTTGGCTTCTTGGGTAAGCATGTATGTGTATATATGTAGGATTTATTCCTCTGGAAAATCTGTCCTTTGATCACCAGGGGAGGTTCATGAATGTGGAATGGGAAAACAAAGAGACAGGTATTTTCTAGCTCATTTTTCGCTGTAGCCTCCAGTTATTTTCACCTTCTGATTTAACATACATCCATATTTAACTCCGAAGAGCGATTTGTAGGGAGAAAAAAAAAAAAAAAAACCTCATAGCTGTGCAAACATGTGGTTTAATCCTTTTTGTCATGCGAAGTGTTAAATATTCTTCACTCTGATCCTGGCAGAAATGATTCATTAATACAGGATTTATTTATTTACATTGGGTCAAAGGCACGCAGGTGCGATTACGGAAGGTAGAAACCCTTTTTTGAGGTCTGAGGTTGGAAACAATAATATATTAGAGAATATCTGAATTCCCTTGTAAAAATGTTTTTGACACTTTTGTAAGCCCCTAAGCAACTTGTCACAGAATGTCAGATGAATTGATGTAGGAGAAAATGTGCGTTGCTGACTGATTTAACTTTCATTGTATTTAGATATTGTCAACTAAAAAAAGTGCATCCTCTGTTGTATTTAACCTGTACTGGGAGTTTGTTTTGGGTTTAGAAGTTATTTCTTAGTTGTGACATATTTGCAACTCTGTGGCTTCTATTGACTTGCTTACTAGTTTCATATATTCGATATATAATTACTGACCATTTTGCAAGAATGATGTATAAATTACGTGTTTTGTGACGCTTTTGACCAAAGCTCGTACGCAAGGGTGAAACATACCCAGCTATCTTTCTCTTCTTTCTCCAAACCACCACTTTTCCAGTTTTGATATTGTTGGGCATTTATTTTTATATTTCTTTGACCTTTTCAATTTTTATTTTTTATTTTTTTATTTTTATTTTTTTTTTTTATAGTTTGGCCCTGTACAATTTTTTTCAATATGGATTTGTGTCAAGAGCAGATGAGTGATCTTAAAAGCTTCAAAATCTTTAATTTACTTTGCCACGTTTACATTCTTGCGATGATTGTCTTCCACATAGTTTGGGTAAAAACAAGTCTCTTTAGCTCTCCAGAGCCAAACTATTGTATTTGGATTGATGAACTTCAAGTGAGTAGAACACAGAGTTGCTGATATCCATTTCTCTTACTTGTTTGCTCAGGAAACAAAGCAAGTTGAGGACAGAATTCATAAGATCATGGTGAAATCCCTCTGTTTTTTGGCTCCGTGTTTGAGCCGTTAAAAAAACAAAAAACACATTGCCTTGAACTTATTTACACATCTAATGGATGTGGCAGGTGTATCACGTTTTAAATGATTGTTTTCTGTTAAAACCAGAAATAGCACTTCTTTATCTGCATGCTTGTGATCCCCTTTTACCTACCTCACCTCCCACCTCCACCCCCAATCCTCAAATACTCTTCAGAAATGTCCAAGTCACAGCATAATGAAGGGAAAAAAAATGTTTTTATAAGAAATATATTCAAATGTTTTGAATTTTTTTTAAAGAAAATGGAATATAGGTGATTCCCCTTAATTTCAAAAAAAAATAATTATTTTTAATTTTTACATATTCTGTTTTTTTTAGGTTTTTTTTAATTTTTTTTAAATCTACGGTCTATTGGTAGTACTATTACTCAGCCTTTAAAAAAATTTTTATTAAATGAACTGGAAGAAGAACATCTGATATAGTCTATTTTGAGAACACCAAGTTATTTTCTCTTTGAAATAAATAATGATCTTTTAAAGTTTTATTCCAAGCACCAGTGCCACTTCAGTGGTTTGAAGTGGTCGTGGTGCCTGTCTGTATGTGCAGGATTTTGTTTTGAAACGCTGCATGTACTTCAATAGCAGCCGGAAGTGTAACTCGACCTCCAGTAGTCAGTGGGGTTTCATAAACTAGCCCAGAACTATAATAGTAACAATAATAATTGTAGGATCCTTATTTTAGGTGTAATAAGGAGGAGGGATAATGTTGGGGCTTGAACAATAAGTTGAAGTTATGGTGCCTGGTCCCTTTAATGTCAATGCCTCCTAAAATGTTGTGGTTGTTAAGCTCAGCTATTAATATCGCCAAGCAAAAAAATACAAATTGTTTAACATTTTGGTTTTCGACTTAATAAACGTTCCAAATAATCCGATACCTTTAACAAAACTTTTCAAATTATTAATCTGCAGAAGCCACCATTAAAGTGTTTGGGGATTTTTTTCAAGTTAAATCATTTAGAAAGTTTTCCAAACACTATTGAATCATTAGAAAAGCTTATTAAATGCACCAAAAAAAGGGGAAAAAAAATTATAAAACATTTTTACCAAACGTAGACGATAACGGTGAAATGTGTGCAGCTGTTATCAATTTCCCTTTTACACAGTGAAGTCATTAAAAGTACCGAAATCAGATTGTGGTATGTGTGGTGGTGGTGAAGGAGGAGGGGGTATTCATTTTTTTTCCACTTTTTTTTTTGCTGGTAGTTACATTTTATTTTAAGGAGGTTCAAGAAATTACAACTGTTGCCTATTTTGTCTTCATTTTTCAGCAAAACACAAAGCATCCCCGATCTGTAAACGATACCTCCCTTTGTTTTGAGAAGCGTAATGCATGGGCAGCTCGGCTATTAATCAGAGACCTGACAGGAGAGTGCAGGTGTTTTTTGTTTAAATAAGAATGAGCCTACCCTTTACATTTAACCTACAATAATGCCGGAGGGAGGTGCACTGAGACTAACTAGTTTTCTAAACCTTCTTTATTGTCGTACATTACAGGCCCCTAGGGCAGCAACATGGGCCTGGGAAAGCAAGAGCTGTATACATTTTTATTTTTCCAAAGCAGTTTTAAAACTAGGATTAATTAAACATCCCCTGAAACATGATCGTCTAGGTGGGGTACTGTTTTAAAGTTAAGCTCTTTGTTATAAACATTGCTAAGATCTTCTACTGAGATGATGGATCAAAGTCCATTCTTGCATAATTTTATTGCCAAGACTTGCATACAGATTTTTTTTATTTATTTTTCCACAAATACTCTATACAGGATTGTAACTTATTACATCTAAGGTTTATTTAAATGCTAATCTGTTTTCTTGGCATTTTGTTTTTAAATGTATGTGGGTATCCTGTAGAACAGCAAATCCAAGTGGGTGGATCGAATTTATTGTGGTTTGGAAACAATCCTTTCGTTTTTTTGTTTTGTTTTTTTTCTTTTTTCTTTTCTAAATCTTCTCTTTAGATGAGATGGTGATTTGTACAATCTTAAACGTATACTGGCCGGTTTATCAGAATGTTTTAAAGGAACGCTGCTTGCCTTGCACCATAATCACTACAGTTTTCTAAATTGGTTTGACCTGGTCTTCCAGGAGCCTTCAGGAGAGTCAATAGCTCATACGTAGGAGTTAAACCCTGCTGTGCATCAACTAATCACTCTCGACCAATGAGCTAAGCCTTGCACAACCGCAATTATCTTTAGTGTAGGTAGGGTGTGTCGCTCTGAGAACCTCAGGTGAGAAGTCCAAATGTTCTGAAATGGTTTGATTACTTAAAATGGGTTGCACCAGGTTACTCCTGGCACCATGATCACTACAACATGCTTACGTGGTTGTGATGCTCAGTGCTTTTATAAAGGGACAGTCCGGGCTTCATGACCACTTCATCAAATTAAGTTGTTTTGGTGCCAGGACATCTATGCCTCTGGCTCACCTTAAGGTGTTAAACTGTTGTCAAACAGTTCAACCCCAAAGTCTTTCCTCCAGTGCTGAATCTCCTTGCCTCTCTGCCCGTCCGTTTTCTAAAAATTTCCAAAGTGGAAGGCTTTTGCAGAATCTGCCAGCTACCTAGATTGTTCCTTTTAATAGTGTATGTTTTAGCCTATACAGGCTGGGAAATCAAGCTGTATCTGCCACCTTTTCAATAATGGTCATCCTAGATGCTGGAGATTTGTATGAAGTCTGTGTGCATCTTATTAAAGGGGCAGTTTAGGATAAGGCAAATATAGCAATGTTATTTAAATTAAGTTATGGTGCCAGGAGGCCCCCAGGCACATTTTATCTTCAAGGGTTAAACATTTAACCATATTTAAGCACCTATTCACCACATATTCTCTCAGATAGTCAATGCTGATAGGAGAAACCTGTGCGGAGCACTTTGTATCCTGTGTTTGGGAGGTTAGTAGACACTCCGCAGATTATCGTTTGTGTATTCTTATCTGTGTCGTATTTGGTCAGGGGGTCTGATTTGATAAAACCCAAACCAAGCAGCCAATAGTAACACATTTTTGGATTTCTGTTTTGGTTTCCGGTGCCTCTGCAACACATCACCTTCTTTCTCTAAAATGCATTGTGCTGTACTTTATATGCACATATTCGACAACTTCCAGTGTGTTTTATTTTTTAAAATAATTATTATATAAACTGAAGTTTGTATTTTTATAATTCCAGTTTTCATTGTTTTAGTTAATCCTGTACACAAACAGCTAAATTATTTGTTTTCCTGCTATTTTTGTTTTGTGGTTTCTGTATTTTAGTTTGTTTATTTTTACTATGGCTGGTGACCACTGGCTCCCAAGACATTCGGTCAGACTGTAGATTGCAATTTAATCCCATGATGCCAGACCACTGGAAGGAGGGCATCATGGGCAATGTAATCCACAACCCCTGTCTTTCCAAAGGTTTGCCATCATTGCTCTTGAATAAGACCAATACAAAATGCTAGGAGAACAAGCTGAAAAATATATTGTGGGAATTTTTCCCTGCGCTCATGCCAAGAACTATCCACGTTAGATTTACTTTGGCTAATCGGCTTAATAATTTTGTAAAAATTAGACTCCAGATTTAATTATTAATTGCTGAATAATAAAACCATTTGTGGAAAACGTACAATCATTTTTATTGAGTTAAGATCTGTAAACAATACAAGAATAAGAATTGCACAGAACTCCGATCTGGACAAATTACCGTTTTATAGCGGCACGGTTATCCGCATCCCCAAATGGATACAATCTGTATTAAATACTCATATTGACTGTGTTGGAATTTTGCTGAAATTTCAACCCAGTCAACAAATATATGTTGATACAAAGTGAGGGGCTCCAGTTACACCTACTAGGTTATTCAATAAAATGTTAATTTTTATCAGTGAACAATAAATTTCAGGTTTGGGCCAATGCAGTGACATAGATAAATAATTCCAAGAATTCTTTGAATTCCCAACAATTCAGACTTTAGCTAGAATCCCTGCTAGTGTTTTTTTTAAATCTTGTTTCTTTGTGTGTGTATGTTCTGTAATGAGAAACTTTTTAAAAGGAATTTTTTGCTCTGTGCAAATTATGACTTTGGTCTTCTGTCGACTCAGCATCGTTATGTTCGTACTTGGCATGGCCAAGCTTAAGTTTAATGCCCAAATTATCATTGTAGATGGGCATGTCCCTTTTCTACTTCATGTTTTTATTTTCCTCGCCGAACCATACAAATGCTTGCTTGTAAGCATGACGATGATATGAATATCCTGAATTTCGCACACAAGAATAGCAGATATGTTGCCTTCTGTAATTGACATATTGCAGCACATGTGAAGAAGTTGCAGTTTATGTAGCTGTTTAGAGGCAAACCTATCTTTGTGCAAAATGCGGCATTGTAAAAACAGAAAGGTCTATGTAACATGCCTCTTTCTAAGAAAGAAAGGATGTGATTTGTTTACAGATTCAAATAATTTAATGGACAGTAGCTATTGGTACTTATTACTTACACATGTATGTTTGATGTTGTTTTTGATTATTTCATTTTTTTGGTCTCCTGCAGACGGTTAGATGCAAACCACATTGTCACTGTTCCAGATGACAGTTTTGAAGGTCTACTACAACTTCGACATCTTTGGCTGGACGACAACAACTTGACCGAAGTCCCAATTCGCCCACTCGGCAACCTTCCATCTCTTCAAGCGTTGACACTGGCGCTCAACAAAATCACCCATATCCCAGATTTTGCCTTTTCAAACCTTTCAAGTCTTGTTGTTTTGTAAGTATACATGTCAGGAGCAGGGCATTGTCTTTGTTAATGAACATTTTGACTGTCACATTCTTCTTAAAATAAGGGTACCAAAAATAACTTATTTATGAATAAATGCTTTATTCCAAGCACCATGACCACTTCATTGATTTAAAGTGGTCATGGTGCCTGTAGTCTGTATGTGCAGAGTTTCGTGTTGAGTTTAATTCCTCTCCTGCAGTAAGTGGCATCCCAATGACTCTACATGAGATGGTGTTACATCAGCCAACGTCGAATTCTGTGATGTCAATTCTGTGCTATACCGGTTTATCAATACTTGTTTGAACTCATACATACACATAAATATACACAATTCAGATTTCTTTCTTGACCATATTTAACTGAAATTCTAAACAATTAACACAATTCTTTTCACGTCTCAAAATTACAATTGTGTTTTTTTTTCTCCATTTTGCTTTTTTGCTAGACATCTTCATAACAACAAATTAAAAACCCTTGGACAATACAGTTTTGATGGTTTAGATAACTTGGAAGCGCTGTAAGTATTGCTACTTAATCTGATTTTCTCTATTTCTCTGATCAAAAGAACCCGTGGCTTGCCACTAACTCTTCTGTGCAGTGTGACAAAAGGATATTTCCTTCATTAGAGATATGTTGCTGGAGGGGTTTTAAGGATGAGCATGATCAACAAAGAGTTTAATTACTTTAATAGTAAGAAATGCAGGATGTGGGCAGATTTTCATTAAAAGTATTAAATCTAAATGGCATTCCTTCAGATGAAGCGCATTTGGATAATGTTGGATTCTTAGGTCGTGTATTATTGTAATTCTTTTTTTGTTATTTGCAAAGGTTTTTTCTAAAATCTATGTATCAAAGAAACGAGCTTTGCAACAGCCCTTCTTTTAAAAATATATATATAGTATCTCAAACAAATAACTATTTTGTTTTCTTTCATATCTTGAGTATCCTTTTTTTATTTAATTGTGACTTAAAACACAAAGCAAAATCTCATCGGTCGGTAAATGAAAAGCTACGTGTGGGTAATGTAGCTTACAGCAACCTCTATCTTGGCTGTACAATGCCCTGTGTTTGATAATATTTGGGAGTGTTGAGGTGTTTGCCTTGAGTTTGTTTGGCTAGAGTGTGGAAGCCACAATTTGTGTTTCCAGCTGCCGTATCATTGACCCATTTGACAGGCAGTCCCTGATAACCAGTTAATAAGATTTGACAAACCTTTACAGTTTCCTCAGAGATTGCCAAGCAACAACTTGGAGGGTGGTTTGGTTAAGAAATATTAACTGATAAGAAAGTTGAGCAGCAATGCAAAACATATATTTCTCTCCTAAGTTAATGTTTAACTTTAGAAATGAGATTTGTGTGTTTGTGGGAACAGCTGCCTGGATGGATTAAGAGCTATTTATTTTTGATTGTAAAATTAGAGTGGATTAGATTTTTCTTTTTTCTGCATAGTGATGGACCGAAGTCAAGGGCATTGACTCTTTAATATTTGGCAACTTACAGGAACTGAGCTTCCACCTAGGACAGGAAATTGAGACCTCTTCCTTTTTAATTTGTCAACAAACTTTGTCCACTCAGTGATAAGGAACTCCGTAACTACGAACACATAATATGGAACACAACCATAATAGATCAGAAAAAGAACACCACTCTTAATCAAGAGATTATCTTTCCCAAAGGTTGAGTCAGGATGCTCAGGAGCTTCGATGCTTTCTGAAGTGTCTACGTAGCTTGAAACACAGATGGAGTGATACAGTATGGTACCATCTTTTATTTATCACATCTCTAGACATGGAAAGGGAGAATCCTCATATCTAATGCTACTGATAAGTAAATGGATAACACTAACGTTTACAGATGACAGGCCTAATTGTGTTCCAGGTGTTTCTTTATTTGATTTCTTTTCCAGCTGTCTTTTTTCATATCAGCTCTTGTGTAGACTAAGTGGGCTCAGATTTGATATTCTAAGCCATCACCTTGGCTGTGTTAGCCATCGAAGGAGAAGCGATTATAGTTATGAGTTTAGGAGATCTGTGTCCCAGTGTTCTAGATCTATAACCTGTACCCCCAGTAGTTGTAACATTTATTAAGTTGCTTGTATGCCATATGCAAGTATTTTATATGAATATGTGTTGAAGTATATTTATATATCTTGACCATAGCAATACCCTTGATAATTCGGTTTGTACATTCCCATGTGTGTTGATTCACTTGTTGATAGGAAAAGTACATACATATTTTTTTTTTATCATTTAAAGAATGTATTCTTTCTAAGACAAACAAAATGTGTTGATATGATCAGTAAACACTAGCGGTGCCAGCCTGCTCGGAGTACAGATTAAAATGGAAATAGTAAATGCTGTACGAAGTTCATCTCTGTGCGCCTATTCATATATCTATTAATGCCCTTCCCAGGGGTTAAAAACAAAAACACACAGGCCATTTGGATACATTATATTGTATCGAACGTTTTAGGCTTCAAAGGGGGAACTTGCTTCTCTGGAAATTTCCCCATTAAATAAAACCTTGACCATCACCTAAAAACGTGTTTTAACATTTCTCATGGAATGTTGAGTTTTTCATTGAATATTAAAGACTAATGAATTCACAACATGATCCAGGTTACTCCAAGCACATCCAGGGCACATATTGCAATGGACGAGGAGAAATGGAAATATTGGTTTGTTTCTCCTCCTCTCAGACTGCCAGGTGCAAAGGGCAGAACTTATAACCAGGATTAACGGGGATGTAAGATGGAGACGCCCAGTTTGAAGATAGGTGTTACAATGTTGTTGAATTCTAAATGTAATCATTTTTTTCAACTTCATAAATAAACATGTATTAAATATATGAGATAACAAAACATTAAATTATAAATCCTGGCTAATAACATTTCCTTTAAAGGTTCACAGAGCATACTATGTAAAACACTTTCTAAATAAGTAAATCGTTCATTAACTAAGGGAACAATACGATCTGGTGCTAAGATTATTTGGCTATAAAATAATACATTTTAAAGGAACACTGTAGTCACCTAAATTACTTTAGCTAAATAAAGCAGTTTTACTGTATAGATCATTCCCCTGTAATTTCACTGCTCAATTCACTGTCATTTATGAGTTAAATCACTTTGCTTCTGTTTATGCAGCCCTAGCCACACCTCCCCTGGCTATGATTGACAGAGCCTGCATGAAAAAAAAATTGGTTTCACTTTCAAACAGATGTAATTTATCTTAAATAATTGTATCTCAATCTCTAAATTGAACTTTAATCACATACAGGAGGCTCTTGCAGGGTCTAGCAAGCTATTAACATAGCAGGGGGATAAGAAAATCTTAATTAAACAGAACTTGCAATAAAAGCCTAAATAGGGCTCTCTTTACAGGAAGTGTTTATGGAAGGCTGTGCAAGTCACATGCAGGGAGGTGTGACTAGAGTTCATAAACAAAGGGATTTAACTCCTAAATGGCAGAGGATTGAGCAGTGAGGCTGCAGGGGCATGTTCTATACACCAGAACTGCTTCATTAAGCTAAAGTTGTTCAGGTGTCCCTTTAAGTGACAATTAGCTATATACAGACTTGGTAAGTAGTGTAGGTTTTATGGTTTATATGTGTTTTGCCAACCATAATAACTAACCAATGAATGTTTTGGTATTTATTTATTTTTTGGCTGGTTTATTTATTTATTGGTTTATTTATTTATTTTTAGGGATCTGAATTATAACAACCTTGTTGATTTCCCTGATGCCATCAAATCACTGCACAATTTAAAGGAGCTGTAAGTAGCCATTGTGATATTTGTAAACTAGAATAACAGATCTTTGTGGCATTAATTGTGCAGATGTTTTACCTATTATTAAACAGTTGACCTGAGCTTTAAATCTGTGTAAAAATGAAAAGGCAATGAAATGTCACTGAATGAAGCATGCTGCCATCTGTAAAATCCATTTATTTTGAGTAGAAAACCTTCCATTTGTCACATAAAAGGTTTTGTCCCCCTACGTGTTCAGACAGGCATACGTGACCTCTCCTGTTGCTTTGGACCATGACTTGATGCATGGCTAGACTGCTCTGTTTATTGTGCATTTGCAAATTGGGACTGTTCCTTCAGTAAAGTAATTACATTACATTTGTTTATCCATTTTCCCGCAGCAAGCGTTTCTGTGCTTTACAGAAAGCTTGTACTGAGTTTTGCAGAGTTACAGAAAAGTACTAAAAATATTATATTTGTATTTATATCTGTACCGTGATTAGATTCTGTAACGTTAACTTATTGGAATCTAACTAAATAATGCAGTCATGGTCCATGGCCTGAATAATGTACAGGTGAGAGTTAAATTATTCTGGTCTGCAAATAAAATAGCAGACTGCTTGCGTCAAGAAAGCGAAACAATAAGTCGAACAAAAAAATAAATAAATAAAACCCTTAAAATGATAAAGCATGTGCATTTTAAAGTTTGTGTTTTCTTTTGCATGTTTTCTTGCGGGAGTGTAATTTAACAAACATTTCTGTATTTTATTTCCCATGTCACATAAGATGAAAATATGGAAATTCTTAAGTAGATATTCTTGTGTTAATAAATGGTTAATGTTTGCTATCTAAATGCTTTCCAAACATTATTCTTAAAATCATTAAATAATTTTTTTGCAGGATCAAACTAATTCAGGTTGCCATTTCACTCTGATCTTGGTGTTGGTAAATTCTTGTACCCGGAACTAAAAAGCTTGCTAGATGATATCTGTTGGCGCTATATAAATAGCAATAATAATAATAATATAAATGTGCAATGGGAGACTATTTATAGTGGCCCAGTTGTCCAACAAGATTGGGATCATTGGGAGAGGGCGTAATTTAATGTACAAACCATTACTAATAATGTAGACTGTTCTAGAAGGACAATAGCATTCCACAGGCTTTGTACTCTTATTGAACAGTTTTAAAAAACAAAAAAACATAACAGTGTGAAACAAAAAATATAACTGACATTTTTACTTTATTTTATAATACATGGTACCTTTTTCTTACAGTGCAAATTGAGTGGCGATGTTGGAATTTTGTTATGGTTAGTTTACAGTACATATTCTTTTTGTTTATTTTTATTTTTCTCCTTTGATTATTATTTCAGGGGCTTCCACAGTAATTCCATTTCTACGATCCCTGATGGGGCGTTTGTGAATAACCCTTTGTTAAAAACAATGTAAGTAACTGGTGATCTGCTAAATTGGTTATTTTATACATTGATTTACAACTCACACCTGTATTAGTGAGGGGTCTTATTGTACTGATAGTAATACTTTAAGAATGAAGTACAGAACTAGGAATTTGATCCTTTATAATTTCCGCTCAGAAAAAATAAAAAGAATCCTGCCTTGTGCTTGTTTGTTGTAAACTTATTTTATTCAGGATTCAAAGATTTAAAAGTATAAATTAAAAACAGATATCATTCAAAACGCCTTACTTAAGATCAATGTGAGATGACTGCATATACTCATTATACAACAGCGTTTTTGAACAAATGACTGTTCCATCTGGTGTTCCGCTTCCCACAATGTCATCGAAGCATATCATGGGAGGCGGAGCTCCAGACTAAAACCGCATTCATTTAAAAACGCTGTTGTATATTCAGTATATGCGGTTACCCCGCATTGATCTCTAGCAGCAACAGCTTCTTTAAAATGTGTTTTAAGTGCATTTATAAAATCCCATAAATAAAGATTCATGTTAACGATTTCAATTGTCATTTTGGTTCAACAGTTCTAAGGTCCTTTCCTGCCTAATAGAATTCTGTTCTGTAGGAATAAACCGCGTCCATGTATGTTTAGTCATAGGGATTGCCTTGGCCAAATTGTATTCGTGCATGCTTCCTTTGTGTGCAAGTGACAATCAAACTGAGCCACCGCCTCTGACTCACGTTGTGGGTTCTGGTAAAAGTCTCCTCCGAGCGATCAGAAACATGGAGGGAACTTTGACAGTGATAAGAGAATCATAACATTATGTATGTTTTATTATTATTATGATTATGTTTTAAATGCTATCCTCCAGGTGTACACAGTAATATAGGAAGTGCATACCACGGTTTTGTAAATGTTATATAATCTTGGAATTATTTAAGCCGTAGAAATAATGACAAAGAATTAGAGGGGGGAGTAGGAATCTGTTCTGCTTTACATCCAATGCTAGACTACTTCCCATTCTCTATCCAGAGCCCCCGGATCCTTTGGTGACAGAAGATGTTGTGACTTACAGACAATAATTTCTTAATTTGTTAAACTCTCCAAAACCTATTTCTAGTAATCAGCAAATCCAGGCTCTTTTCACAGCTAGAATAGGACAAGAAAGTGTGTATAACTAATGGTTCTTAGAAAAATGAAGACGGCATACCTGCTGCCAAGATGGTATAGCTCTGGGACAAGACCACCACGTGCCAGAAAAATAAATGTTTTGTTATTTTGGAGTGTGGGGGTCTTGTCAAAAGCTTTATCAAAAATTTAAATTAAAAAAAGCTTGTCTGTGCAAGTGAGGTTTTATATAATCTGACTGGTTTAACGGCGTTCTGTTTACATTTAGGGGAGTGAGGCTCATTTGCAAAACACAAGATAACTACAGATGTGCCCAAATGTTTGTGAGCTGCTCAATGAAGTCATTCTGTTCCATATTTTTCAGACACTTGTACGATAATCCCTTGTCTTTTGTTGGGAATTCGGCATTTCAGAACTTATCAGACCTCCACTTCTTGTAAGTACTTGTCTACCCTTTTCTAGAATGTGTGAAGTGAGATACTTGACACGGTATTAGTTGCACTGTGTGCTTTCTATAATTATACTGCTTAACGGTAGCATGACCTGATGACCTTCAAAAGGTTGAAGAGAAATGTCAAAATGGCAAAGCGGCAGGGTGGCTTATCGCTGTTATGTCCTAAGTCTTTCGAATATTTAACATTTAAAGGAAAATATGGGACTTTTGAAATTTAGTACTTTAGGGATTAATGATGGTATCATTACCATTTTGTCTTTGGTGACCTTATTCCAGTATGTATTGTGTTAATTATTTGGCTTCAGTAGGCTTCTACATAGCTTACTGCAGCCACTACACCCCAGGTGCCCAAAGTGCTTCTGGTCTTCTCAATCAGGAGTCGCAGGATGTCGATGTATGATATAAGGCAATTAATGAGCTGACATCTGAGTTTTGTCTCTAAGAAGAGTGGATGAGTTGCCGGCTGCTGGTGGAAGTGCTGCTGAAACCTGCATATCTTTAAATTCTTGCCTTTACGGTCTGCCTTGTGAGACTTGGTTTGAGTAGTGATCATTCCTATTGTTATTGGATATCCCAAGCAAGCTTATGTTAACTGGTTTTGATTAAGAAGTATGCATGATTGAAGACTAAATTAGAATGGCAGAAATAAAACTGTTCATTTTCACTTTGGTTTAATGTTTTGTTTTTTGTTTTATTATTAATATTTTGGCATGTATTACACAAAGTGTATGGTGACAAAGTAAATTTTACAGAGCGCATCTCGGTTGCACTTTATTGATCTATTCCACTTTCTTTATTTAGGGTTATCAGAGGAGCAACTAATGTTCAGTGGTTTCCCAATCTTACAGGAACTGTTAACCTAGAAAGTCTGTAAGTATAGTTATTCATTTTTTTGAATTAGATGTACATTTACTGTTAATACATTTTTCGGTTTAACTAATCCTATGCATTCACATTTGTTGTAGTCCATTGATGTGCAGTTACACAAGCTTACTTGCATAATCTGTGTGTGAGAATTGCACTTTTACTCCCTAATGGCTTAATTTGTACGATTATACTGGAGAAACAAACTATCTTTTACGTTTCCATAACGCACGTATTCGGACACAACGCATACCTACCAAGCGCACCAGATCTGGGGTTCTCTTCTGCTGTCATAGGTTTTTTTCCCCTGCTGTCCCACATCTTGGGATTCCAAGGAATTTCTCCAGTTGATGCAACACATTATTAGATACACCCTCATTGCACTTGCTCAGTGCAAGACCATGAGTAGAGTGCCCCAGGAGCTCTCTGTGCATTGTCTGCTTTGAATTGACTCAATGTACAGCGCTACGGAATGTAATGGCACTATATAAATAATTAATGATAATAATAATTGGGCTGACCAGAGCGCCAACCTATCAGCCTGCCATGCATGCAGACCAATACATCCTCTTATCTGGGCATGTCCACTTCATGGGGGAGTCCTCCCTTTTCAATGAATGGCCCACCTGTTGTTAATACTCTTTTCTGGCCTGCCCACCTGCCCATTCCCCTTCCATACCTCCCATCGTTGAGTTAAGGGAAGTAGCAAGAATTATATAGCAAAATCACTCCATATGAAAGTATCACAATTGGAACATTCTCTTAATCACGCTTAATGTAAGAAGAAGAAAAAAAATAGTTTTCTATTAATTGTATGTTAATTAATAGCTTGATTGGTGAGATATAAAAAAAAAATCATATGTATTCTTGCCCCCGACATTGGCCTTATAAATAACTGAACATGCTTTTGGATGCTTGTGACTTGAACACCCTGGAGATTAATGCAAAGTCATACGTTCAACAATTCTTAGCGGATTATAACGTCCAGACTATTGTTGTTATGAGAGACACCAGATGTGCAAGTTGTGTATTTATACCTCGCTTTATATAAATGACACAATTGAAAGTTAATGATTTGTCATGCCCTTAATGCAGCCATTAGCGTGAAATTCCAGTAGATCATGGCCTCACATCTGCTTTTTCTCCTGGTCCTTATCCTCTCATCTGTTATCATTGAATCTTGCTTAAATATACATCTGTGACCTGTTTTGCAGGACCTTGACAGGCACAAAGATAAAGAGTATTCCACCAACATTTTGTCAAGAGCAGAAGATACTTCGAACTCTGTAAGTTCATCTTTGTTTCAGTCCGTTTTTTCTTTGTACTCCACAAATAAAATTAGCATTCAAAGATAATTTTATTTCGGTTTTAAGATCTGTTTGTCAAGCCATAGTGTAAATGTGTTTGTGTTTGGTAATGTTGTTTTTGAGTCAGTCATTTGAAGCTGACATGAGTCTTAGAGGTGCTGCCATCCAAACGATGCCGTACTGTTATCCTTGTAATATTGCTTTGGTTCTGCCCCTTCAGCTTTGTTTGTGTAACTGTCCCTAGTGAGAACTAAACATTGCATTGTTTCCTTGTTGTGATGTACGCAATATCCATGTTTTTGAAGGAGTTGGAGATATTAGGGCTTTGGTCAGGAACCAAAACAAGGTCCCCATTCAATTTTCTGTGGTTTCTTATTGGTTAAAACAAACCTTTATCCATAATGGCCCAGGCAATAATTTTAATGAACCAAGCCTGCGTTTCCCAGTGTTTTTGGGAACACCATTGACCCCTGGACAGGTCTAGTGAAAGGTGGTTTGTTAATATTATAAATGAACAATGGGTTGTTGAGCTATTCTACAATACAGAGCCACTGAGTTAATGCCATTTTCAGAAATTGGGTCCTCTGTTATTAAAAAACAAACAAAAAAAAAAACGCAAACCTCCATGAATATATAGTGTAATATTGTGTAATAGTTAAGCAGGCAAACAGCCATCAAAGACCGTGACCTAAAAACCAAAAAATTGGAACAAAGGAGGATCTAAAGTATTATTATAGATAATTGGCTCGTCCTCTTTAAAATATCAAATGACATTAAATAGCTGTAGAGGTATTTTGTATTGTTTGAAGATATATTTAAATATACAATATTTAATAAGAAGATGAAGGAAAAAAAAAAACTATTCCCTATTTTTTCTTTTCTTTAGGGACCTGTCCTACAATGAGATCACAGACCTATCTGGCTTTGAAGGTTGCAGTGCCCTAGAGGAAGTGTAAGTAGTTCGCTAAGTGATTTTTATGCTTCTTAAAATGCATTTGTCATGTAACAAAAAATGACATGGCGGAACGTGTAGATAAAACTATTTTGTCTATACATGTGTAAGCCATAGATTGCATCCCATGAAACAGTGAAGACTTCTTAATGCTTTATCCCTGCATTGTGGTTTTTGAACCACTTTCACGTAGATTAAACATCTCTTCCCTCTCCTCTCATCCCGCTCCCCCGTTCCAACTTCTTTTAAATTGGTTGCAGTAAGGGGGGAAATAAGTCTGTGGAGGTTAGTAAAAAAAAACATGGCGGGGATCAGACAGACACAATGGGAACTCTGTGTATCGATCTAATATTTAGAAATAAAATTGTAGTCTAAAGATGATCTGCGTTGGTAAAAGGAATTTAAAAACCAGCTCATTATGGTTTATCCTGTGGTTATTATATTGTTTACTAAAGATATATAATCAGAATGCCCAGTAGAGAAAACCCTCCAAGAGAATCAGAGTAAAATAAACTTTGTGTGATACACCAGGAAAAACCTGCATCTGAAACCGAGTGGAATGCAGTCACTGTTTAAATGTTTACTGTATTCATTGTATGTAACCAATGGTTTTGGCAATGTCGCTTGATTAAAAACCCAGATTGTTTTAATTTTAGAATTTTTTTATTTTGTTTTTATATTTATTTGTATATGTATTTTTTGTATTAGTTATCTACAGCACAATCAAATAAAAGAAGTTCTGAACAAGTCTTTGCAAGGCCTTACATCTTTACGTATACTGTGAGTATAATTCAGTAACTTACTAAACATTATTTTAGAATGTTCTTTTAAACTTCTCTTGAAAACGGCAAGGACTGTTTATATAGTTGAAGCTTTGGAGTTTGGCAAAGTGATCACTAGTGGTAGGCCTGGTAGACCTGGAGACTGGTCTGCTTCCTTATCTTTACATTTCTACCAATCATATGTGCTTTGACATGTTCAAAGATTTTGATAAGAAAGCATTGCAAATCAATCCTGGTAAATCCTCCACAGTAAGGACCACCATATGTTGCATGCTTTGAGGTCCCCTTCTATGAAAGCAGAGAATCTGTACCTTGTGATAAGAGATACTGTTTATATACCTTGTTCATGAATTAAAGCTTGTTTTTACCATAATAACAATCTGTTTTGAAGTTAGTTATTTGAAATTGTTGTGTACATTTTTAGACTTTATAAATAACAGGTTATGTTTCTGGTAGCATTGTAACTATTGTCAATTGGCTTCCCATGCTTTGTACCTTAATTCGCAGCTAAAGCAAGCCAGCGGTCAAGCTACAGAGGCTAATTGGGAGTCCGACTGAGCCCTATGAGCCCAGAAACTTATAATTTATTTGAAAAATAATAAAATAGAATGTTTTTTTCCCCCTGCAATTTCTTATGTTTAAAAGACATTGTATTACAAGCAACTTCAATATTAATTATTTTTTTTTACATTTAAATGAAATTGGGGAAACAACTTGTGGACTCAGTGTTTTAAAAGCTGTAAGATTGTGTTCAACATATGCTGTGATACACTGAGAAGAAAAATCACCAAAACTGAGATATAGTATGTCGAGGCACTTAAAATGTTTGGCCTTGAGCAGTTACTTGGAATTGTCGAAGATTAAGGAAGTCCAGCAAGTAGTTGAGATATTGAAATTGATATCGCTAAGCTAATGAGTGATTTTTATATATTTTAATAATTGCAGGGACCTGAGCAGAAACCTAATCCAGACGATTCACAATGAAGCATTTACCACACTCTCTTCACTAAGTAATCTGTAAGTAACTCGTTCTCAGATAGCTGCTTCAGTCAGGAAATAATCTCTTTAGTTTGATTGAAATTACTGTGCACTCATTTTTTTATTTATTTTTTTACGTTAAGAGGATTACGTGCTGAAAGTATTTCATAATTTCCAAGACCCCTCTGGGTAGAAGATCTTAAAATCGACGTAATTAACATTACAATGACAAATGTGTTATTAAAGCCAGTTTAGTCAGGTGAATATTAACCACTTAGGGACTGAGGAAATTGTACAAGTTCTGAACCAAGACAAAACCTGGAATTTGAGCTATATGTCTGTTCAACTGTAATTTACCTCTTTCATGTTAAGTGCACCCAGACTTATTGGAGATCATTTTGTTCAAGAGAAATGAGGCTTTTGGTGTGAGAAACAAACACTTTTTGCTATTTTCGAGTTCTGTATTTTAACAGAGAATTACAGAATACTGTTAGCTTTTACTGCAATAAAACGCTCCTATGTGTATTCAGCGTGATAAGTACTATCCTTTTCTGTCAAAAATAAAACTGCTTTGCACCCTTCAGTCTGCAGTATTATCCCACCACAACTTGCATTAAATATCATGCAGCGATGATCCAATAGGATGGGAGAACATAGTAGGTAAAGGATTGATACATAACCACAATATGTGCCCTTATAGTCCCATAACTGAACTGGACTTCCATTACAATTATTAACCTTTTAATATATTTGTAAAATAAAACAAGAATAAAATGTGGCATTGCCGGGGAAAAATAAAACCAGGTTTTCTGTGATTTTAAATGTTTTTATTTAGTGGTGCCATTTCCATAGAATTGGCAGCTACCCATTTAAAGGGTTTCATTATTAGAAACCTCTGTACTATTTTTATTTAATCTTCAAAACAGAAAGCAAATGGTTTATGTGTTTCTTATAAACATATATGCCATAGAAATGACGGGGCAATTTATGATCTCCAAAGAGTCCAAAGACCCCATGTAAAAATCCAGACTGACCAATAACCGTGATTTTAGATATTTTTATAAGCGAACATACAAAAGTATAACCACTAAAAGCAGGTGTTAAGCAAACCTACTAAATAGTGTGCCCTCCAAAACACAAAAAAAATAGTGAAACATACAAATAGGTAGGAATGCAGAGAATGAGAGTGACACCTCCCAAGGCAAAATATTTATAAAAGTGTATATGTGTGTGAATATATACATATATAGAGTGAGAAAATGTCACTCCAAGGTTTTCCAAATCAAAATCTTCTTTATTCTGAAAAGTTTTTAATCAGGTGTCCTGATGAAAGCTCCTTAGGGGAGCTGAAACGTTGATGTACTTTTCAGAATAAAGAAGATTTTGATTTGGAAAACCTTGGAGTGCCGCTATTTTCTCGCTTTATATTATCTAGCAACCAGAGCACCAGGTATTTACTTTTTTTGATTGGCGTGCAGGGGTTAAATATAAAGTTTTATTATTAACAATTGGTTAACAAACGCTATTAGAGTGGAGGATTCCTTCCTCATACCCCTAAGTTCTCAGAGTTATAGAATGTGAAATACCTCGGTCCACATGCAGTGTAGAGCGCCAAGCCTTTTATGAAAAATCCATTTCAGATTAAAACATTGAGTCAGTCATTTGGACGGAATAGAAATCTCTACCTCGTGTGGGCAGAGGAGCTTTTGTGTTCGGTTATTCCCTATATTTTTCTTGAAAATATCATATGGGTTTTATTTATTTATTTTTAATTTCCTTTTCAGCGATCTTTGTTTTAATGACTTGACATCATTTCCAACTGAAGGACTTCAAGGCTTAAACCAGCTGAAACTCACAGGAAACCCCAGGCTAAAAGAGTCATTTGCAGCTAAGGACCTATTGAAACTCCGGTAAATAATCTTCATAATGAACTTTTCTTTTACATTTAAATTTCTTCTTACAATGTTGTTGTAATTTAACTGTTATTGAGTATGTTGTAGATTTCTGAGTATTTGTGCACAAGAAATTTCTGTTTTTGAAGTTTTTATTTCTGTTTTATTCTACTACACTATTTGAACTTGCTTTTCTGGGTCGTTTTGCTAATTTCTTAAACATCTGTTTGTTTGGTTTTAGGTCGGTATCTGTTCCATATGCTTATCAGTGCTGTGCATTTTCTGGTTGTGATTCTTACTTGACCTCTACCATTGAGGATGACAGCTCTAAGTACCAGAAACTTCTATCAGAGCACGAGAAAGGTATTTATATAATGAGAGCATGATTTTACAATCGTACCAGACAACAGGAAAGATATGAACTATGTAAAAAGAACACAAGTAAGCTGACTACATGTCCGAAAATAACAGCCATGCAAAGTAACCAAAGCTAGTGTGTTTTCATGACTCTTGTCTGCATGTGCCCGGCATCTCAAAAGTGGTCTTAGTGGGACGGTTTCAGGTCTATCCTGGAACATAAGCGGTGCTTATTGAAGAAAGAAACCAGCATCACATGATATATTCCGTTGCGGCTTGCTTTTTAAAATTGTTAAAACTAAGATTGACTTAAATAATGAAATGCTGTACTTTTGTTTCTTTCTTCCATTGAATTTTGGTGAGCTGACCACTAACTCGGGTATCTGGGTAAAAGAACACTGTCAAATGTGCAAGCATTGACTTAATTATATAGAGCGAAATCAACCCGTGCAGCAGTTTGAGTTTGTTTATTTTTTATTAAGTGGCACTTCTTGCCAAGCTAGCTAAAGATGGCCGCCCCCACATTATTATTATTATTATTATTATTATTATTATTATTATTATTAAATAATACACTAGGTTATATTACATGTAAACTTTTTTGTTTTCCTTAAAGTTATCATTTCTGGCTGTAAAACAAGCAAAATATTTCCGTTGCATGCTAGGAAAGGGTTTACTATTTGGTGAATTGTTTTTTGTATAAAAATGTTAATACACTATAAGCACATTGTTCATGCTCTCTTGCTTAGTTTTGTTCTGACGACAGGTATGCAAGGCATTCTAATTAGCTGATCTATTTCGCTCTCTTATAAAAGTTAATGATTTGTGACTTTTTATTTTTTACTCCACCTTGGGATTGGAATTGTAGAATGTATGTTGCATCTATGTAGGTGTGGGCACTTTAGATGTCTTGGTGTTTTTGAACTCTATTAACCAACTCTGTCTTTCAGGAAAAAGATTTGTGGAATAGACTAATTAGGAATTGAGCAGATAAAAAAAAAAAGTTTTAGAAACTATTAATAAACTTATTATGCCAATGAATTTAAGTAATATTAAAGGGACACTATAGTCACCAGAACCACTACAGCTTAATGTAGAGAAAAGGCAGTGTCTACATTGCTGCCGAGTAGCACTTCTAGTGACAGTCACTTAGACAGCCACTAGAGGTGCTTTTTGGTTTAGTGCTACACAGTGTGCATGGAGGCGCTTCACATTCCCCATAGAGCTGCAATGAGTCAATGATTTGTGCAGTGTTTTGCAACAAATGCGCCATAGCCTCCCAATGCTTTCCTAAGAGAAAGCATTGGATTGGCTGAGATCATAAAGTTTGAGGATCTTAGCCATGGAGTTTAGACCATCCGTGGCAAAACCTGCACCGTCACCTGCATGTGCAGCAGCCGTGCAGATCTCCGTGTTAGCTGTAATGCACAAGACTTCCCATCATTTCTGTGGACAAACACTGTTCATGCCTTGTGTTAACGTGTATTATGCACATTACAGCTTCTCTCACAAAACTGGAATGATGTCGAAGGAAAGGGACTGAAATAAAGATAGGAGAAGAAATCACTTTTTTGCTGAAATACAGATGTTTTGTTGGGTGCATAGGGAAACACGCGGTAGAATGTCCTTTATTATTGAACTATATATTGTTTTTTTTGGTTTTTTTTACTATTATAAAATTAGACTGTATTTGGGAAAATAAGTGCTATATCTTTCTTTTTGTAGGCACCATAGATTCAGATTATATGAACACAGAAGAAGATAAAGAACATGTTCAAACCGTAGTCCACTGTAATCCCTCTACAGGTAAATTGTTATTAATTGTGATTGTATTTGTTTTATTGCAGTACAACAATAGTTTTCTGCCCACCAAACGTAGAATTCAGAATTTTGTTTGGCCCTTAACTCCTAAACTTGGGACAAATGCACATTGGTGACTTTTCAGTTTTTTTTGTAGAGGCTCCATGTTTGAAGTGCACAGGTAGATTTATAAATGTATTAGAGGAATTCTGAACTCCATAAGCATTAAATCTCCTAGTACAGTCACGTCAGTGCTCAGAGGGCTCCTCTAATTCTAACAGTTGTAGGGAATTTCAGTATTTCCAAGAACATATTGATACATTTTAAGCATCTTCACGTTTCAAGCTTAAAGGAACAATATAGTCACCAGAACAACTACAGTTTAATGTATTTGAGTGACTGCCACTGAAGGTGTTCTTAGTAATGTTTACGGCCACTAGAGGTGCTTTCTGGGTCGTGCAACACGGACGTTCAGCATCTTCACACCCTGCATGAAGGCGCTGAACATTCCTCATAGAGATGCATTCATTCAGTGCATCTCTATGAGGAGGTGCGTTTTTGCTGTGCATGCTTAATAGCCTCTCAGTGCTTTTCTATATGAAAGCTTTGGATTGGCTGAGATCATCAACATTGCCAAGGGGGTGGAGCGTGAGTGGGGCCTCCCATGACAGGTCCTGGGCGGTGCTGAAAAAAGGTGAATAAATCACCTTTTTAACTGGAGGTAAGGGTTCCCAGGCGACTAAACAGCTATTTAGACCTATAGTGTTAGGGATACACTTGACACTATATAATTTGTATTCTTGACACTATAGTGTTTCTTTAAAGGAACATTCTAGTCACCAGAACAACTTTAGCTTTTGAAGCTGATTTGATGTATAGATCATGCACATTTAGTCTCACTGCTCAATTCTGCTATTTAGGAGGTACATCACTTTGTTTATAAAGCCTTAGTCACACCTCCCTGCATGTGACTTAACAGCCTTTCTAAGTACTTCCTGTAAAATGAGATCTAATGTTTAAACTTCCTTTATTTCACAGTCTGCCGCCTCCCCTTTTTTATGGTTAGTTTACGGTATAGCAATTATTATATTGTAATATATTGTCTTTCTTATTTCAGGTGCCTTTAAACCATGTGAATATCTTCTTGGCAGCTGGATGATCAGACTTACGGTGTGGTTCATCTTTCTTCTTGCGGTGATCTTCAATCTAATCGTTATTCTGACCATGTTTGTTTCTTGTTCTCCACCATCCTCATCCAAGATTTTTGTTGGCCTGATTGCAGTCTCCAACCTGTTCATGGGTGTGTACACTGGCACCCTAACCATACTGGACACCGTGTCTTGGGGAAAGTTTGCAGAGTTTGGCATATGGTGGGAGACTGGCAGTGGATGTAAAATGGCTGGTTTCCTTGCCATTTTTTCTTCTGAGAGTGCAATATTCTTCCTGACCTTGGCAGCCATTGAACGGAGTTTATCTGCCAAAGATATCATCAAGAAAGAGAAAAGCAAACATTTAAAGAAATTTCAGATTGCTTCCGTTTTTGCTTTCCTGCTAGCTATAGCGGCAGGATGCTTACCGTTATTTCATGTTGGAGAATTCTCAGCGTCTCCTCTGTGCTTGCCTTTTCCTACAGGTGAAACCCCTTCTCTTGGGTTTACAGTGACATTGGTTTTACTCAACTCATTGGCTTTCTTGGTAATGGTGATAACCTACACTAAACTCTATTGCACCTTGGAGAAAGAAGACCTCTCTGAGAATGCAGAGTCCAGTATGATCAAACATGTTGCCTGGCTGATCTTCACCAACTGTATCTTCTTCTGCCCCGTTGCATTTTTCTCCTTTGCCCCACTGATCACTGCCATCTCAATCAGTCCAGAAATCATGAAGTCTGTAACCTTGATATTTTTTCCTTTGCCGGCGTGCCTCAACCCAGTACTTTATGTTTTCTTTAATCCTAAATTTAAGGAAGACTGGAAATTATTGCGGTGGCACTTGACCAAGAAAAGTGGCTCAGCCGCAGTTGCCACGAACACTCAGAGAGGATGCGTAACTCCAGACTATTTCTATGATTTTGGAATGTATAAGCATTTTGAAGGCAACTTTGCTGTGTGTGACTACTGTGAGACAGTTATTTTAAAGAATCCACCACCCTGTAAACACTTAATAAAGTCGCACAGCTGTCCTACCCTGGCTGTTGTACCCTGCCAACGACCTGAGAACTATTGGTCAGACTTCGGTACTCAGTCTGCTCACTCAGATTGTGCAGATGAGGAAGATTCATTTGTGTCGGACAGTTCAGATCAGGTACAGGCCTGTGGTCGGGCCTGTTTTTATCAGAGCCGAGGATTTCCATTAGTCCGATATGCTTATAATATACCAAGAATGAAAGACTGAATCCATCCTTCTGGACTTATTCTGTTTGGAGTATAATACTTCTCAAGGAACAGAATCCGAGTGAGGACCTACCGCAAGGGAGCACTTTTATAAGCTTGTCACTTACAAGAAGGGAAGTGGGCAAAATAACTGATACTCCTTAAAATTCCTTGTTTCAGGGCATGCCTTTGGTTATGCGCAGCTAATATTGCGCTCGGAAGTGCCCCAGCTGTCTAGGAACACAAAGAAGAGTGGTTGCCCAGACTAGAAATCATTTGTAAACCAAATTTTGTAGCTGAAATGTTTTCTAATCACTTTAAGGCAATATGTGGTTCATTTAAAAGTGTCACAGTCCTCCTTTATTTGCTTTAGCGCTTGTATCTTTCTGGAATTTTAATAGCTTCTGTCAGTGAAATGGGAATTTTGTCATTTCCTTGCAAAGCAACACAGTGATGCCAGCTGATAACATTATCTATCAGAAAAGAATATAACTATTGTGCTTGTTGTATGTTCAGGTACTCAGGTTAATTTACTGCAGGGCAAACAAAAGGAGTATATTCTGTTAGTTGGGAATCTGTGGTTATAGGTACAGCATGTCTCCAGGAAAAGCCATTTTTATTGTCTAAGAATGGAAACATACACAAGCATTTCTTGGTCTGTACATTGCAGAATATATCACACAATATTAATTGTCCAGTACAACATGCACAATATTCAGTATTATATCCAACATGGGTCTCTCTTAGAAAAGGCTTAGAAAACTGTTAAACATGTGGTTTGGCTTGTTTTGCACACAGGATCACTTTCACTATCCTGATGACAAGTGGTTAACCAGGTCTAGCCAGGCATCAAGGTTTTTCGTTCTTGTCAGTTTTCACATATAATAATACTAAGCCAATTGTATAATTAAGTCTATAATTTTTTTATTTATTTTTTTATGGAGAAGAAATTTAGTATGATCATGTAAGTTCCAAAACCATCAACAATGTTTCAAGAGCAGAGAGAGCAAAACTTACTATCCCCTATGAAATACTAGTAGGAAAAAAACCATAGACACAGTAAGTGTTAAAACAAGTCTCAATCCCACCCTACTTATAGTCCAAAGACTGTCTGTGTCTATTGGAAGTTAAACAGCCAGTGTCTTGCAGGCTTCCCAAGCCAATTATGTTCCCATAATAGACTATATATGTGCAGAGTGCAGCGCGTAATGTATTGAAAAATACATTCATACTTTATTTGAATAGGCACACACTACTGATTTAACCATGAAGCAAAGTCAATACATTTTTGGAATTGTAATGGACAGAATGAAACTATTCTATGTCCCTAAAACATGAATTGTGCTTAACTGAAAGTACAAACCTTTGTATTAAACTTAAGTGATTTTGGGAGCATTTTTTTTTTTTTTTTTTTGGTGTGCTAATTCACACTTCATGGATTTCAAAGAGCTTTATCCATTAAACTATATTTCCTTTGACCAAGATATGTTCCTTTTAAACATTACCCATGGGTATGGTGAGTACAGGATGGGGCACTATGTGGAAAACCATGAGCAGGACCTCCAAATTAAATAGATGCCAAAAACCGATGAGACAGAAGTGGACCACCCCAAAATGGATGGGATTTCAGTTTTAGGCACAGCCATGTGGCCTATTACACGTAATAAAACACCAGTATTGCCGTCACACTTCGAAACTGAGAAAATATATCAATTTTATGGACAGCCTTTCCAAGTTAAGTTTGCAGTTCAAATCCAGCATTTGTCCATCAGTCCTTTACTTTTTAGGTTTTTAAGTTGCCAATTAGTTTCTTGATCACTAAAGATACTATTTTACACTACAGATTTGCAGGACCTTTCTATGTCATCCATTATTTGACTGCCTCCTTTATGTTATTTTATTAGGCTTTTGCTTTTAATTTTGTCCATCTACACAATACTGGTCAAAAGGTTTCTGTAACACTTCTACAGAGCAGGTGGAGAGTTAGGACCTTTGTCTATTGATCTTTGAAGAATCGGTTAATAGAGAGATACTAAATAAATGGTAATGAGTGGGGGGGGGGAGAGATACTAAATAAATGGTAGTGGGGGGGACGGGGTGACATAACCTGGTGCTTTGTAATTACTAATTGCACCAAGCAGAATATCTGTGCCACATATCAAAGGTACACAATCCTGACCCCTAAATGTGGACTTGTCTTTTCGTTAGCTTGTTCTGTAATTGAATAGATTAAAAAAAAAATAATCTTGGTTGCTTCTGCAAAAATGCCAAATATTCCCCATTTACCAATTTTATTTTTTTATATATATATATTTTTTTTTTTTTTTTTGTGATTCACCCCAAATACATGTTTGAATAATGTTATTAGTTCTATGAGCACTTAATTACAAATTGTTTTTATTACCAAAAAAAAACAAAAAAACAACTTTGAAATAATTTTAAGTAACATAAACACGCTGCAATCTTTGCTAACTTTCTTCTCATTAAAAGGCAAACCCTTTCCATTTCAGGCCTTGCACACCTGTAAAAATTACAGGTAGAAAAATACGGTTTGACTTCTTTTTTTGCTACTTGTTAGATCCATTGAATGTAATTAATTATTACAAATTAAGCACAATTTGTCAAATTCCTTGCCATGCGCCTGTTTTTTCTTTTTCTTTTCTTAGAGACATTCCTGTCACACAGTGAAGCTGGATCGAAGTTTTACAAACCGAGCTGTATATATACGGAGCGTATATTTTTAATCTTGTACTGTAAATTATTTGATAGAGCACATGGTGAGATATATGGCTTCAGTTTATTTTGTTTATTAAAGCTACCTCCTAAAACTTTAATGGCTGCCAGTAGCACCATCAAATGGTTTATATACATTTTTGCATTGTAAATAAACTCTGTTGTACATTGTCACTGTAATTAAACAAAGTTGTTGTATATCAATCGTGGGAGGGATTTATACTCTGTATATTGTAATTTTTTTATATGACAGAATATTAACAAGTAAAGAATTTGCCTTTTTGTGTATTTTAAGTTTTTGTTTGAATTCACCAACGCACTCCTTTGGACACTAACCTACAGATACTAGAACAGGATTATCGATTGAAATGAATTATAATGCAAATTATAGATAACGAGACTGTGTGGCTATAGAGAAGTTGGAAAAACAAACATTCAACCAGGTGCATGTATACGGCTGAAGGATCCAGTCATAAACTAATGGATTAGTTTTTCTTAATTGTTTTTCTTTGTTTTTTTAAAATCTATTTTCTTTTCAAACTTGATGAAATTATTATAATAATTTTTTTTCAGTTTTGTGGTAACAAATGTCCTTCAGCCCCTTAAGGATGGAGTCAATTGTCCAAGTTCAGAACCAAAAGAAAGCCTGCAATTTGAGCTCTATTATGTCTGTTTAACCACAATTTACCTTTTTCATATTAAATGCACCCACACAAAATCTGTACTGATTATGCAAACTTCGTTATACATTTTACTACACCTCGCTAGTATAACGGCACTCTCCAGGTACAGGTTTTATGGGGTTTTGGAAAGTTACGAGGTCACTCTTCATACTTGGAAAGAAATGACCCTTGCAGTGGTGTATAATTTTTAAATGCAGGTGACCCAGGTTATTCCAAATGGTGTAATTTTAGTTTGGTCTAGCCACTTTATCACAAATTCTGGCTCCATTTAGTTAAATTTTATTTTTATTTATTTTTTTCCCACAGGAATTTTTTATTTTTTTGAATTTTTTATTTTTGTTGTGCACAAAATAAACAAGCATCCTTGGTTCGCCACAACAGTGGTATCAAGGTAGAAAGAACTGCAATGGATAACACAATTTGTGGCATTTGCTGGTCAGGCACATTTTGGTTTAGTAATAGCATGGGTTCAACAGTTTGATTACTCTTTTTAAGTAAGTGAGTTAGCAAGGCATACCTGCCGAAGAAGATAGAGTAGAGGAGTGACAAAGAGGGAAAGCCTGTTATGCACACTGTTACAAATGAAGAGTGTGGTACATGAGCTATACAGCTATGTAACATGCTAGGCTAGGTGGTGCGTGGGTAAGCGCGCTGACTGCCTGGATATTAGCATTGTTGGCTATGTAAGCCCTATGTTTGCTGCATTAACACTATCATGGCATTCTTTGGGGCTGCGCAGATTTATGCTCTTTAGATTAGACCAGCTTAATGAGTGGGTAAGACCCCTGAGCGCTGGTTTCCCAAGCTTAAATGGGAGGTTCAATGCACTATCCAAGATTGGGAGCAGGTCAGCTAATAACAGTGAAAGTCCAAGATAATTGAACATAGAGGCAGCTTATATGGTGCTCTCTCTCTCTTCTGGCTTGGCCTCTGTCTCCGCTGTCAGTATAGTCGAGTGTATGATTTCCCACTGGTCACCTTAGCCGATCGCCGTCTGAGGCAAGGGTGTGCGGTATATGGGAAAGTTCAGACCGATCTGCCGTTGTCTCTGAGTGGTTTCGGTAGTGGAGTACTGCATAGTGAAGGCGGTCGAGGGCTGTGGAGAATCATGCTAGCCCCATCCGCTGGTATTCCGGACAGTCATCCAATGCCTTTGCGGAGTTCGCTTCTCGCAACAGGGCACATTTCATATTGGGGAGCAGGATGGCGGTGTGGAGCTGGGGCGCCCCTTCGGCCCCGGGGTTGTAGGAGAGCTTGTACTGTTGTACCACGAACCTGGAATCCTGATAGGTCCAGGGTCTTCCCGTTAAGGATGGTGCGTGGGTGCTGTATCTTCTAACCCTCTGCTTCTGTGGTCTGTACCTTCTGGTCGAAACCATCTTTGCTCTCCTTCCAGGTGGGCAGCGTGCTCTGGTAGTGTAAGGTTGGGACAAGTTAATGCCCTTGAGAGGGTTCCCATTCCTCCTAGTGCCACCATCTTGTGCTCCCATTGGGGATGACTGCAGGGTTTTAGCTTGTCGCTCACGGTGCAGCAGCTTCTCCCAGAACCTTGCTAAGATTGTGTCAAGCGTGTCTGGTGTTGTAGTGCTGGGAACTGCCGTGCCACGCTGTAGTTGATTTAGGCCGCCTGTGTAACAGCCTTGTGCGTCCGCCATTTGGGTCCCTCCGCACCCGATCAGCTCAGGAGCAGTACAGGGTCTTCCAGGACAGGTTAGTCTGCGGCAGTTAGGAACGCACGGGACCGGGATAACCCCCACCGGTCTACAGGGGGGGTGGGAGTACGAGATTCTCACTCAGACTGGTCCTGTGATTGCAGGAGGAAAGCGGCTATTCACAGGAAATTTTATAATATTTATATGTTGGTACTAATAAGCCTCAATATTTATATTTAACATTGTCTTCTGATTCTAACAGTGTCCCCATCTACTGTTTTCTTTGTTTTTGTTCAGGGTTTTTTTTTTTTTTGGTAAGTCATATAGCAAAATATTTTAATGCCATTCTTTACAAAGTGATTGATGAAGTGATGTTGCCTTTGAGAGAACACGGCACCTTGAGAAACTAATTTGCCCCCATGATGGCATACCATTTTAACAAGTATTCTAAGTGTAGTATTTTGAATCGTTTAGTGTGGCCATTTTATGATGGATGGGCATAACGTAAATAGGGAGAGGCCAAGGTCAAGGGAATTCAAGAGTCCGAATAGTCAAAATAATAAGCCAATAAGTCGGTACAGGCAGCTAACAAAGAGTAATCGTGACAAGTCGAGGTCATGAATCCACCATAATAATAATTATTTAAAAAAAAAGTCCCATACAGAGAGACTCTAAAACAGTGGGTATGGCTTCCCTATGGCTAATATAGATTAAAGTGCAACCTGGTTTAAATAGATTGCAATTTTCTTGTACCAGTACATAGTTTTTTGGTTCACCAGATAAGGCTGTATATATCCTCCCCCCCCCCCCATATACTTGCTGTCATCTACAATGCACTTTTTCCAGCTGCTCAGTTCTTCCTCAGACAGACACTGACCCTGTACTTTCATTGTGAATTTATTATCTGTCTACCTAAGGGCCAGCACCTCATCCTGGGATAGAACTGAAGTCGAGCCTTTATTGTTTCTGCCGCTGGTCAAGGTTTGGGGGGAAACCTCTGCGTGTTTTTGGCTACATGCCAAAAAAAAATAAAAAATTTTTTAATAAATCAATTCTGGTATAATAATTAGCAACCCATCGATGATCACACTTATTTAACAAGGAAAGGATCAGATCTAACAAAATAGGGACAACCTAGTGGGTCAAGATGGCTATCCCTTCCCTTTTAATCAATCTAAAAATCCCATGTATAGCCGGTAGTGGATTAGCATAATTTATAAACTTTAATGATAACTAAATTAAAACACCTGTGGTAATAGGTAAAAATTACCCAATAATACGCAGGTTATAAAGAAGATTCTTCAATGTCTTAACAAAAAATATCATAAATAATCTGCAATATAAAATACAAACAAAACCACAATGGTGTAACCGCGGAAGGTTCCCTTATTTACCACTATAACGTCTTAAAGCATAGAACAGATATCTTAGCCAAAATTTATATAGTTCGTAAGAGATCCTCTATTTAACATATATAAATAATTGAGAATACAATATAAAATAAGGATTGTCTTGGAAGCAATAAAGTTTTGTATTTTAGATATTATATAAATATAGACATATAAAATCTATTACAATAATTTATAGCAGAGTTTATAAGATTAAACTAAATGCTTGCAAATATTATTAATAGGTTAACATTCCTGAACATGTCATCATGTCAGCCTCTCTGTCATTTTAAGATGGAGCAACGTCTGTATCCATGTCTCTCCTCTGTGTCTTGACATTTAAAAGTACACCTATTTATACCTTAGGTGTCTCCATTTTAGGGTCACCATAGTTCATATATAGGTCCTCCCTATTCATAACTTGTTTATTTTTATTCATTTCAGGTCCTCCCTTAACTTGGCAAAAATACAAGGCCATAACTAAAGGGTGTATACGTCATGGAAATTTTCCTGACTTGGTTCAAGATGGCATCTTAAAGTCTGAACATCTTTATCTACTTAGGGTTACCACAGTATATTGTGTACTGCAAGAGTCGTAGTATAGCCTTGAAGCTTGTTTATACATTATTGTTATTGTAATTCGTCTGGGACAAAATGGCGCAAACATATTATGCACTGAGGTTATTGCTTAAAGAAACATCTATGAAAAACAATATGTTCCATTTCTAACACCTTGTCAGTTTGCAATATCTCTTAAAGACAAAGTACACAGTTTGAGAAATACAATATTTGCATTTTAAAACTTGCAATATTTGTGTTTGCCCATAACAATGGTGTAGTATATATTAACACCAAAAAGGGTGTAACCATAACGTGCACTCACAAATGCAGATGATAAGTACGCAGAACGTAATATATGTATGTATATATATATATATGTGGAATCTCTCTATCTTCTCTTTATCCAGGTATGCATACAGGGAAATAAGGAGAGAAAAGAAAACCTAGTGCAGTACTGTAAATTAATTCAATAATGCTTTATTTGATTGCACTGACGAGATAAAAATAAGCCCATCAGTATCCAACTTCTACTCAGTCCAAAGGGACTATCAGCAGATTCTCCCGGAGCAGGATCACATAACATGCCAAAAAGTTATAAAAGTATTTAAAACCATAAATTCAACTGTCAACTGTACTTCACCCGCCCTACGTGTTGTGTCCGTCCTTGGGCTTCGTCAGTGAATTCCCAGCGTCTGAATACCAAGTATAGATTCTATCCATCTTTAAAGCTCCTTTTGTCACTAACCCAGATAGCTGTAAGCCAATCCGGAGTGCCCTTCAATGAATCACGCCTTTCGGAGATTTCTTTTAATTATTTCCATGTTAGGTGTGTTCCAAACCTTGGTTTCATATTGACGCGACGTCAGATTTCTTCTGATTCAAACGAGAGCGCGAGCGCAGCTTGGTGAAATTTGTTGATGTAGTGGAAAATGTCTGCTTTGAGGTATACAAATGTAGTGGCAGCCTGGATATTGCATGATAACCTGCAGAAGCAACTGTTTTTCACCGTGTTTTGCTTATCTGGATTCTACTTTTGTAGAATGTTTTGTTCACAATCTTGTGTGTTTTCGGCCATGGTGACCTTGGCTTTATTCCACTTGGTCAATGGTTAAACATGTTTTTCTCTTGTTCTCTCTTGGTTAATGATGGTTTGGCAGATGCACAATGGTCGTTATTGTATATAAAACCAAGAATTAAAGCACCTACAAAAATCTGAGCAATATGTTTAAAAACTTGTGAAGAGCTGCACTATATGTTGTTTCTATAGAAATACTAATAATTATAATAAATATTATAGATAGATTCAGAGATTATGGAAATAAAGACATACATTTTGGAAACACAAAAATAAAATATGAAGTCTTTTTTTCTTATCCTTTTATCCATCCATCCATCCATCAGTGACCGGGTTCACAACACATGGTTGATCAGGTCAGCTTCCGGGTGGTATTCAAAGGTCGTGTGTGCATTGATTAAAATGTTAACCTTTACAATATTTCCCCAAAATGTAAAGTTCATTAAATATTCATTAATATATTTGTATTTCATGTGTTTTAAGAGCTGTTTTGTCTGTTTACAGAAATTGTGTTACTAAATAAAGCATTAGAATGTCTGTCCTGAACTGCAAAGGATGGCAACACAGTTGGCAATCATTTTTATTAATAGCACCAGGGGTGCAGTGTATATGTTACCATTTTACTTTAGCACAGTTTAAATGGGACTATGTTCCGTCATTTTCAGATTTGCATCAATTGTACAATACCAACATTGCCGGTTAAGGAAGAGTTTCACATCCTCGTTTTTGACGTCAAATTTGTTTCCATGAGGTCTGGGTTAGGAACCACTGATCTAGGGGAGTGTATTAGGTCCTCCCCATGCAAAAACATTGCCTCAACGATGTCCTACGGGGGTTTCACTAATGCTGGATGTCCTCATGCAAAGCGTAAGGACTTCCTGCATTATTTAGGCGACCTATAGTCCGGTACACGCCCAAAAGTGCCTCCTGTCTGGTAGACAGGCACTAGAGGCTGTGTTAGTGCTGCAATGTAAACATTGCAGTTTCTCTTGAATGTTGTAAGCATTGTCGAATCTCACCCTCCAGTCACTTGTAAATGCTTCCAGGGACGGCATACGTTCTAATCATAGTCTGGCAGGGAAATATCTTAGCAGGCCTGGACAATATTTAGATTACAGGCCACCAGCCCATGCACAAATCTGCCAAGATTCTGCACATAAGCTGCCTACTGCCAGGGCATCTTTAATATTGATTGAACTCTTGGCAAGCATTTGCTTGGGCCCTCTGGACTCTGCCCCCTGATTCCCTGGCATGCAGTCACGCACTCCACCCCAACGCATTGGTGGAGCTAAAGAAGAAAGGGCCTTGGTGCGAAAATACGTTTGGGCCCCTCTATCGCAAGGGTGGCCAAAAGTTAGTTTCCTACCTGTCGTGCAACTCCAACAATGATTTGACAGCTGGCAATCTACCATTTTCCCATGCTGTCAGAGGTTTGTTTAGCACTGAGCCATGTTTGTGAGTGAGTTTATTTGTAAGCATGTTTTGTGTGGAGTACGTTTCTGTTAATGTAGGGGTGTGTTTGTATGTGGTGTTGGCGTTTGAATGCAGGCATGCATTTATGTGTATTGTAAAGCACTACGGAATATGCTGGCTCTATATAAATACCAGTAGTAATAATAATAATAATAATGTGTAGTGTTGGATTTTGAATGCATGGGTGTGTTTCTATATCATTTTGGTGTTTAACACAGAGGTGTGTTTGTATGTAGTGTTAAAGTTTGACTACAGGTGTGTATTTGTGTGCAGTCCTGGCATTCGAATGTTGAGATATACATACATTGCCACACATGCAAAATTAATATTTTTTAACCCGCCCTCTAGTAGCTACCCTGGGGTCCAATGTGAGGCAGTTGGGAGTTAGAGTCTGGCTCTCCTTAGTGCATGTGCCACCAGATGGACCTCCTTAATGTGCGGGAGGAAAAAAAGAAATTGTTGAGGGCAGCAGGCCCACAAGGCGTAACTGGGCACGGGGCAGCTGCCCCGTTTCCCCCGGAGTGTCTGTTGCCTCACTCCTGCAGTATAAGACACATCCCAAAGGAGCTCCTACTTTTTAAATTCACAGAAAAATGGCGTGTGGCTGCAGCTCAGAACCCCTGGATTCTAGTGGTCTGGGGACATTTGTCCAAATATACCATTGGAATTTTGACATCCCCTTTATCCTATATACATTTCTGGATGATGAACACTGTGAATTGAAAGGGGCTCTTGCAGAACACTCTGTCTCAACAAGACTAAAAAATACAAGTGAGTGTACAGGAATTATGGTATTCCAAGTTCAGCTTCTGATTATTATATTTTTTATTTTTCGTGCATTAAATGTCGATTCAGCAAACATAATTAAAATACTTACCAGCGAGAGACTCTGCAGGAATTGTATCACACACCCAAAGAGATTTTAGGTATTCAAACCGCGGCGCCAACTGTGATTTAGTTTTCTTTTATTTAGTATCATGATAAATAAATATAACATTGTTCGACAGTTGAACTAATTGTTGTAGGATATTTTGGTAGATTCAGTCTTGTGGGAACTCTACTTAAAAGATTATCACATTTAATGAGAGGCATGACATGGATTTTATGTGTGATCCTTTAGTTATCCCAGGAGGACCTTAACACTTTGTCAGACAGAAATTGTTTGAACATGTTCATTACTCATATTTATATTGTATCCTAGCTTACATTTCCTATGTTTTATTGCTTATGAGAAGAGATTAAGTGTAGCTTCACGAAAATGCTTTGTGTATTATTAAAAATGTGCCTGCAGAGCAAATCTTTACAGAAAATCTTTTTAAATACATATTTGTCTAAAAAGACATTTTAATTATTGCAGCCCTTTTATCAGATGCGCACAAAAAAGCTTTTGATGAATATAACTGTCCTCATTAGTAACTTGAATTTTATTTTTAAACATCAATGAGAAAATGTGTAGAAAACGCGTTTTTGTGCAAGTTTTCATAAAAGTAAAATGTTTTTATTAAAATGTTGAATAATATCTTAAAGTGACATGAACATTCAGAAAATGAGCATTTGACAAATTCTTCTACAAGTAGGTATATGTTGTTACAGAGTTACATAGCTGAAAAGAGACTTGCGTCCATCAAGTTCCGCCTTCCTCACATATGTTTTTGCTGTTGATCCAAAAGAAGGCAAAAAACCCTGTCTGTAGCGCTTCCAATTTTGCAACAAACTAGGAAACAAATTTCTTCTTGCCCCAAAAGAGCAGTCAGATGTCTCCTTGGATCAAGCAGCTATCACCCCACTAATTAGAAATTATATCCCTGTATGTTATGTTTTTGGAAGTATTTATCCAATTGCTGTTTAAACACCTGTATGGACTCTGAAACCTTTTCTTTGCCTTAGATAAAATCTCCTTTCTTCCAGCCTAAATGCATGACCTTGTGTCCTATGTATATCCCTGTTTAAGAATTGATTTCTAAATAATGGTTTGTACTGGCCCCGAATATATTTTGTATAATGTTATCATATCCCCTCTGAGGCGCCATTTTTCCAAACTAAACAGATTAAATTTTTTTATCCTTTCTTCGTAACTAAAATGCTCCATTAATTTATCAATTTTGTAGCTCGTCTCTGCACTTTTTATAGTGCCATGATATGCTTCTTTAGAAAAGGTGCCAAAAATTGCACAGCATATTTAAGGTGTAGTCTTACCAGCGATTTATAAAGTGGCAAAATTATATTTTCATCCTGAGATTTTATGCCCCTATTTATACATGAAACAACCTTACTGGCCTTAGCAACTGCCGATTGATATTGCATATTGTTGCCTAATTTGTTGTCTATAACAATTCCCAAATCCTTCTTGTGTGTGTGTCAGGCCGTATCTGGTCCGGGTCCGTTCCGGCATTTCCGGTATGCGGAACCAGCTCCGCCCCCTTTCTGACGCTGCTCTCTCACGCTTTATAGAGAGACCGCGCCAGATTCAAGGTGCTTGGTGATTTCGGATGTCACTTCCGCATTCAACGCTGGCTAAGCTTCTCTTCGTTCCTAACGTGTACTAAACCTTGGATTGTTGTAACGGACTTTTGCCTTTTCATTGCCCTCTGACCACGGACCGTATTGAATTTACCGGATCTCTACTTATTTCCTTGAAACCGGACTGTTTATGTCAAACATCCTTTGGACTCAAACTATTCAGTTCCATGGAGGACAACTCCCATCAATCTTAAGTATACAATTTACTTCTATCTCTGAAGGTTTACTTATTAATGAACTTTAACTTGCTTGTTATAACCTGCATTTAATAAAATATTATTGCAATCATTAAAGCCTTTTCTTTTCCACTAATTGCCTGCAACCTCCACCTTGCTTTAAAGCTACAGTAACCTTATGAACCCCTTAAGGACGGAGCCAAATGTACACGTTGTGAACAAAACAAAATGTAAACAAAACCTGGCATTTGCGCTACATGTCTGTCCAACCATAATTCAACTCTTTCATAGTAAATTCACCCACCCTTATTATATATCATTTTATTCAGGGGAAACAGGGCTTTCATTTAATATAAAATATGTAGCTATGAAACATAATTTAATATGAAAAAAATGGGAGAAAATAAGATTTTTTTAAATTTTTTTTAGTTCTACATGACATTTTAACTGTCAATGTCTTAATACTGTTTGCTTTTACTGCAATAAAATACACATATTTGTATTCAGCAAAGTCTCACGTGTAAAACAGTACCCTCTATGTACAGGTTTTATGGCGTTTTGGGAAGTTACAGGGTCAAATATAGCACGTTACATTTGAAATTGAAATTCGCCAGATTGGTTACATTGCCTTTGGGACTTTATAGTAGCCCAGGAATGAAATTTACACCCATAATGGCATACCATTTGCAATAGTAGACAACCCAAGGTATTGCAAATGGCGTATGTCCAGTCTTTTTTAGTAGCCATTTGGCGTTTAGAGCCGCCTAAAATAGGGCGTAATTGTACGCCCTCCGGTCTTAAGGGGTTAATTTAAAGGATTACTCCTCTTTTTGCTATTGAAATTAAGGAGTTTTACAAGCTGCAGTTGAGTTCCAAATCTAAAACCCCTTGTGACATAACAGTGTGGTTATTCCTAATTCACTACCATTTAGGGTATATAATAATACAAAACAATAATATACACGCTGTGAAAGACAAATACGTAGCTCTAAAACACCTAAAAAAGTGGTATCCCTTACACCACTAAAAACATAATACAATACATACAGAGTTATAGGTGGAGCTGTGGAGTGTCTTGAATAATCTGGAAAATAGAATATATGCAGATAGCGTAGTATATCTATACAATATATAGCATATAGAAAATGAGAATAAAAGCACTCACAAGGATAGAGTCATACCGTCATATGACTCTAAAAGTATGTTCTCTTGGACCATTAGGGGGTTGTCCAAACCCTTCTTTTGTTGATTGCTTGTTATCTCTCCTGATGGTCTTCAATAAAGATGCCCAGTATACCAGGGATCTTTGAAAAATAATTCTTGTTTATTTGTAAATAAAATAACAAAATAGCAATATACTAAACCAATAAATATTGGGTATAGATATAGTCCAATAAAAAGTCTATAAAAGTTGAAAAATGAGTGTCCAAAACGCGTTTCACCTGATTAACAGGCTTCCTCAGTTGGCTCTAATATTTCTTCCAAAGTTTTCTTTATTTGAAAATGCCGCCGGCCGGCTGTATCTTCTTTTATATGGCACTTCCTGATTCCGTCTGGTGGAACGCAACATGCGTTCCACCTACGGCACTAACTACCGGTACGCACCGCAAGTGGAACGCACGTGCGTCCCAACTCCGTGCGCACACTGGAACTTCAGCGCCAACTTCCAGATGGAGCGCCCGCGCGCCCCAACTCGGCGCCAACCTCCGCAATACACCACAAGTGGAACGCACGTGCGCTCCAACTTCAAGCAGCAATTCACTTCCAGGTCTCTCTACACTTCCGGGTCACACTCAGGTGGAACGCACGTGCGTTCCATTCCCAGCCTCACATCGGGTGGCCAAATGTAAACCTAAAAATGGCATTCTGCCTGTGTTTACACAAATATAGTGTGACATATAGAATTATAAGTGCTATGTCTTAAATAAAAGTAATAAAAAAAAATCGAATATTTTGAAAGAGAAAGAATAAAAACTAATTCTATTAGTTTTAGAAGATTGCTATCACAATCTTAAAGGGGCAGAATGTCATTTCTAGAAATTTGGTGAAAATACACAGTAAAAACTGAATAAAATACATATAATACCTAATAGTGAAAGAAACACAAAAATGGTATATAAATGTATAAAATGATGCCTAAAAGCTTGCATAAAATAATATAAAATCAAGATAGGCTAAAACTAGTGCATAAAGTGGCATAATTCAAAATCATTGTTCAGACCGTTTGGAATCATAGTGTCAAAATTGAATATGAACTTCATCTCTTCCTTTCCTATTTTGTTCACATAATCACCACCTCTCCAATCTTTCTTTACTAATTTTACAGCACAAAAAAAATTCCTTCTGGATTTTGTTGATGAACATGTTTAAAATGATTCGAAACACTATGGGTTTCGACTCCATTTTTGATGTTTCTTATATGTTCCGCTATTCTTAAATTCAATTTTCGAATTGTACGGCCTACATATAGAAGATTGCAGGGACATTTTAAAATATAGATCACTCCCTTCGAATAACATGTTAGATGATCTCTAATGGTAAATTTCTTGTTAATAATGGATTCTAGGTCTGTTAGGTGTCTTTTTTTATTCTTTGTATTTTTACATGCTAGCAGGGGCGGGCTGGGCCGGGGGCAGGGAGGCAATTGCCCCCCAGGCC